ACGAAGACTACGCCTATGTAGTCTGCTTCTGCTCCTCCCTCTTTGGCCCTCTTCTGGTCCTGGGAGACAGTGGAGCAGGAGAGGTGGGGGCAGGAGGAGGTGGAAGCCCTTGACTCTCCACCAGCTTGACCCATCTCTCTCCCTCTTCCTGCCCCTGTTCTTCCCTCTCCAATCCTGTACCTTCTCCTGACTCTCATCTCCCAGCTATTACAAGCTCCCCCAGATCCCCTTCTTCCATGTCAGTCCCCAACCCTCTTTCTTCCGGTGCCCCCTCATCTGTATTCAGACAGTCCCTGACCTCTGCATAGCTAGCTGTAAACCAGAAGCAGCCAACATGGCTCCCTCCAGATGACATGGACTACAACTTCCCTTGGTTATGATGGCTGGAGCTGGTGGGAATTGTAGTCCAAAACATCTAGAAGGCATTGTGTTGGAAATCCCTGCTATAAGCAGAGGGCCAAAAACACCATGAAATGAACAGCAGATTCATCTGCATGACTCCCTATCCTGTTCTCATGAACTCATTTATAAGAACGGCAGTCAAAATGACCAAGGAAACATTCATGTAGGTCAGCCTACAATACGACCCATTGTTTACTCTAAAGTGCCCGTTGTGGGATGAGGGTGGTGCTGTGGGTTAAACCACAGTGCCTAGGGCTTGCTGATCAGAAGGTCGGCGGTTCGAATCCCCATGATGGCGTGAGCTCCCGTTACTTGGTCCCTGCTCCTGCCAACCTAGCAGTTCGAAAGCACATCAAAGTGCAAGTAGATAAATAGGTACCGCTCCGGCAGGAAGGTAAACGGCGTTTCCGTGCGCTGCTCTGGTTCGCCAGAAGCGGCTTAGTCATGCTGGCCACATGACCCGGAAGCCGTACACCGGCTCCTTCGGCCAATAAAGCGAGATGAGCGCCACAACCCCAGAGTTGTCCGCAACGAGACCTAATGGTCAGGGGTCCCTTTACCTTAAGTGCCCGTTGAGTAAATGAGACCATAACATTTGGCATATATATATATATATATATATATTATTTGCTTTCTGAGTCTGAGCAATGAGGCCTAGTAGCATGTTTTCTGTTCCTCGACCAAAACGGAGCTTTCCCCATTTTTATTCAAAATACCCGGGGATGATGCAGAATGAGTCACAGGCGGACAGAAGGCTGCCCAATTTGTTCTGATTTGTAATAGTGAGGCACTGAAGAGAGGCAATTGCTCATCTTCGCCACTTCAAATCTCCTCCATCTCTTTGACTAGCCCACATATTATCGAACACAGGAATGATTCATGAGCACATCGCACACTCTTTGCAAACATGTTTGTGAACCTCCTGTTGCTTCCACCTATTGCTTCTGCCTACAGTTGGAAGGCAAACACAATCGACAACAAAAAGTCTTACAGCACCTTAGAAACAGAGACCTCTATCTGCACTGTATGTTTAAAGCAGTATGATAACACTTTTACTGCTACAGGTTCTCCCAAAGAATCCTGGGAGCTGTTCTTTGTTACGGCGACTGAGAGTGGTTAGAAGATCCCTATCACCTTGCCAACAAAGGTCCGTATAGTTAAAGCTATGGTTTTCCCAGTAGTGATGTATGGAAGTGAGAGCTGGATCATAAAGAAGGCTGATTGTCGAAGAATTGATGCTTTTGAATTCTGGTGCTGGAGGAGACTCTTGAGAGTCCCATGGACTGCAAGAAGATCAAACCTATCCATTCTGAAGGAAATCAGCCCTGAGTGCTCACTGGAAGGACAGATCCTGAAGCTGAGGCTCCAATACTTTGGTCACCTCATGAGAAGAGAAGACTCTCTGGAAAAGACCCTGATGTTGGGAAAGACTGAGGGCACAAGGAGAAGGGGACGACAGAGGACAAGATGGTTGGACAGTGTTCTCGAAGCTACCAGCATGAGTTTGACCAAACTGCGGGAGGCAGTGGTAGACAGGAGTGCCTGGCGTGCTCTGGTCCAGGGGGTCACGAAGAGGCGGACGCGACAAAACAACAACATTCCCTTCCCTGAGCTACGATTCTCAGTGGGTTTAACAATCGATACTTCTTCCCAGGGAACTCTGGGAAATGTAGTTCTGGGAGGTGAACAGGGGCCTGTTTCCGAAGAACTCTCAGCAAACCCAGACCCTCAGCTCCCAAGATTCTTTGGAGGAATCCCAGTGCATCCCGGCACTCTAAATGTTTGGTGCTGATGCAGCTTAATACATTCATCACGGGAAAATTTAGTAAACTAACGAGCCTGCTTCATCAGATGCATTAAGTCTCTCGGGCGGCATAGCCTAGTGGTTAGAGCACACACATGCAAAACACTCCAGGCTCGACCCCCAACATCTCCAAGCAGGGCTGGGATACAAGCCTGTCTGAAACCTTGGAGAGCCACTGCAAGTCAATATTAAACAGGGATAGTCAAGGCGGTGGACTCGTCATGCTGCTCCAACTCCCATCATTAGGACATCAGGCAGCTCACCTAAAATCAGAATCACAGGAAATGCCTGCATTCACCTTTCAGAGTTGCAATTATTATTATTTCAGGTGCCAGCCGGCATGAGTTATCTGGGCTTCGATCCCACTGGTTTTTTGTTTTTTTTTAGCAAGATAAAAGCCCCACATAACCATGCTGAATGGCAGCCTTGATTCATCCACATCTTGCAAAGAATAGCTAATTGTACGAGTTTATTTTCATGTGATAATTAAACTCCCACAGCAGATGCTCCCGTTCAGGCTTCAGGTTATTTCTCCAGTGTGTTTGTGCCACCTTAAAATATGCATGATTTGATGAATCTGGGCATTAAACAATTTCGTCTAATTAATGAGAGAATCAGACGCGCAGCTGTTTCCAAAGCCCTCCTGTGCAAAAGGAACCAGGTGCAAACTGTGAAGGGAAAGGTCACTGGGTGGCAATGTGGACTCAGCTTTTTCCTGCCTCTGCCTGCAACTCTCTCCCTTCTGCTAAAACTGCAGAATTCTAGTGGGAAGTTCTGGTGATTTGGTACAGATGATTAAACACACACACCCATACATATGTCACAGAGGTGGAGTTTGAAAGCTAAGAGCCTTCTGGAACAGGCCAATGGCCTATCTATTTGAGCATCCTGTTCTCACAGAGGCCAACCAAGTGATTGTAGGAAACCCACCACAAATGCACTATTATTGTATCAATGAGTTGTTGCAGAATCCATACACCAAAAAGTCTCCGAAAGGGCCCTATTTGTCAAATGCCATGCAGACATTGCCACCAGGGTTTTTTTCTACCTGCCTGGGCCTGTAACCACAGCAAGCACCCAGAGATTTGGGCAGGCTACACTACCGCAGATCCTGATGTTGTGCAGCCCCGAGATGAGTTCACCAATTCAGTGAGGACTAGAGACCTGGATCTTCTTGCTAAAACCCAGTCCTATGATCTCAGGCAGAGATGTTATGTATTCCCAAGTGCCCACATTTACTAAGGACCCTGGATTAGAAGACATACAGGTATATAAACACACACACATGTGAGAGCCAGTGTGGTGCAGTGGTTAGTGTGTTGGACTAGGACCTGCGAGACCAGGGTTCAAATCCCCCACTCAGCTACAAAGCTCACTGGGTGACCTTGGGCCAGTCACTGCATCTCAGCAAAACCTGTTCAGGGAAGTTTTTAATATTTAACGCTGTACTGTTTTAGCACTTGATTGGGAGCCGCCCAGAGTGGCTGGGGAAACTCAGCCAGATGGGCGGGGTATAAATAATAAATTATTATTATTATTATAAACCTGTCTTGCAGGGTTGTTGTGAGGATAAAATGGGAAGGAGGAGAACTTATCGCATTTATAAATTTTAAATTTATTGTTGTACATTGTTTTAATTGTTTGTTTTCCTTCTGGGACTGTACCCCCAAGCGTGTTTTATAAGCTGGTCTCCGACCGTAATAAATTATCTATCTATCTATCTATCTATCTATCTATTTACATCTGTGATACAGTGGTACCTCGGGTTAAGTACTTAATTCGTTCCAGAGGTCCGTTCTTAACCTGATACTGTTCTTAACCTGAAGCACCACTTTAGCTAATGGGCCCTCCCGCTGCCGCCGCGCCGCCGGAGCACGATTTCTGTTCTCATCCAGAAGCAAAGTTCTTAACCCGAGGTACTATTTCTGGGTTAGCGGAGTCTGTAACCTGAAGTGTATGTAACCTGAAGCATCTGTAACCAGAGGTACCACTGTATATATATTTGTGGCAGCACAAATGAGACAACATGCATTTTGGTGATGCTCCTCCCCACCCCTGTGTGTGTGTGTGGCTTATGTTATTCTGCAAAAGACCCCATATGCCGACAGAGCTTTGAACAAGCCCTTCTTTTCCCTGCCACCGAAGACACTGTGTTTTCTGGCATGCCATCCTCTGCTTCCTAAACTGGCTTGACAGCTCAGATTGTGCTGATGTTAACGGGGCCCTCTGTCAACTTCATGCTTCCCTGCTCGGGGCTCTCTGTATTTTATTGAGACAGAAAACATCCTTCTCCTTTAGGCCTTCTCAAAATAGCAGCAGCAGCAGTCTAGGGAGGCAACGATTTGTGAAGCAAAGTGCTCTTGTTTTCTTTCTTTTTTAGGGGGGGGGAGGGTTTATGTTGTTTTTGTTCTCTCCGAGTTGAGTTGAAAACCACCCCTCCTTCAATCTGGTCCTCCAAGGTATGCCCCACGGATCTCCTGTGCCTTTAAGATCAGCTTGATAAACATAAATCTTCTGCAGGTGGAGGGTAAACGAGGACCTGCTCCTGCTAACATCTGCAGACCAAGGGCGCCTCCAGAACGTCTGCGCTCTGAAGGAGTGATTCAGCCGCAAACCTGAACGTCAGCTTTGCCTGCTTAAAGGGCATTAAGGCCTAGGGTGCCCTTAGACACCCACCTTGGCACCCTCCAAGGCCTAGTAGTTTTTTATTTTAAATTTTCATACAACCAGAGAATTGTACAGTTGGAAGGAATCACCAGGGTCATCTATTCCAACCCCCTGTAATGCAGGAATCTTTTGCCCAACCCAGGTTTCGAACCCATGACCCCGAGATTAAGTCTCATGCTTTGCCAACTGAGCTATCCCATCAATATCTGAGCTTTGCCAGTTTTCCTCTTGTGTGATGGGCATTTTGTGTGGTGCCAACAATACTTACTTAGATTTCCCAAATGTGCCCCTGGGCCCAAGGAGGTTGGAATTCCCTGATCTAATCCAGTGTTATGCTCAATGTAGGATCACAGGATAGAAAGTAACTACAGGCTCCCTGATAGGTGGCTCTCCGGCTTCTAGGATCATTGGAAGCTGCCTTAAACTGAGTCCCACCATTGGTCCATCTAGTTCAGTATTCTCTACACTGAGTGGCCGCAGCAGCAGCTGTGCAGAGTTTCAAGCAGGGTTCTCTCCCAGCGGCCAGGGATTAAACCTGGGACCTTCTGCACGCGAAGCAGGTGCTGTGCTGCTGAGCTATCGCTGTTCCCCTAAGAATAAAGCAAGATTCCAGTCCTCATGGTTTGGATTTAAACAAGAACAGAAGATGCACCTTCCTCTTTCGTTCGAACGAGCCGGCCCAGTCCTGACCTAAAGGAGTGAGATCTGTTAGGGGCAGGGGTGGTTCATGGGGAGAGGTCCCACTGCGCACCTGAGGATCTCCCTTCAGCTATGTGACTGCGCTTACCTTTGTGCTTTACAGACACAAAAAAGTGGGGGGTGGGGTAGGGCGTGCACTGCTTAACAGCATGCATAGTTAAACTACATCCATCGTTCTGCCCGGACACTGAGGTCCAGTGCCGAGGGCCTTCTGGCGGTTCCCTTGCTGCGAGAAGCCAAGTTACAGGGAACCAGGCAGAGGGCCTTCTCAGTAGTTGGAACCCGCCCTGTGGAACGCCCTCCCTCCAGATGTCAAAGAGAAAAACAACTACAGTGGTACCTCAGGTTACATATGCTTCAGGTTACATACGCTTCAGGTTACAGACTCTGCTAACCCAGAAATATTACCTCGGGTTAAGTACTTTGCTTCAGAATGAGAACAGAAATCATGCTCCAGTGGCACGGCAGCAGCAGGAGGCCCCATTAGCTAAAGTGGTGCTTCAGGTTAAGAACAGTTTCAGGTTAAGTACAGACCTCCGGAACGAATTAAGTACTTAACCTGAGGTACCACTGTACCAGACTTTTAGAAGACATCTGAAGGCAGCCCTGTTTTGCTGTTGTTGTTGTTTAGTCGTTTAGTCGTGTCCTCCTCTTCGTGACCCCCTGGAGCAGAGCACGCCAGGCACTTCTGTCTTCCACTGCCTCCCGCAGTTTAGTCAAGCCCTTTTTAGGGAAGCTTTTAATGTTTAATAGGTTATTGTATTTTGGTGTTCTGTTGGAAGCCACCCAGAGTGTCTGGGGAAACCCAGCCAGATTTGCAGGGTATAAATGATAAATTATTATTATTACTACTACTACTACAGAACTCATCCCCAAAGGAGGCAATGATGGCTACCAAGTTAGCAGGCTTTAAAAGAGGATTAAACAAATTCATGGAGTTGCTGGGAACTGCAATTGGGGCGAGTGCTGTTTTGGGCTTCCCATTGTGGCACCTGGTGGGCTATTGCGGGAAGAGGACGCTGTGCTAATTGGGTCACAGGCCTGATCCAGCTGCAGGTCTCTTGTGATGCTCTGTCCTGTTACCTCACCCCCCTCTGTGTTTCATATTGTTAGTCTGCCACCTTCGGGTAATCCCTGGAATCGCTGCACAGCAATAACTGCATGGCAATCTCCTACCTGCAGGTACTGGGATTGATCCCAGGACCTTCTGCATACAAAAGGCTGCACACTTCCTCTCCCTTAGAAATAAAAGAGGGTTCCAGTCTTCATAGGATCACAGTATTGAAGGGGCCACAAAGGTCGTCTAGTCCAACTCCCTTCAATGCAAGAATATTTTGCCCAATGGTGGGGCTCAAAACCATGACCCTGAAATTCAGAGTCTCATGCTCTACCGACTGAGCGGTTCTGCATTAAAAGATGATTTAAACAGGAACACAGGAAGCTACTTTAAACCGAGTTACATCATCATGACATCCATCTAGCTCAATATTGTCTACATTAGCTGGCAGCACCTCTCTCCAGGCAACCCCAGATTAAGGCAGTTTGGAGACCTCGGGAGGACTAAATTTAATAGCATCATGGTAAGTAAGACCTCGTCCTCATCTTTACCTATTCAACGGAAGTAGAACCTTGCTGAAATTTTAGCACTGATGAAAATATCGTTGAAAAATTTGTAACTTTTAATGTTTGCAAAAGTAAACAGAGCATTCAGAGGGGAATAATAGCTATGTAAAATAGTCTAGTTAGTATAGTATACTCTAGAATAGTATAGTTAAAGCTATGGTTTTCGCAGTAGTGATCACTGCAGATGGTGACAGCAGTCACGAAATTAAAAGACGCCTGCTTCTTGGGAGGAAAGCAATGACAAACCTAGACAGCATCTTAAAAAGCAGAGACATCACCTTGCCAACAAAGGTCCGTATAGTTAAAGCTATGGTTTTCCCAGTAGTGGTGTATGGAAGTGAGAGCTGGACCATAAAGAAGGCCGATCGCCAAAGAATTTATGCTTTTGAATTCTGGTGCTGGAGGAGACTCTTGAGAGTTCCATGGACTGCAAGAAGATCCAACCGATCCATTCTGAAGGAAATCAGCCCTGAGTGCTCACTGGAAGGACAGATCCTGAAGCTGAGGCTCCAAGACTTTGGCCACCTCATGAGAAGAGAAGACTCCCTGGAAAAGACCCTGATGTTGGGAAAGATGGAGGGCACAAGCAGAAGGGGACGACAGAGGACGAGATGGTGGGACAGTGTTCTCGAAGCTACCAGCATGAGTTTGACCAAACTGCGGGTGGCAGTGGAAGACCGGAGTGCCTGGTGTGCTCTGGTCCAGGGGGTCACGAAGAGTCGGACACGACTAAACAACAATAACGACAACAAAATAGTCTGTTTTCTAAAAAATAATAATTTGGCAAGAGATTATAATGAGGCCCTGGGATGCAGCCCACTCGGCCCGTATGTAAATCCGGCAGAGTCTCCAGACTGTTGGCATTCCAACTCCAGCCTAATGATGCCGGTGGAGTTGAACCGGGCACCTTCTGCGTGCAAAGCAGATCCTAGTAAGGGCAGAGGATATTCAAAATCCCAATAGGATATTATGGGTTGCATGGCCATTCTTGCAAAGCGTCTCTCTCGCCCCCCCCTCCAAAAAGTGCAATTGCCGAGCACGCAAGAGCCGCTGCTTTGCTAAGGTCCCAGTAGCAAGATGCAAGAAAATGAAGCGGTAGGCGTGGCTTGGTGCGGTGGGCGTGGTTTGTGCAGGGAGGACGGGAACGTCATAGGCGCGCGCCGCTTCCCTGCTGCTTTTGAGTTGGGAGAGGAAAAACAAGGGGGAAAGAGTCGCCTCCAGCCGGGCCACGTGGTTTTCTACCTGCAGAAGGTGTGTGTGCTCAGGGAGGGAGAAGGTGGGGGGGGATCCTGTTTCTCCCCCCTTCAATGGTATGGGAAGGGGGGCTTTTGCTAAATACAGAACACTGGAGATGTTCTATATTTAGGAGTCACCTTTTGTGATTTAAAACTGTTATCAATATTGTGTAATCCGCCCTGGGACCTTAGGGTGAAGGGCGGGTTATTGCAATTATGAAAAGTCCCAAGTTCAATATTTGGCTTTAAAAAAAAACGGATCAGGTCGGACGTGGCTGGGACAGACTTTCTCGATCTGAGACTCTTAAGGCAACCGCTGCCAGTCAGAGCAGGCGTGAGGAAGCTGCGGTGCTCCAGGTGTTGCTGGACTCCAGCTCCCATCAGCCTCAGCCAGCATGGTCAGTGGCCGAGGGGAAAAGGAATTGTGGCCCAGTAAGATCTGGAGGGTTGTCAGTTCCTCATTGCTTCTGATGAACTATTTGTATCAGGCCAGTTCCTGCTAGAGGTTGTGTGTAGGGCTGCCTCCCTTTTTTCTTTTTTACTGAGCTGATTCTGAGCTTGTTGACAAACACATCTAGCAGGTGCCACTTCCCCACTCAGCATGCTTGAGCTCTGTGGAGGACAGGTGGGATATAAATGTAATAAACAACAAACAAACAGCTCTCAGTACTCCTGTGCTCAATGGGACTTACTCCCAAATAAGTCTACAGTGGTACCTCAGGTTACATATGCTTCAGGTTACGTACGCTTCAGGTTACAGACTCCACTAACCCAGAAATATTACCTCGGGTTCAGAACTTTGCTTCAGGATGAGAACAGAAATCATGCTCCAGTGGCGTGGCAGCAGCAGGAGGCCCCATTAGCTAAAGTGGTGCTTCAGGTTAAGAACAGTTTCAGGTTAAGAACAGACCTCCAGAACGAATTTTCTTAACCCAAGGTACCACTGTGTTTAGAATTGTGGCCTTCAGATGACACCTGGAGTTGCATCATTGATCATGGCGTGTTTATATCTCTCTCTTTAGCCCTGCTGTGTTGTACAGATGAAACGAAAATCCAAATTGCACCAACGAGAAAGGAGAGATGATCTGGGCTTTGCCTCTCTGCCAATCTGCAGATACCGGAAGAAATTAGTTGAGGCTGTTCGAGATAACTCATTTATTGTAGTGACGGGCGAAACAGGCAGTGGTAAAACCACCCAGCTTCCAAAATACTTATTTGAAGAAGGTAACCATATATTTTTCTATATGGTAAAAGCAGTGTCTATATTTTCCTTTATTGCATTTTGGAATATGAATCCCATTAGCCCCAGGCATCATGGCTCCGCCTCCTGGAACCAACGGGAGTTATAGAGCAAAATATATGGATTACACATGTCTCTCTGTCCAGAGGGGTCTGTGTCCTTTATCCTGACAATTCCACATAAATAATGAATTGCTGCTTTTTCTTTTTTTAAGGGTTGTTAGTCCAGTCAGTCTCTTTCCTCTTCCTGTGCAACTTCACAAGTCCTTCTGCTCCCTTTTGTAGGTTTTGCCAAGCACGGGGCGATTGGCGTGACACAACCACGGCGAGTGGCTGCCACGTCCGTGGCTCAGAGGGTGGCGGAGGAGATGGACTGCCCTTTAGGGAGCATCGTGGGGTATCAGGTTCGCTTTGATGAATGTGTCTCGGAGGTACGAGTCGGAATCAGTCTTATCAAACTTTATCTCGTATCCCCTGCCACCTCTGAGTCAAAGGGGGAGGGGAGCTCAAGGCAGAGGGATCAGGAAGCTGTTGTGAAGCTGTTGCAGCATCTGCCCTCTCCTTCAGATTCTGAGCTCGAAGTGCGTCCCTCTGCACCCTGTCTTGTCCTTGGCGGGCTCCCTGTGTCTGGCTCTTCTTCAACCCTTCTGTGTCTTCCACCCCCCAGTTTTCTCCCTCTTCTGATCTTTCTTCTGTGTCCCACCACCAATCTTTTGGGTCCAAGCCTTCTTCCTCTGCGGCTTCGCTAGGGGATCCCTATGCTTCGGCATCCAGCCAGCCCTGACAACCGTGTACATTTGTTGCTCCACCCACTTTTGCCTCTGGCCCCGCCCTCCACTGGCATGCGGTGCCCCAGAAGGGATGCGGCTCTCGGGTTGAGAAAGGTTCTCCACATGTGCGCTAACCAAATGCCTGATCTTGAAACCACACAGGATACTTCCATCCGATACATGACGGACGGCTGCTTCTTACGGCAGATACTGGCAGATCCACACCTCACCAAATACAGCATCGTCATTCTTGACGAAGCTCACGAGCGGAGTCTGAGCACGGTGGGTAACTAAGCCAGAATGGGCTTATAAAGAGATGCTCGCTTGGTTGCCTAGAAATCGCCTGCAGGAGACTAGGCAGGGGAAGCAAGTGTACAGTTTGGGACACTGTGTACAGCTCTGGATGCCTCACCTCCAAAAAAGGACATTGTAGAGTTGGGAAAGGGCCTGAAAATGGTACCCAAAATGATCCAAGGGAGGGAGCAACTCCCCTAGGGAGAAAGGTGAAAGCATTTGGGGCTTTTTAGATTGGGGAAAAGGCAATCATGATAGGCGTTTGTAAAATTATGCATGGAGAGTGTGGCTAGAGAAAAGTTTTTCTCCCTAACAGTAGTAGTGGTAATAATAATACTAATACTACTAATAATATTTTATTATTTATATCCCACCCATCTGGCTGGGCTTCCCCAGCCACTCTGGGCTGCTTCCAACAAAATATTAAAATACAGTAATGCATCAAAGATTAAAAGCTTCCCTAAAGAGGGCTGCCTTCAGATTTCTTCTAAAAGTCTGGTAGTTGTTGTTCTCTTTGACATCTGGTGGGAGGGTGTTCTACAGGGCAGGCGCCACCACCGAGTAGGCCCTCTGCCTGGTTCCCTGTAGAACTCGTGGAGATCCAATGCAGATGAAAGATTCAGGATAGAAGAAAATAAATTGCTTCTTCACGTAGTGCCCAGTTAAACTATGGAACTTGCTTACCCAGGAGACGGTGATGTCCACCAACTTGGATGGTTTTAAATGACGACTGGACAAATTCACGGAGGCAAAAGCTATCAGTGGCTACTAACCACAATAGCTATGTTCTGCCTCTACGGCTGGAGGCAGCAGTGCTTCCAAATGCCACTTACTGGAGCCCACAGGAGGGGAGAGAATGCTGTTGTGCTCTAATCCCTGTGGGCAGCTGGTTGGCCACTGCGAGAACAGGATGCTGGACTAGATGGGCCATTGGCCTGATGCAGCAGGCTATGGGTTTTTGTTGTGTGTCTGGGTGGAAGGCTTGTAAGAGGGAAGACCCTGGGAATTTAATGATGACTAGATGCTTGGCTCCCCTCCCGCTTCCAGGATATCCTGTTTGGCCTGCTGAAGCAAATGTTTCAAGGGAAGAAGCCGCCGGAGAGAAAAAGGCCCTTGAAAGTGGTGGTGATGTCGGCCACTCTGGACACGGACAAGTTCTCCGAATTCTTCAATCACTGCCCTGTGGTGGACATTCCTGGAAGGAACTATCCGGTGGAGGAGAAGTTCTGTGGTCTCGTGGGCCCGAGGGATGCTGACGGCTCTGCGTATGTTACAGAGGTACTTGCTGGTGGGAAGGGCTGTGGCTCAGCGCTAAGCAACGCCGGCCTCGCTTGCGGAAGGTCCCAAGTTCAACCCCAGCATCTCCAGGTAGGGTCTGGGAACTGTCTGAAAGCCTGGAGGGCCGCTGGCAGGCAGTGTAGACAACCCTGAGCAAAATGGAGCAGTTTTCTGAACTGGTACGGCTGTTTCCTGTGTTCTGTTCTGGTGAGGAAAGCACCTTTCCAATGCCTTAACAACCTCTGGCTGCTCCCACCTTGCCTGTTAATCTTTTCTGGAAGTGGATTGAAATCACATCTAATCATCATTTTCTTCATTATGGGCCTCTGGATTTCCATCCAAGGTGGCGTAGAGAAAGGTCGTTCTTGGCTGAGCTCCGCAGGCTCTTTTAATGGTTTAACTGGGGTTTGTTTGTTTTTCTTTCTGTGTGATAGTGGTGGTGTTGGTTCAGCAGCTATCTAATTTATCAGGGGGCAAGGCCCATTTTAGTGTTGTTTTATTCTCTGGGGACCCAAGAATTGTAAATCAGTTTCAAAGGGAGCTCAACAGCCGTTCTCAGTGTTTGCCTATACAGGTTTTAATCTTTATTCTAAGGATTTTTAAAACCTTTTTTTTTAACCTTTTAAACTTTTCAGTGTTTTACCACTGCATTATGGTCCTCCACGGGGTCACCAAGGAAAATGGCTAGACCTACAAAGGCTTATCGCCATCTCCTGCACTGACTTGGTATATCTAAAACACTATGATACCACTTTAAAGAGTCATGGCTTCTCCTAAAGAATTCTGGGAGCTGTAGTTTGCTAAGGGTGCTGGGAGTGTTAGGAGGCTCTTTATGCCCCTCACAGAGCTACAATTCCCAGAGTCCTCTGTGAAGAGGGATTGGTTGTAAACCACTCTGGGAACTTAATAAATAATGATAATAAATAAAATTGCAGCACTATGCGGGGAATAGGGGTTTCCTAACAACTTTCAGCACCCTTAGCAAATTACAGCTCCCAAAATTATTTGGGGAAAGCTATGACTCTTGGGACGTGGGTGACGCTGTGGGTTAAACCACAGAGCCTAGGACTTGCCGATCAGAAGGTCGGTGGTTTGAATCCCTGCGACGGGGTGAGCTCCTGTTGCTCGGTCCCTGCTCCTGCCAACCTAGCAGTTCGAAAGCAAGTCAAAGTGCATGTAGATAAAAAGGTACTGCTGTGGCAGGAAGGTAAACGGCGTTTCCGTGCGCTGCTCTGGTTCACCAGAAGCAGCTTAGTCCTGCTGGCCACATGACCTGAAAGCTGTACGCCGGCTCCCTCGGCCAATATAGCGAGATGAGCGCCACAACCCCAGAGTCGTCCACGACTGGACCTGATGGTCAGGGGTCCCTTTACCTTTTTATAGAGCTGTAGATGTGTGAATGTGGCCTTGGTGAATGCAGGATGCATCCCAGGACTTCTGAAGTGTCAATTAATGCATTATTTCTCCTTCTCTTCTAAGTTATGATGGGCTGTGGCTGAAAAATAGAATTTGGGGGTGGGGCTATGCAGATCAAGGGGTGGAGCTTATATGGCTAGGAACAGGTTCTGAATTCTCAGCAGTTCCTGTTGGGTTTGTGGGCTCCCCCAGGCTGCTGGAGAACACTTCTGAGCCTGTGAAGGAAGCGTGGGTTGCCCACAGCCCGAAGCCTCAGGTGGCAAAGTGTAGCTTTCCCCACATTGGTTTTTACAGCAGAGGAAGGCCGTGAGTACATGTGTGTGTGAAGGGAAACGGCTTCCAACGCTTTGCATGAAAAGGGGGATCTATTTTCAGCCAGTCCTAATCTTATTAATGTTGCTTGTTTCAGACTGTAAAAGTCACCTTGGATATCCACTTGAGCGGCTCAGCCGGAGACATCCTGGTTTTTCTAACAGGTGAGCATTTCCCATGCAGAATAACCACTTTTGATGGTGAAATTACGATATTAACAAAAGCGCACCTGGGTGCTAGCAGGCTCTCGTCAGACGATGAGTGCATTGGGTTCTCTCATGGAAGCAGATTTTCCTCCATTAGTCAATCAATTTCAATGGGTCTCCTTTTGAGATTGATTGGTGTGGAATACAGTCCATTATTTATTAGCATGCACAGCTTAATGCAAAAAAAGACTAAAAATAAGCAGCCTGCAACATGCAAAAAAACCCCAAACAAACCCCATTACACAGGCATTCAGATATAAACATCCATATTTAAAATACACAACAAAATTTTCCTGTTAAAAACAGCACAGCAATTAAAACAGGTGACTCCAGGTTAGGGGATCAAGGGGAGTGTCTGCTTAAACAAGTGCATCTTCAGAAGCCGGTGGGGTGTCAATGCATATGGAGCCCCTTGCGTTTCAGCAGTGAGTGTATATAATAGTAATAATAATGATGATAATAATAATAATAACAACAATAATAATAATTAATAATTTATTTATACCCTGCCCATCTGGCTAGGTTTTCCCAGCCACTCTGGGTAGCACCCAATCAAATATTAAAAACACAATACGGAATTAAACATTAAAAACTTCCCTAAACAGGGCTGCTTTCAGATGTATTTTAAAAGTAGGATACAGTGTTACCTCGGGTTACATACGCTTCAGGTTACAGACGCTTCAGGCTACAGACTCCGTTAACCCAGAAATAGTGCCTTGGGTTAAGAACTTTGCTTCAGGATAAGAACAGAAATCATGCTCCGGCGGCGCGGCAGCAGCGGGAGGCCCCATTAGCTAAAGTGGTACCTCAGGTTAAGAACAGTTTCCGGTTAAGAACAGACCTCCGGAACGAATTAAGTACTTAACCCAAGGTACTACTGTAGTTGCTTATTTCCTTGACATCTGACAGGGCGTTCCACAGGGCGGGCACCACTACCGAGAAGGCCCTCTGCCTGGTTCCCTGTAGTTCCAAATGCAGAGCAGAATCTGGCTAAAGCTAGACATTTTTTTAAAAAAACAGGCTTGCAATTTGGGAGCCTTCCCTCTGCCCCCACCCCAAAAGACCTCCTTGTTTCTCTTTTTGTTTTTAGGCCAGTCCGAGATTGAGAAAACCTGCGAGTTGCTTTTCCAAAAGGCAGAGTCTATCGATTACCAGTTCGATGTAAGGGATCGCTCTGTTGAAGGCTTGCTCATATTGCCATTATATGGCTCCATGCCAACAGGTGAGTCTGAGTTCTGCTTTGTGAGAACCTCAACTTTCATTACAAACCAGCCAGCCAACCAACCAAGTTGCTAGTCCTTAGGACTCGGAGCTGTCCAGGCAGTGCCTTTCTGAAACTCAGGTGACTGGGCAAAAAGGTACAGCCTCATTTCTCCTCCCCATGACCCCATTTGAAGAACCAATGACAGACATCTGTTTCAAGGTCTCTCCAACTCTTTTTTAACCCCCCAGATCAACAAAGGAGAATATTCCTCCCTCCTCCTCCAGGAATCCGAAAGTGTGTGGTGGCCACAAATATTGCCGCAACTTCTCTGACAATTGATGGAATCAGGTTAGCTGTTCGGGGTATTTTTTGACCAGGAGAATGAGGCAGAGGCCTGAAAACAGAGGGATGGGTAACTTGGATATGTATGGCAGGCCAAAATTAATACCGCCCCCTTACGAGCTCACATGATTCTTCCTTCACCATTTTATTCGCGTAACAACCCTGTGAGGTAGATTATGTTGAGAGACCATGACTGGCCCAAGTTCTCTCAGTGAACTTCATGGCTAAGTGGGGATTCAGACCCCTAGCCCAGTACTCTTAACAACTGTACCACACTGGCTGTCGCATTTTACGAAAGCATGGGTTGTAAATTTAAAGGTAAAGGTAAAGGAACCCCTGACCATTAGGTCCAGTTGTGACCGACTCTGGGGTTGCAGTGCTCATCTCGCTTTACTGGCCAAGGGAGCTGGCGTACAGCTTCCGGGTCATGTGGCCAGCATGACTAAGCTGCTTCTGGCGAACCAGAGCATCGCACGGAAACGCCGTTTACCTTCCCACCGGAGCGATATCTATTTATCTACTTGCACTTTGACATGCTTTCGAACTGCTAGGTTGGCAGGAGCAGGGACCGAGCAACGGGAGCTCACCCCGTTGTGGGGTTTCGAACCGCCGACCTTCTGGTATGCAAGTCCTAGGCTCTGTGGTTTAACCCACAGCGCCACCCATGTCCCTGGTTATAAATTTGCAAGTAAATAAATAAAGAGTTCCCAGGGAAGAGGGATTGATTGTTAAACCACCCTGGGATGGGGTCTCCTAACAACTCTTGGCACCCTCAAGAAACTACAGCTCCCAGGATTCTTTGGGGGAAGAAGCCATGGCAGTTTAAAGTGGCAGGATACCGCTTTAGATGTATATGGTATAGATAGGTCCCTGCCGCACAGAATTAAGAGTCGCTTCTGTTTCTCCGCTCACCTCTGACTCCACCCACTAGTGACATGTGGCTCCACCCCCAAAAGCAGGCCCACGAGGGAATTCGGGCTTTAGGCAGCAAAAGGTGCCCCACTGCTGGTTTAAGGGGCCGATGTGAAATTAGGCCTGCTGTGATGGTTGAATGCATGGATCACATTTGAGCTTCTCTTTAAGGTACGTGGTGGACAGCGGGTTTGTGAAGCAGTTAAACCACAACCCGAGAGTGGGCTTAGACACACTGGAAGTTGTCCCCATTTCCAAGTAAGTTTGAGGTACTGTGGGGTTTGTTTCTCACCATTTTAGAGGAAACAGCCTTTCTTATGGAACCTGTAATTTCTCCACAGGCTGCTGCAGCTAATTTATTTGTTATAATTCTGCTCTTCAGCCAAAAGGAAGGCTCCCAGAGCCATCTTTTTTAAGATCGCCCCTGCCAGCAGGCTTACAATCTAAAATGGCACGACACAAAAGGAAAATGGGCTGGGAGGGCGGAGGAAATAAGCAAATTCAGGTTCAGGTTTTTGGTTGGTAGTAACTATTATTATTATTACAAATATTATTATACATTTGTGTCTGTTATATATTTTGGAAAGTTGTGGGTCTGCTAAATATGCATTTAGATACACCTCTTAAGGTACCACGATCAAAATTTTCATGCAGCGTTAAAACTGCACATTTGCAAAGCTAAGCAGGGTGCGCGGTGGTTTCAGATTGGATGGGGAATCACATGTTGAAATTCCTGCATTGCAGCAGGTTGGACCAGATGAACCTCAGGGCTCCTTCCAACTCTGCAATTCTGTGATGCTTCCTGAAATCATGCCGTTGGCTTTTGTCTTAGTTCGGGTACCATTTTGAATCACGATGGCAGGCTGAACCTTTCGAAACAATGCTGATCTTAACCACTGATTTTACAACTGCCTTGATTGTTTAAAATGAGTTTTTTAGACTTATCGAGCGATGCTGGATACGTTGCTGCTAGTTACTAATATAACATCACACATATAACTCTGTTCATTTGATCTGCATTCCATTTTATCCTGGCTTTGTAGAATTTTGGAAGGGATCTCAGAGGTCATGCAATCCAACCCTCTGGTCAGTGGCAGGAATATTGCAACTGCTGAGCCCCTCTCAGACACCCACCCACCCTTTGCTTAAAACCCTCGGCCAAGGAGGGGACCCTTTTGTTTTACACCAGGGGTCAGCAAACTTTTTCAGCAGGGGGCCGGTCCACTGTCCCTCAGACCTTGTGGGAGGCCGGACTATATTTTGCAAAAAATAATAATGTATGAATTCCTATGCCCCACAAATAACCCAAAGATGCATTTTAAATAAAAGCACACATTCTACTCATGTAAAAACATGCTAATTCCTGGACCGTCCGCAGGCTAGATTTAGAAGGCGATTGGGCAGGATCTGGCCCCTGGGCCTTTGTTTGCCTACCCATGTTTTACACGGAAAGGGAACCCTGTTGTTTTCTCTTTCAAAATTCTGTTCTTTGAAGTACCGTATTTTTTGCTCTATAAGACACACTTTCCCCCTCCTAAAAAGTAAGGGGAAATGTGTGTACGTCTTATGGAGCGAATGCAGGCTGTGCAGCTATCCCAGAAGCCAGAATAGCGAGACAGATTGCTGTGCAGCTATCCCTCTTGCTGTTCTGGCTTCTGGGATTCAGAATATTTTTTTCCTTGTTTTCCTCCTCCAAAAACTAGGTGCGTCTTGTGGTCTGGTGCGTCTTATAGAGCGAAAAATACGGTAGCGTGGGGCTGTGCATTGCCTGCAGTCAAAACAATAATTTTCTGTTGCTGCCAAGAGGGCCCCTCTGCTGAGCTTAACACTTGAGAGGGCCTGTGGGGAAGGAGGCGGTCTTTCACATATTTGAAGCCTAAGTTATTTAGTTAGCCGCCAATATATTGATAATCGTTAGTTAATGATCCTCTTTTCAGGAGCGAAGCATTGCAGCGAGCTGGCCGAGCCGGACGGACATCTTCTGGGAAGTGCTACCGGGTGTACAGCAAGGAATTCTGGGAGCAGTGTATGCCCGACCACATGGTTCCGGAGATCAGGCGAACCAGCTTGACGTCTGTCATCCTGACCTTGAAGTGCCTTGCTGTCCACGATGTCATCAGGTGCCCATCCTGCCCAACAAGCTGAACGGGGAGTCGCGGGGGTGGGGAAGGGAAGAGGATTGGCGATCTTGTTGCTTCACTTCTTTTTAAGGAATCCCGCAACCTTTGGTGACTTGATTCCCCCCATTTTCTGTTTAGATTTCCTTATTTGGATCGCCCGGAAGAGAGACGTATTCTGGAAGCTCTCAAGGAGCTTTATCAATGCAGCGCTATTGACCGGTAAGTTTAAGCACCTGTGTACACACTGTACATTTATTTTCCCTGTAATTTTCTTAAATTATGTTTCCCTCCCATGCACCTTACAAATCAGTAAAAACAAGAGATTGCTGGTTTTCACTCTCCATTGACACATAGAACTATTTACTGGAACATCTCATATTACAGCCATCAGCTGATATTTTCTTCTTCTTTTTGAAAAAACTACTAAGCTCTTATTCCCTGTGTGGCTTGAAATTAAAAATCAATAAAAATATTTATCTGTTGGGAGCCGCCCAGAATGGCTGGGGAAACCCAGCCAGATGGGCGGGGTATAAATAATAAATTATTATTATTATTATTATTATAGAAACAACAACAGTAGATTAAAACAGAGCATATTTTGTACAGGGGCCACCTGGATGGTGCAATAGCACCCGTGAAGTCTTCCTCTGCCACCCAGGAAGCCTTTGGGCACCCCCACCCTGCTCAAGTGTCCCTTTAGTTGTGGGGTGGTGAGTGTGGTTATTTTTTCCCCTCTTTTGAATAGTTCATAGAGCTGAAGGAGGAAGTTGGAAGAGTGACTCTCTTTCCCACTTCCTCTTTCAGCTCCAATGCACTTTTCACAGCTCCAATGCACTTTTCACAGATCTCTTGGTGAAGCGAATTGTGTGTGTGTTGGGATGCGGGTAGGTTGTGTGTGGATTGGGATTGGGATCTGGAGAAGTGGGGGGCGGGTGAGAAATGACCAGAGGGAGTGGTGCACTTGCTCAAAAATGTTGGGAATCATTCTGCATAGAAACAGTAAATATGTTTGTACCTTTAAGAACTGTTTATGGGAGCTTTGGGCAGATTGGTTGCAGCTGGTCATGACTACAGAAGGAGAAAAGCTGCAGTTTGAACTCTGCCTGCAGAAAAAAACACCCACAAGCTTTGCTGTTTGTTGTTTTGTAATCAACCTTTATTTAATTTGGTTTTACACCAGTCTCATGGTGTCACAGTCTCTGTCATCTGCCACCAGTGGAAAATCCCCCTCTAACAAAAAATACAAATGTGCTCTCAGGTGTAAAAAGATAGGAGGCCCTGATATACAGTATATACAGACTTAAAAGTTCTTTCTGCTACTAATTTCTTCTGCTCCCAAGAATATGGTGGGAGGGGGTTGCAACTCAGTAGTAGAGTAAATAAATAAAATTATGATTGGGGCAGAAGTGGGCGGAGCTTTGACTTCTCTGATGTCATTTTGCTACTTTATGCAGTGGGTCACGTGACGGCTCTGATGTCACTTTGTGAAATGGGATCACACGCCTAGGGCTTAATGTTTGGCTAACGGAAGGATAACCAGATTTGCAGATTAACCCTCATTCCTTTTCCCCCGCCACCCGTCTTCTCTCTCTTCCCAAAATTTAGGAGAGGCTACGTGACCAAACTGGGGGAGTTCATGGTGCGGTTCCCCCTGCCTCCGAACCTGACTTGTGCTGTCATAAAGGCTGCCTCTCTAGGCTGCGAAGACTTGATGCTTCCAATCGCAGCCATGCTGTCAGTGGAAAAAGTGTTCATTCGACCAGGTAGGACGGGAGAAAGGGTGGCCGCTGTTGGCCGCTGTGGAGCCAGAGAACACACATTTCCTCCCCTGAAGACTGTCCTTTTAGGGTAGGATCATTCCTTGCAGAGGCCTTAGCCGAGGTTGTTATACTTTGGATCGTGATGATGATGATAAGTTTGTGCATCTAGGTAACCCACATTATTTTACATCAAGAAAATGTGACTTCTATCTAGCCTTGGAAATTAAAAAAATTAAAAAGGCACCCTCCTAATAGCGAACTTGTCTCTTGGGTGCCAACAGCAGTTGAGAACAAGAGGGTTTCTCAAGAGAACATATAGCACCGGTCCTGAAAGACCTACATTGGCTGCCAGTATGTTTCCGAACACAATTCAAAGTGTTGGTGCTAAGCTCTGAAGCCCTAAACGACCTCGGCTCAGTATACCTGAAGGAGCATCTCCACCCTGTCACTCAGCCCGGACACTGAGGTCCAGCTCCAAGGGCCTTCTGGCAGTTCCCTCACTGCGAGAAGTGAAACTACAGGGAACGAAGCAGAGGGCCTTCTCGGTGGTGGCGCCTGCCCTGTGGAATGCCCTCCCATCAGATATCAAGGAAATAAACAACTATCTGACTTTTAGAAGACACCTGAAGGCAGCCCTGTTTAGGGAAGTTTTTAATGTTTGATTGCTTTATTATTATTATGATTATTATTAATTATCATCATCATTAATATTCTGTTGGGAGCTGCCCAGAGTGGCTGGAGAAACCCAGCCAGATGGCTGGGGTATAAAGAAATTATTATTATTATTGTTATTATTATTAATTAATTAACTAATAATAGTGTGCTCAGGGAAATTCTTGGGATTATGGAAGTGCAAAAGGGTTTTATTAAATAAAACAAAAGACAAGGAGCCCCCACCCCAAAATCCTAGCCCAATCTGAGCATGTTTAGCAGGCATGGAATGTTAAGTATCAGATGGAGAAAGAAAACAGAAAAGGGCTGTGTCTGTGAGAGTGGAAGGTCCTGCTTGAGTCAACAACACCTAATAGCTCAAGGTGACATCCGTGTTTCCCTCCTTATTTAGTCCCCACAACAACCCTGTGAGGTAGGTTAGACTGAGAAGCCCTGAGGGAAATAGCTGTTTTCTGTGCTATGGCAGAGGCCTGTAAGGGCTGTGGAAACGAAAAAAATAGGCAAAGGGCTGGGCTGGGGAGTGATGCTTGAATAGGAATGATTGTTGCCAGAGGACAAAAGTCCTTTGATGGTGCATCCTACATTCGCTGGTGGTGCCGGGTAATCTCTGTAACACATTAACTTTGGGTTTCTTTGGCTCAGCAGTCAAAAGCAGTGCATGCTAGCGGTGCCTTTGAAAAGGATCTGCTGCGGATGGGGGGCTACTTAATCATTTATCTGTGCCCACTTTAAAAACCAAACTTGAAAACCTGCCCTGTGCCTCCACAGCTAGCCCCTTTCCCTAGCCACAAGCTGGGCTGTAGCAACTGAACAGTGACTGGGAAATCACTCTGCCTATGCCCAGAGGCACAGTTTTCCCCACTGCTAATTCTCGTGACAGGTTCTGCTAAGCTTTTGTCTCGGACTTTTTTCGGATAATAATAATAATAATAATAATAATAATAATAATACAGTGGTACCTCAGGTTACATACGCTTCAGGTTACAGACTTTGCTAACCCAGAAATATTACCTCGGGTTAAGAACTTTGCTTCAGGATGAGAACAGAAATCGTGCTCCGGCGGAGCACGGAGGAGGCCCCATTAGCTAAAGTGGTGCTTCAGGTTAAGAACAGTTTCAGGTTAAGTACGGACCTCCAGAACGAATTAAGTACTTAACCTGAAAATTTGGAATAAAAGGAATTGATGCCCAACTTCATCCAACTTCTCAAATTCCCAAAGCTTTATTGGCATATAAACAAGATTACAATAAGGTTCTGCGTGAAATCACTCAGCAAAATCTGCATCTAACACTCGTGTAACACTCAGGAATCCTCACTGCGTGTTGCAGAAACCTGGCTACTATCTCCATCTTATTCCCATCCTGGATAAACATAAGAAAGACTACCTTACATTCGTCACCGTATTTCCTTAGGTGATCCTGAGGCTCAGAAAGAAGCTGAGCTCCGACACCAGGGGCTGTCTTTGCAAGCAGGAGGAAGCAACGACTTTGCGACTCTCCTGAATGTCTTCGAACAGTGCAAAGCAAGGTACCCAGTGCTGTAAACAAAAAATTGCCCTTTCCCCTTATGGGGTATCCAAAAGCCCATATAGAGTCCTTACATAGGTTCCCTATTGGTAAGAGAAAATAACAGAGGCCAACCAGAAAATATTGAGAAGCAAAGCAGCTAGTAAGCCTGATCTTTATTGATCTGTTGCAACAGGGTGGTTCCCTCACCCGCAGGAGAGGAGGAGGAACCCAGAACAATGGCGCGCAAGGCCTTATACAGACTTTTGAAATTGCCACCCTGTAGATCAAGGCCACCCCAAGAAACATCATACATACATCACAGAGGGGTGTAACCTAAGACCACCCCTCAGATACATCACACCTACATCACAGAAAAGGCGGTCTAAAACAGAAATTTGAATATTGTTTTTCTCCTGTTGTTCTTTATCTCCTGTCTGGCAGGTTGCTTGATTGGATTGCCTGGGGAGCCCGGCCAGTCTTTTGTAGTGATAAATACTTAGTTCCTGGGCCAGGTCACAGGCTCACACCCTATTCAAACACAGACATACCCGTAAGACAGGATTTGTGAGGAAAGAGACAATGGGAGATTTCCCACTTTGACCTTGCAGAGAAAACATTGGCTCAGTTTAGGAATCAAAATGGTTCAAGGTTGGTCTTCCTGTGCTGATCTATGTACGTGCTTGGTTGGTACATTTATGAACATTACCATATATCTAAGACCTCAAAATTCCTATCACACCTTCCAGGTGTTGTCAGACTACAACTCCCATCAGCCCCTGTCGGTGCAACTATTGGGTCCAGGATGATGGGTGTTGTAGTCCAGCAATATCCGGAAGAATTGTCCTCTTGTGCTTCAGTGCCAGAATAGCAGATGGACAGAGGGTTGTAAGTAGGGTTGAGTTCAAGGTTTCGGGGGGTAGATATTAGGGGTGTGGGGCCTTTGCCCAACCTGGGGGCCACATTCCCTTCTGGGCAACATTGCAGGGGCCAGATGTCAGCAGTGGGCAGGGCCAGAAGGAAAAGAGGGTGAAGGAACACATGTCAATTTCCTCGCACTTGTTACTACATCTTCTGTCCAGGAAAACATCCTGGCACCTGGTAGGGAAGAGGCTGCCAGTCAGTGTAGACAGTACTGAGCTAGATAAACTTTGTGTAAGGCGGCTTCCTTTCTTATTAAACCAGCCTTTAAATCAGAACCTTGAGGACTAGAATCTTGCTTCGCATGTTCCATTTAAAACAGCAGCTTTTGTTGATCTCGCTTATTTCCCTCTGGCTTAGCAAGTCCCCATCTGCTTGGTGCCGGGATAACTGGGTCCACTGGAGAGCACTGAAGCTGGCGTTCAGTGTGGAAGGGCAGCTCTGGGAGATCACCAGCAAGTTGAAGCAGGTGGGTCTACCTTGGGCGGTGGGGGTCTTGGGATGGGTGGGGCAGTGTCATGCAGGGGTCCTTGGGAGGTTTCCCCAAGGAGCTGTGCACAGTTAGCCCTGTGGAAGTCGCTCCCACAATAGGCAGCGATGGCCCCCAACTTGGATGGCTTTAAGAGGGTTAGACGAATTCATGGAGGCTCTCAGCGGCCGCTGTCAGGATTCCTGCTTGCAGATTTCCCCTTGGCACAGTGAGAAGAGTGCGTTGGACCAGATGGGCATTTGGCCTGATCCTGCACGACTCTTACGCTTCTTAAAGCTGTAATAAACGAAAATCTGTCCTTATTCCCTTGTGGGGGACACAAGAGTCCTTATGGGGGACACAAGGTTCTCCATCGGTCGGAGAAAAGAACAGAGGCCAACCAGAGAATATTGAGAAGCAAAGCAGCTAGTAAGCCTGATCTTTATTGAACTGTTGCAACAGGGTGCCCCCTTCACACGCAGGAGAAGGAGGAGGACCCCGAACCAAGGTGTGCCCGCCCTTATATAGACATTTTAAATTGCCCACCCTGGAGTCCAAGATCACCCCCAGAAACATCATACATACATCACAGAAAGGGCAGTCTACAGCAGAAATCTGAGTGTGTTGTTTACCTCCTGTCTGGCAGGGTATCTGTTAATGCTTACTTGATTGGATACCCTGGGGAGCCAGGCCAGTCTTTTGTAATGATAAATACTTAGTTCCTGAGCCAGGTCACAGGCTCACCCTATTCATACACAGACATACCCTTAAGACAGGATTTGTGAAGGAAAAGACAATGGGGAGGCTTTTCCATTTTCCTTGACCTTGCAGAGAAATCATTTGGTCAGTTTGGGAGTCAAAATGGTTTCAGGGCTGTTTTCCTGTGCTGCTTCAGACATGTGGTATATATATTTATGTACATGTTTGCTTGAACGTTTTTTTATATATATATGACCTTAAATTTTTTATTTCAAAGCTCATGCCTGGCACCCTTCCCTGACATAATAAACTCCTGATTGCCTTTGGTTTTGCCTGCTAAAACAGTCATTCCAAAACACAAATTTAGTGTTTCACACACCAGAGATTTCACAGCTGTCGTTTAGGTTCCCCGCTCCTTACTTTCAAGAGCTGCTAATGCAAGCCTCATTGAACTTAGACCTTTTTATTTTATTTTACTATCTCTTGCACTCTTTACTTACTGTCAAAATTGGCCCGTGGAGAGCAGACTGAGGAATCTGGCTGGCACTAGCTTGCAGTTACCTGGTTTGGGTATACTAAGCCCTGCACAGCTTGAGGTCAGGGTACCTGCAAGATTGTCTCGTCCCCTTATATGCCCAGTCGATGACTGCGCTCCGCAGGTGAGGGCCTCCTGAAAATACCATCCCATCAGGAGGTTCACTCTGCACAAAATATGAAGCAGGCCTTTGGTGTTCTTTTAGAGTTTCCTCCCCTTTAAATATTAGACAGACGCCATCTCTGTTGTCTTTTTGGTGCCAGCTGAAGACTTTCCTCTTCCAACACGGCTTTTAAGCAGAGATCTTTCCCAGTCTGCATGTGCCTAGGAATTGTTTGGGGGATGTTTTAAAGATGGCTTAGCTTGTGGGTTTGCCGCCTGGGATGCCTTTGGGTGGAAGGGGGGAGGATATAAACTTCTTAAATAAATAAATAAAAATAAATAATAGAGGATTGACCTGGAACAAGCGTAGCAAACATGGCACCCTCCAGCTGCTGATGGACTACAGCTCCCATGATCCCTGGTGGTTGACCAGGCTGGCTGGGGCTGATGGGAGTTGGAGGACTCATGTTGACTCACCATGGAGTAGAAAGACCTTCCATCAGATTGAGTAAGGCAGTTTTTGGTTCTCTCTCTCTCTTTAGCTGCCAGACTTTCCAAGAGAGCATTTTGACGGCTCCAGGAATGAGATCCTGAGAAGATGTCTCTGTGCAGGTTATTTTGCCAATATCGCCAGGAGGTAAGGAGTTCAACAATCAATCTCCTTATTACGGTCAATTACCAATATCCAGAAATAAATTATGTACAATTGCAGAAAATAATGGCAAGCAGAACTATAGCCATAAAATTACTAATAACTGTATAGTACTATAGGATGCCAGGCATGAAAAATGAGATTTTAAGTTTGCTGAAATTAGTCCCTGTTGAATTTTGCATGCAGCTGCGCAATGTTTCACTCCCCCTGGGTATGTTCTTATCCGAAAGGAGCAAAAAAGTAGAAAATGCTCATGATGATCCTGGGAATTTCCGTAAAAGGATTTTCAGTAAAAATCTTACCTGTGTCATGACAAAAAGAACGACACACAAGGACATGAGTTACCATTTCTACTTCTCTAGATTCACAAGGACATTTACATTAATGGGGAAAAGGAGTGGTGCTGTGGTCTAAACCACTGAGCCTCTTGGGCTTGCCGATCAGAGGGTCGGCATTTTGAATCCGTGCGATGGGGTGAGCTCCCATTGCTTTGTCCCAGCTCCTGAAGTTCAAAAGCATACCAGCGTGAGTAGATAAATAGGTGTCACTGCGGCAGGAAGGTAAACGGCATTTCTGTGTGCTCTGGCACTCCTCACGGTGTTCCGTGCGCCAGAAGCGGTTTTGTCATGCTGGCCACACGACTCAGAAAAGCTGTCTGTCAGCGGAGATGAGCGCTGCACCCCATAGTCGAACTCGACTGGACTTTAACCGTCTAGGGGTCCTTTACTTTTACCTTTACCTTACGTTGACGAGAGGGAAGTTCTTGTGGAACCTCCCCTCCAGAACTGCTGATGGAAGGACATTTAAAAATACCAGAGTAAAGGCTCTCTGATGTTTTTGAGTGGAGACTGTGTAAAGGGAGTTCACTGGTTTATAGGGCTGCAGTGCTCTGCCAATAAGCATGTTATTGGAGGTTAAGACTATAAGCTCATAGAGTCGTAGAATTGTAGAGTTGGAAGGGACGATTCTATGAGCTTATAGAATATGCCGCTGTCCCATACGGGGATCAAACCGGCAACCTTGGCATTATCAGCACCACGCTCTAACCAGCTGAGCATTGCAGGGGTTGGACTAGATGATCCTCAGGGTCCCTTCCAACTCTGTGATTCATTTTGTAGTGTAAATAAAACAGATAGAACAATTATAACAGCAGGTGGAAAATTAAAAGAGGGGAAAACAAAGCTATATAAAATTTGTAGAATGAGTACAGTTGCGCAGGGGTTAAAATGACAAAAGTCCCAAGTCAAAGACTATCGGGCTGGTTTTTGGAAAGTCTGCGTCAACCTCTTCTTGCGTTTTTTGCCCTTAGATCCATAGGCAAGTCGTTCTGTACCATGGACGGCCACGGAAGCACCGTCTACATTCACCCTTCGTCCGCCGTAAGATCCCCCCTTCTGTTAATAATTCCTGGGGAGTGGGGGGATGGAATGGTTGAACCTTTCTTTAGATAAAGAGGAAAGCCCAGCCAAGCAGATTCTCTGCATTCCTGGCTTTTATTTGATGGTATAGGTAAATAGTCTTTTTAAGAAAAAGGTCCAGGTTCAGTCCCCAATTGCATCCCTGGGCAGGGCTGGGAATGTTTTCCTGCCTGAAACCCCCGGAGAGCCATTGCCAGTCAAGGTAGACAATGCTGAGCCGGGTGGAACAGTGGTCTGATGTGGCACGAGGCAACTTACACCTTATAACCTGTATTTTAAATTGGGTTTTTTTCTTTTTTCTTTTCCCCTATTATGTTTTTACTGTAATTTTACTGTTGTTAGCTGCCCTGAGCCTGGCTCTGGCCGGGGAGGGCGGGGTATAAATAAAATTTATTATTATTATTATTATTATTATTAAGCTTTCCACTGAGTCAGACCTGACCGGCAGCAAACTCTCCAGGGTTTCAGACAGGGGGTCTCTTGCCCACCTAGCTTGGGGGCACCAGGGATTGAACCTGGCACCTTCTGCAGGCAAAGCAGGTGTTCTTCCACTGAGCTATGGCAGTGTCGTTCATCATGCAGGCAGGGGTCCTGTAGCCAGACACACAGGGGTTACTTGATAGCTAGATGGATATAACAAGGATTCCCTTAAGACAGGAAGTCGGGAAGCTGCCAGTGTGGTACATGCTTAACTCTGCAGTTTTTACCGGGGTGTACCTTTCTTTAAAGAGGGACGTGGGTGGCGCTGTGGGTTAAACCACGGAGCCTAGGACTTGCCGATCAGAAGGTTGGCGGTTTCAATCCCCGCAACGGGGTGAACTCCCGTTGCTCGGTCCCTGCTCCTGCCAACCTAGCAGTTCGAAAGCACCAAGTGCAAGTAGATAAATAGGTACTGCTCCGGCGGGAAGGTAAACTGTGTTTCTGTGCACTGCTCTGGTTCGCCAGAAGTGGCTTAGTCATGCTGGCCACATGACCCGGAAGCTGTACGCCGGCTCCCTCGGTCTATAGAGCGAGATGAGCGCCGCAACCCCAGAGTCGGCCACGATTGGACCTAACGGTCAGGGGTCCCTTTACCTTTACCTTTCTTTAAGAACATGAGATGAGCCTGCAGGATCAGGCCAGTGGCCTATCTGTGCCAGCATCCTGTTCTCACAGCGGCCAACCAGATGCCTTTGGGAAGGCCACAGGCAGGATCTGAGCAAAAGAGCAACTCTAACCCTCCTGCTTTTTCCATTGATAGCCTTGTCCTCAATGAATTTGTACAATCCTCTTCTAAAGCCATCCAAATCGGTGCCATCCCTGCCCTCCTGCGGGAGCCAATTCTACTGTTTTAGTTTAATAATAATAATAATAATAATAATAATAATAATTTATTATTTATATCCTCCCCATCTGGCTGGGTTTCCCCAGCCACTCTGGGTGGCTCTCAACAAAATATTAAAATACAGTAGTCCATCAACATTAAAAGCTTCCCTAAACAGGGCCGCCTTCAGATGTCTTCCAAAAGTCTGGTAGTAGTTGTTCTCTTTGACATCTGACGGGAAGGCGTTCCACAGGGCGGGTGCCACTACCAAGAAGGCCCTCTGCCTGTTCCCTGTAACTTGGCTTCTCGCCAGAAGGCCCTCGGCGCTGGACCTCAGTGTCCAGGTAGAACGATGGGGGTGGAGACGCTCCTTCAGGTATGTGAAGAACTGCTTCCTTTTGCCTTCCTGAAACTTCAGGAATTCAGATGGCCCTGTTTGGGTTCTGTTATTTTGAGAGGGGGAGAAAGGCTTCCCCCAGAACTTGCTGCATTCCAGCTCCCATCAGCCCCAGCCAGCTGCGTCAGGGATCAGGAATGATGGACAATGTAGCTCAGGAATAACTGGAGGCAGAGCATAGCCATCATAGCTAGTGGCCATCGATAGCCGTCTCCTTCCTGAAAGGAAGCTCCTCTTTTACGAAGCATTTCTGATAACTTGCAAAGCACACGTCTCCCACAGCTCCGTGATCAGGAAGCCCAGCTGGAATGGATCCTCTTCCATGATGTCCTCGTGACCTCCAAGGTTTACGTCAGGATGGTGTGTCCGGTCCGCTACGAGTGGGTTCAAGACCTGCTGCCCCGGCTGCACAAGATCGACGCTTACGAGCTGAGCAGCATGGCCCGGGAGGAGGTGACGGAGGAGGAGATGGCCAAATGGAGGAACAAGGAGGACCTCCAGAAGAGGAAGGGTGAGCTGAAACAAGGCCTCCTCTGTGGTGGCCCCAGCTGGTGGAGTGGAATGGCATCCTCTCCAAAGTTGCATCTGGTGCAATCGGTATCAGAGTATCTGGATTGCAAGCAGAAGGCATGAGGTGGGGCCAGGGAGAGGCCTCTGATTGAAACTGCAGAGAGCAACTGCTAGTCAGTGTAGACATTAATGAGCTGGATGGACCAGGGTCTGACTCGGTATAAGTTCGCTTCTTGTTTTCCTGTGCCTTTCAGTGATTGGTTATCTCCTCCTTGGACTACTGCAATATGCTCTACGTGGGGCTACCTTTGAAGGTGACCCGGAAACTGCAATTAATCCAGAATGCGGCAGCTAGACTGGTGACTGGGAGTGGCCGCCGGGACCACATAACACCGGTCCTGAGAGATCTGCATTGGCTCCCAGTACGTTTCTGAGCACAATTCAAAGTGTTGGTGCTGACCTTTAAAGCCCTAAACGGCCTCGGTCCTGTATACCTGAAGGAGCGTCTCAATCCCCATCGTCCAGCCCCAGACACGGAGGTCCAGCACAGAGGGCCTTCTGGCAGTTCCCTCATTGAGGTTATTGGGAACCAGACAGAGGGCCTTCTCAGTAGTGGCGCCCACCCTTTGGAGCACCCTCCCTTCAGATGTAAAGGAAATAAGCAGCTATCCTATCTTTAAAAGACATCTGAAGGCAGCCCTGTTTAGGGAAGTTTTTAATATTTAATGCTGTATTGTTTCTAACACTCAATTGGGAGCCGCCCAGAGTGGCTGGGGAAACTCAGCCAGATGGCAGGGGTATAAATAAATAAATTATTATTATTATTATTATTATTATTATTATTATTATTATATTGGTTACAATGCACCCCTTTAGCCTGACGTTTGGCTGAGTGGCTATTCTCCCTCCCGTTGCAATGATGTTCTGTGCTGATGTTAATCTTATTGACTACTTCATATATTTATTAGATAAATACCCCTTCCTTCCAAAGGAGCCCAGGGCTGGCATTTTGGATTTTGAAACCGGACTGGATAAACAATCTTTCATCTGTGCCTGTAGTTTGTTGCATGGTTCATGGTAACCAAAGCTGGAGAGAAAGTTGTCCCCAGGCAGAAATAACCAATCACCCCTTTGAGTTGGTAGTTTTATTTTATGATTTTAATTTGGGAAAGGCTGAAGTGCATGGGCAGAGCATCTCCCAAAAGGGAATGTGCCTCTTGGGCTGAGAAATGTTCTCTATCCCTGTTAGTTTTGCCTTGGCCTTATGATTATCAGCTTGTAGTAACAGAGAGGCGTTTCCCCCCCCACCAGTGTTGTGAAATGCCCTCCCTGCTGGAATATGAGTGGCCCTATCATTATTGGCATTCCGCCGGATCCTCAAAACACACCTGTTTAAGTGAGCTGGTGATTTTGTTGATTTAATTTTTACTTTTTTTTAACATATACAGTGAAAAGAATCGTTTTTTAATTCAGGATGTTTTAATGTTATTGTGCAGTTTAATTATGGATTGATTTTATAGTGGTAAACAGCACAAAAGCCATATTGGCACATGATCAGTATATAAATTTATAAATGATAGTAGTAGTAGCAATAATAATAATAATAATAATAACAATAAAAACCCTGCATTTTGCAATATTGATTTCTAGTGTGTGGTTTCCCCCTTTCTCTTTTAGAAAAAGTGACAGACAAGTCTGCAAAGAACATGGAGAAGAGGAATGATAACCAATCCATAAGTGATGCTCGAGCACGGTTCTTAGAAAGGAAGCAGCAGAGAATGCAGGAATTAAATACTTCTTCCAAGGAAACTTGAACCGGCAGCACTCCTCCATCCCTGCCACCCACAATGTGCACTTGTTTTACCTGAATTTACACAGCTAGAGCTGGGGGAATGGAGATGGTGGGAAGGAAGGACCCAGGGGAGTCCAAGCTGTCACCTGATACCTCGGGTGGGTGGAGCTACATCACTGTGTATATAAGGACCAGCCGCAAAGGACAGCTCTAGTTAGAGAGTCCCAGTGGGTTTCCTTGGAGGCTGAGAGGATGCCATGTCTGCTCGTAGCTCAGAAATACTTGCAAACGCCTGCAAGCGTGCTGTGGTGGTTGCCGTGTCATGGGCAAGACCCCTCTGAAGGTGTTGAGGCCAAATCAGTTATCTTTTAAAGAGGCAACTACATTACAAGCTACACTTCAAACAAGCCCCCGACTTCTCTTGTCTCTCCTACACCACACACAAACCTTCCTCTCTCATACAGAGACTCTCACACTTCCCTCTCTCATATGCCCTCCTCCTCTTTGTCTCTTTTGCAAGGACTTTCCCCCTGCAAAAGCCGCTTTACAGTTTTCCATGTCAAAATTGATCAAACTGTTGGCGTTGTTTTGCGATCAGAAGAGAAAGCCACTTGACAAAACCCTGGCGGGGAGCCACCTTTTAAAAACGAGTGCATTAAAAATATTTATGGTTCTTACCTATGCTGCTTCCAAGCAGTGTTCATCTATTGGTATTTGGCTTGGAAAGTGGCCTATGACATTGCAACCTTTTCCTAAAAACGCACACTCACATTGGGTGAACTGTTCAAGCAAGAAGTTATAAAGCTTTTATTAAGCCTTTTAAAGAATATATTCATTGCGATATTGTATATACTGGTGTATGTGTGTATTCTTGGTTGTAAAATATCCACCCCTTTTGTTGAGTAAGAAATGTTTTTTGTACCTTTGTTATAAAGCTCTGACAGCTTAAACTGAGCTTTTTGAGTGTATGTGTGTATGCAATGAATCTTCAGAGTGGATATCAATCTTGGATGGATCTGCTATTCCTCTTTTTGGAGATGAGACCTTCAATATGAGTTAAAGATACTGGTCTCCATTGTCTTCAATTTTTCTGCAGGATTACCTATAGCAAGGGTGTGTGTTTGTGCAACCCACCATTGTGGTTAGTCTGTGCCATTCCTTTGTGTGGCCTTTTTAGGAACATAAGGAGAGGCTCTGCTGGATGAGCCCAGCATCCTTGGGGAAATGACGGGCTGTATTCCTTGCTGCACCATCTTCCGAGGGCCAGATGCCATGGTTCTGCAGGGCCAGAAGCAAAAGTGGGTGGAGCAACAAATGCAAACTTTTGTACAACAGCAGGCCAGTTTCTTCAATCCTCCAGGCAAGGAAGAGCCATTGTCACAGTTCTGAAACATTCTAGCCAGGCAAGAACACTCAAGGAGGATGAAAAGCAGGGACTGGCCAGGAATGTGACTTGGGGAGTCTCCCAAGGGCCAGAAAGAGAGATGTGGAGGACCACATTTGGCCCCCAGGCCCAGGGTTCTTCATCCCTGCTTCTCTATACTACCGTATATACGATGCACTAGGACACGGGTGGTGCTGTGGGTTAAACCACAGAGCCTAGGGCTTGCCGATCAGAAGGTCGGCGGTTCGAATCCCCGCAACGGGGTGAGCTCCCGTTGCTCGGTCCCTGCTCCTGCCCACCTAGCAGTTTGAAAGCACGTCAAAGTGCAAGTAGATAAATAGGTACCACTCCGGTGGGAAGGTAAACGGCGTTTCTGTGCGCTGCTCTGGTTCGCCAGAAGTGGCTTAGTCATGCTGGCCACATGACCTGGAAGCTGTACGCCGGCTCCCTCAGCCAATAAAACGAGATGAGCATCGCAACCTCAGAGTTGGTTATGACTGGACCTAATGGTCAGGGGTCCCGTTACCTTTACCTTTATGCACTAGGCTCCCGCAGGGGGCGGGGTGTGTGCGTGCTGCATTGGATAGGAGGGATTTGCAGAAATCAACACTGACCTCCTTTGCACCTGCAGAGCAGCTTCCATTAGCCCAAAGCTACCATTGGACAAACACACCTGGAGGAGACTGGTTCATAAAGCTGCTGCCCAAATAAATTTATTTTTAAAAAATCCAGGCTGTAATGTTATTTATTTACTGAATTTGTACCTGCTGCCTAGCTCTGGCATGTTCTCATTCGGTAGGAAACATCAGATGGGGGAGCCTTGAACCAAAGTGCCCCACATTGCAGCAGTTTGTTACAGCACAGGTCCACACTTGTAATGCTTAAACATTTGCAGCTTAGTAGTCGTGGTTCAATGTATCTATCTAATTACACCCCCCCCAAATCCCTGGTAAGTTTTTTGAAGGGGTTCATACAGTTTAGGAGATCTTTGCTGGCTTTGCGGGGGGCGGGCGAGAACAGAGCAATTCCACCTCCTGGTGAATCTATTTTCATCCACAGTTTTCTATTTTTACAATGGCATGCCATTGGATTAAAGTAGATAAGGCTATCATGGAAGTCTTTTGAGAAATGGCTCCCCTCTCACATTGCTTGTTTAGGAGCAATCCCTTGGAAGGCAACAGGAAGCCTCAAAAACATCCTAGGCCCAACCATGGGTGGGCAAAACCTTGGGGATTGCAATAGTCATTTCCTGATTGCCTGGAGTCAAGGTGTATCTCAGCTAATTGGGTGGCTGACATTTACAAAATGGGACAAATCCTAGGGAGGGGAGAAATTTGTTTGCTTCACACTGTAACACCTACTCACCCGATTTCCATTCCCTGAACCAAAGACGTGAACAGGAATGTGTGTTTCCTTCTAGATCCCCTCTTCTTTGAATTTTGCAATTCATTTTTGTCCAAATCCTACATATATTAGGGGGAAAGTGCACCCTCAAATGCTTCATGTTAGTGAAAAAACTCCCTAAAATGCATTATATTAGGGAAAATTCATTGCAAAGTAATGTATGTAGTAGGGGTTTTTTCCGCAAGTTTAAGAAGAATACAGCCCAAAGTGGGATAGCAATGGGGTGAACTTAATTCACAGCTGGAAAAATTTGAAAAACAGAAAGTAAAATTGGTAGAACTTCGAGGTGCAGGTAGGTCAGAGCTTGTGTAGGATACATATACAAAAAAGTCAATTTGCATTTGTTGCTCCACCCATTAGTGCCATGTGGCCCCCACAAGAAAATGTGGCCCTCAGGGTGAATAGTCTCCCTTTGTTTCATACATGATATATTTACTTACATTGTTCATTTTTTTTTAAGATTAATTTTTATTTACATTTTTACAACGTAGCCTGCCAAAGAGACCTATTCTGATATAGCTGACAGTTGATTTTATTAAGTATTTGCACAGTCTCAAGCCTCTTTCTCCCGCTCTCTATGCATTAACCTGTGGAACAAGGTTACCAGTCCAAGGTCATCTCACTCTGCGTGCCAAGGCCGGGATTCGAACTCGCGGAAAACCGTAAGCAGCTCTTGTCCGCGCAGGCGCCGTAACCACCTACTCCATGGAGCGTTCTGAGCATCTCCTCTCACCAGGGACTATTTTAATACCCGAGAAAGAGAACGCGGAGGGGAACAAGGTGAACTTCCTCCTCCTCCTCTGCCTAGAAAGTCTACCGAGAGAGAGAGAGAGAGAGAGAGAAGCACCTTCCTCCCCCCAATCATGTGATCACGGGGCAAGAATCCCAGGTGGTAATGACTGTGGGGCGCGAGAACGGAAGTGACGTCACCCCTCCGCCCAGGTCGCATGATGTGGCAAAAAAAGGGGGGGGAGACGTAGCGCCGAAGTAGGCGGGGCTCAGGAGAGAGCGAGAGGGGAGGGGGGGCCGAAAGCTTGGCTAGAGAAAGACACATCGAGAGAGAGGGGAAGAAAAAAGTCCCTTCCGGTTTCGCGTATCCTTCCGCGCTTCTCATTGATTCCTTTGCGTGGGCGGCGTTCTGATCCTTCCGCCGCTGCGCTAATTGGCGGCAGGTGAGGAGGAGGATAAGGCGGAGGGAGCCGCCGCCGCCGCCGTGACTGTTCCTGCGCCGCCCGGCCGTTGCTCTCCCTTCCCTTGAGGAGGAAAGTGGTGTGTCCTTCCGCCGAGCGAGCGGCGGCTGTTTCCGGATCGCTCAGGGCGGCCTCCCACCGTCTTCTCCCTCTCTGCTTTCCCCGCCATTGAGAGCCGCCCTTGCCCCCTTCCCGGGTCCTTGGCTCGCCTCGCCGTCGGCTTCTTTTTTCTCACCCCCCTCCTCCTCCTCCCGTGTTTCTCTTTTTTCCTGTGGAGAGACTAGGTCCCCCGCCCAAACGCCGGGCTGGAGCCCCAAAACCCCAACAACGCCTCGGGCGCCATGGCTCAAATCCTGCCCATCCGCTTCCAGGAGCACCTGCAGGTGAGTCTCAAGAAAAAACCCCGTGTGGGGGGGGTGCGGAAGGGGGTCGTGTCTGTGGGGAATGGCTGAGGGAGGGTCAGGAAGGCCTGGGGTTGGAAGCGGGGCCGAGAGAGAGAGAGAGGAGGGGGCTGTCCGTGTGTGACAGTTTTAGGCCTTGGGGGGCAGGGGAAAGGGGGCAGCTGGAGGAATGGGGGCGAAGGGAGGTGCGCCCTGGGTTATGAGCTGGGGCAGGTGGGAAAGGGGTCAGGTGGAGGACTTGGGGAAAGGGAGGGAGCTCCTGGGCTTGAGGAGAAGGGGGGGGGAGAAGAGAGATTTGTGCGTTTGATTATTTAATTTGTATACAGTTTAACATATTAAAAACGCCTCTTAAGTGGGGCGCAGAAACTGGAAGCAACAACAGGCAACTTGAACAAAATATTACAAAAATGCACAGTTGCATATTTTTAAAAAACGCTACATTAATGCAGCGTTAACTGGTATGTGTAAATCAACATGCTTCCAAATACCAGTTGAGAGAGAGAGAGAGAGACAGGGCTGCTGGGAGGTGAGTGTGGGGGAAGTTAGGATTAAAGGACGTTTCTGGAAGGGGTGGTGAGATAGTTGTTTGTATTATATATGTAATTCATTTATATATATATGGGGGAGGAGTCTGTGTGATAGTGGAAGGGGGTGGAAGTGGGGGTGAAGCTAGAGTTAAAGGGGGTTCATTGGAGCCATGGGGAGGGGAGACAAGAGTCTTTTTGTGTGTGTGATATGAATGAAGGCTGGTCTTTGGTATAAAGGTAGGGAGAGGTAGCTGAGGAAATAGGTCTAAAGGAAGTTCATTGAAGGTATTTGGGGTGGGTGTAAAGCAGGAGTTGTACTGGCAAGGTGTATTTATGTATGAAGGAGGGAGGGGACATCTGTGTGATAGCTGAGAGGGAGGACTGGTAGGAGGAGGCAGGAGAGGCTATGGTTAAACTGGGTTTCCTGAATAATGGCTGGGTGGAGGGGCAGAGGCCAGAGCTGCCTGATTGTCTGAGATAAATATGAAGGGGGGAGTCGTCTGTGATGGTTGAGAGAGAGCTGGTAGAAGTAGGCAGGGGAAACTATGGTTAAAGGGGTTCCTTGGGGGAGGGGAGGCATGTGTGTACATAATACATGTATGAAGGAAGGTTTTAACTCTTCCCTCTCTAGAGTACCCATCTGTGTGATAGCTGAGATGAGTGGAAGGGAGGCCCTGACTGAGATTAAAAGGGAGTATTTGAAGAATTTAAGGGAAAGCAAGTGAGGTGGGTGTTACACTGAAGGTCAGGATCATCAATAGGGGAAAGAATATGTGTGTGAAAGGGCTGCTGGAAGTGGGGAGGGGCTGAAATTAAAGGGGGTGTTTGGAAGAGTGGAGGAAATACGTGTGAGTTTGTGCAATGTATGCACACATGTGTGTTGTAGGGTCTTAGGTCTTGGGGACTCTGATGCTAGGAAGCCACCTGACAGGCTGCTGGGAGTGAGGAGCTGAGAAGGCAGGTGACTGAGCATTAGAGGAGGGGTGGAAGCAAGAGGGGTTTGTGCCTAACTTTGCACAGGGAAGGAAGGTCATGGGGTTATCTGGAAGTGTGTGTAGGAAGCAATTTGTGTGGTAGTTTCGTCCTGTAAAGGGGGGGGTGTGCTGAGAGTGAGGCAGTGGTAAAATGGCTCGGTTTAAAAGGATAGGGGTGCTCCAGAGAAGGTTAGGGGAAAACAAGTGTCAATATGTAGAGAGTAAGGAAAAGAGGAGGCGATTCTGTGATCTTCCAGGAGGAGGAGGGAGGGATGCCATCTGTATGACAGTGTGGGGTAGGAAGTGTTGGGAGTGATTCCTTTGGGAGAGGAGGAAAGCCAGTTCTGCTAAATGAATGAAGGGAGTGAGTGAGGAGTTGAGGTGGTGAATGAGACCGAGATGGGGCAGGGGCTTTATAGGAGCTGGGAGGCAGGATGGGGGCCTGAGGCATTTAAGTGGAGAACTGGAAGTGACTGGGAGTTTAGAGGTTTGCAGGTAGGGAGGAGAGAAGGCGGTCCTCAGATAATGAAGTAGGAGAGAGGGAAATGAGTGAAGGTGGCTGGGGCTGTTTGTGCAGCATTTTGAGGAATTGTGGGGTGGGACAAAACCTTTTGGAGTAACAGGTGTTTCTGTATGGCGTGGCAGGAAGGAAGATGATCCTGGAGTAACTTTGAAAGGGAGGGGAGGCCTGACTGTGAGTGGGATTATAAAGGCATTCTAGGTAATGTGGAGGAGATGGGGCTCCAGAGTAGCAACAGTAAGGTTTAAATAATGGAGGAGAAAAGAAGTAAAGGCGATTGAGATTAAAGTGTTTGTGTGTGGAGAGGGGCAGTCCTGTTTGGAGACTAAGAGGGTGGGGTGGGTGAAACTTGGGGAGGTTCTTCAAAGTGGCTGGCATTAATGTTTGGGCGTATAGTGTGGGTGGAAGTAGCCCTGGACTAATTTGAAGGGGTAGATGCACCTGTGTGAGAGGGAGGTGGCTGTTTCTCCATGTGATGGATTTGGCAGGGTTAGAAAAAAGAAAAAGCCAAGAGGAATTATTCTGATGCTTAATTGGGTGTGGTATACTTGCCTTAATATAGATTAACTTGTTAGGCTAATGCAGGGGCTTGATGGGAGCAAGAACCTGACCTGTAGTGATAGGTCAGGGGGTTGATTGGTTTCTGGTTAATGATTTGTGTGACTGCTGACTGCAGAGTTGTTCTGGAAGAATTATGTGACTAGAGCTAGACAGGAGATGATGGGAGTGATTGATGTAGATTTCAGGGGGAGAGAGATCTGTATAGTGGGTCAAGATTTGGTAATGTTGCAAATAACTCTGCAGGGGAAGCCCAAAAGGAATGTTGGGTATGCATGGACAGTTGAAGTGAGAGTGAGCCGATAATTCAACTGGCACATGTTTCTTACGTTTTTCAAGCTCTATCCCGTGTTTCCCTTAGGGATCATGTCCCAGCTGATAGTGAGAAACTGTAAGGAGTTTAAAACAGGAGGGAGCGGGAAGAAATGATGTGATGTTGTTCTAGGGAGGTCAAATAGCATCAGTGCTAGGGCAGTTGGGTTTGGTTGACTTCCGGGGGTGGGTGTTAAGTTAGGCTGAACTTAATGACAAAGTATTTGGAACTAAAGGAATTCTGTGGTATAATGTGATGGGTAATCCAAGGTCAGAGGTCATAGTGGGACCAGGTGTGCAATATCCAGTCACTTTGAGGTGTGCATAAAAGGTAGAGACAAATGTTGGTGCGGCTTGTGGCAGGTATATAGAGTGCAGGAGTGGAATCCAGGCGATTGGAGCTAGATCGGTCAGATGCAGTTGAGGATTCCTTCTCTTTGTGATGAAGGTTGAGAAAGGCAGTACTCATCTTTCTGTGGGTGGAGCTGAAGGTTGTAGTAGTGACTGTGCAGGTATCTGCCTACAAAGTGCACCCCAATCACCCCAGGAAATGGCCCTTTGAGTTCCTGAAGTGGAAGGAACAAGCACACTGCTACTCTTGAATCACAGCTATCCTAACTGTTGAAATAGCATTGCCTGTTAGGGGAAAGGTTATCCACTTCTACAGCAACATTCCCTAGCTTTACTCAAGGAATCTGCTGCCTTCAGTTTCTGTAGAGAAGTTGGGTGTGTGTGAGCAAGTAAGAGTTGCATTCCCTTGATGTGTAGATGCTGTCGTCCTACACATTCTTACATGTGCAAAGATGGCTCAGTGATGGTGAATTTTCCCCTGTACCTTGGTGGTTCACTTCCCTCCAAGCAGGCACTTCAAATTGCTTGAGCTCAATGTTCAATTATTTTAAAATCAGAACTTCCTGTATTCACACTATTGCTTTATTGGGCTGGTTTCCCTCTACCTTCTTGCCCGCCATTCAGATGTCAGCCTGACCTAAGATCTGACACATGCAAACTTTGCATTGTGAAGGGGGAGCTTAGCTAAGTGGTTTCTGCTGCAGTTCCTACTGTTGCCACTTCACAAGAATAATATAATCCTTATTGTGTGGGCGGCACTGGATCTCTGCCTCCAGTAGTGCCTACTGGGAAGTATGTGTGGCTTTGTAGGAGGGGGGTGAGAGGGAGGAAGGTGTTTCTGCCATGCTTTGTTCCTTGTTTGCCTGCAAATAATTTGGTTGAACAAAATGGGGTGGGGGGATCACCTTGAAAAAGAAAGAAAATAAGAGAAGAAATTTGACAAGTGTTACTCATAGTACAGTGGTACCTTGGTTCTCAAACTTAATCCGTTCTGGAAGTCTGTTCCAAAACCAAAGTGTTCCTAAACCAAGGCACACTTTCCCATAGAAAGTACTGTAATGCAAAATGGATGAATCCGTTCCAGACTTTTAAAAACATCTAAAACAGCAATTTAACATGAATTTTACTATCTAACGAGACTATTGATCCATAAAATGAAAGCAATAATCAATGTACTGTACTATAAAATAAATAGTATTGTAGATGATAAAAATTAATTTTTATTTTCTTACCTGCACTGATGATAGTCATTGTTTGAATGGGGGCTTTTATCCATCTCTGCAGTCACACAATCAGTCAGTCAGTCAGTTGCTGAACTGGGATCCACAAAGTCACAAAAACAAATTAACTGAAAAAGCCTCAAAACAGGAAACACAGGGGGACTCAAAACGGAGCACGTTTGGCTTCTGAAAAAAAGTTCGAAAACCAGAACACCTACTTCCGGTTTTGCAGTGTTCAGGTTCCAAGTTGTTCATGAACTAAGCTGTTCGAAAACCGAGGTACCACTGTACTTGCAACTGGTTTTCAGATGTTGCATGTCTATTGAGAACATGTCTCTGAACTTAGTGGCAGCAAGAACAGATCTCTGATGTGAGTAGCTGTTCTGTAAAAAGAAAAAATCCTAATCCTGCTTCCTGCTTCCTGCTTCCTGTTGAGCATTGGCTTCTAGCCTCTTGTGTCAGGAAGAACCAGGCAAAGAAGCGATCGCAAGTCACGCTCCTGCGGGCTTCCTTGCTGCACAGACTTTTGGCAGCACAACCTGGGAGAGAGCCTTTGCACTGTTCCTCTTTGGAATTTTTGCCGAAAATGCGCACACTGCAGATTTCTGTGACTCTTGCTTATATTGTACTGATAGATTGCTTGATTTGCAATTTGGCATCTTTAGAAAATCTGCGCTTGCAGCACAGGGCAGAATAGACTCTTGGGCATTCTCCCAAGAATATTCATCCTGCCTCTATGCACGTTTCGCAGTATTTTCTGTCCCGCTGTGATGGGATCCTGAAACATGAGCTGCTGTGCAGCAGAGGAGAGTAATTCTTAATGGGTGGCACAACACCAGAGGCAACCTTCGTCTCACCTCTTTACTGTTCTCCTGTACATAAATGGTTACCATCCACTCCTTTGGGGAAAAGATAGAAGTATGACACTTAAAGAGAATGTTGCAGCAAGGGCAAAACCTGCCTTCCTGCATCATTTTTGATCATGCTAGTGCTTTCTGATTGGGATCCTGCCAGGTTCCTTGTCGTTTACTTTGCAGGCATTCCTTCTGTCATAATGAGGAGCTCTTTGTAGTCTTGGGGGCTAGACCACCCTGGTCCCCGATGAATTTTGGAGACCTGGTTGAAAACTCCCTTGGTTTGACCTGGAGTTTGTACATAAAAGTTTTGCCTGAAAATTCACTTTGTTGATAGGCTTTAAGCTGCAGTGCTTTGATGCCATCATGGCTGTGGGAGAAAGCTGCTGGGTATTTCTCTCTTCAGGGCTGCCTCCTTTTGAACCTTGCCGGTCGTGGTTAATGTATGCAAGCAACTGTTTCTGGAAAATGCTTTTTGTGTGGTGCCAAAGTTCTTGCCAAGGAGACTGCATAGGATGATAAGGCAAAATGTAGATGAAGTTGGCAAGAGGCAGTGCTCTTGCTCTGCTCAAAGTTATCGCACCTGTTTTCTTTTGTTTGGAGGCCCTTCAGAAACCTGAGGTGGGGTTCCCCTTCAGGGGGATTTCCCTGAAATAGGGTGTAACTTTGCTTCAATCCTTTGAATGCTAAAAAGATGATAGAGAAGGAAGCTTGGTATATGCCCTCCTTTTCCCCCAAGACTTCAACTTGTAATAATTTTATTTGTTTGGCATTGACAAAAAAGTGGAGGGGCGCAATTTTTGCAACCATTTCTTTAGGAGTGGTCAAAAGGGTGTAAAATGTTATTGGGGCACCACATACTGTGGAGGCTCCTTTGCTTGTACAGTGGTACCTCGGGTTACATACGCTTCAGGTTACATACGCTTCAGGATACAGACTCCGCTAACCCAGAAATATTGCTTCAGGTTAAGAACTTTGCTTCAGGATGAGAACAGAAATTGTTCTCCGGCGGCAGCAGGAGGCCCCATTAGCTAAAGTGCTTCAGGTTAAGAACCGTTTCAGGTTAAGAACGGACCTCCAGAACGAATTAAGTGCTTAACCCGAGGTACCACTGTACTGCATGCCTCTTGCTATGCTGAGCTTGATGCAGCACAACAAACTGGTATGGTTTTATTCCTCCATTTACACCCCACTTTTCTTCCAAGGAACTCCTAGATGGGGTGCATGGTGTTTTAGGGTGCATGGTCTTCCCATCCAGGCATTGCCTAGAATGGACTTGGTTGGCTAAAACAATGCTGCCTTGTCTTCCATCAACCATGCAATGGGGAAGTGTTCTTCTCCCTCACCTGTTCAGAGTGGGGCAAAGTGGTTGGTTATGCGTGCTGTGATGTCACATCCACTATGTGATCTCTGATAGGCTGGGAGCTAAAATAGAAAGTGACACTGAAACAGCAGCAAAGAAGGGGAAACATGGATGTTCAGACACTTCCGAACATCCATGAAAAAGAGATGGGATTCAAGGGCTTTGTGTTGCTTTGCACGTTTGGAAGGCATTTCTGATGAAATTAAACTTTATGGCACAGAATTTAGGCTTAGTTCCTAGTATGTGGAAATGCTAACTTGGAAGGATGATGGGGTTTGAGGAAAAGGAATAGAAGCCGTCAAGTAACATTTAGTGTCCTCAGGTGGGTGGAAATTTGCGTTAATGGTTGTTTTTTTAAAAAAAAATACATTACACGACAACTCAGTGCAAGTTTATTAGTTGAACCTCAAGAAAAACAATGATGGCTCTGAATTCTTAACATGCTAAGATTTCAGTTCTGTTCACACTTACCTGGAAGTAGATCTCAAGTAAGTTGAGCTTCATTTTGAATAGATTTCCATAGAAGTGCACTATAATTTTAGCATGTCCAAAGCTCTGTGCATTAAATACATAGGCATTGCCTAAGTTTAATAATATTGGGGGGGGGGATTGCACACCACAGCTTCTAAAACTACCCAGTTTTATAGGATGTTCATTGTTGTTAATGTGGAATGATTCATTTTTGGAAATAAAACATTTCTACTGGAAAACATAGGTTGGAAATCTTTCTGCCCCACGTCACTGAACAGCACTGGTATCTGGCAGTAACACAGTTTAGCTCAGCTTGGTGTATGATCTCGAACTTATTAGCTTAGTGGAAGCCTTTGAGCACCAGTTTGTTTGCTGAGATTGTACAGCATGTCTTCTGCGGAACACCCATAGGCTGCAGAGGATTCTGGGCCATATTCTAGCTATGCACTTGGTTTGTATTGGCCAGTCTTGTTGAGCCTCACTGTTGCTCTGTATGGAAGGGGTGGGGAAAACTGTGGCCCTCTGGATATGTTGTACTGAAATTCCCATTGGACCTGACCATTGGCCAGTCTGCTCCAGCAAAGGCCGCAGGTTCCCCAACCCTCTTGTACAGGCTGCAAGCCCTCCAAACACTTATTTGTTGTTACACATTGCAGAAGAAAGCTACAGTGGTACCTCGGGTTACAAACACCTTGGGTTACAAACTCCGCTAACCCGGAAGTAGTACCTCGGGTTCTGAGCTTTGCCCCAGGATGAGTGGCGGCAGTGGGAGGCCCCATTAGTGAAAGCACATCTCAGGTTAAGAATGGTTTCAGGTTAAGAACGGACCTCCGGAACGAATTAAATTCGTAACCTGAGGTACCACTGTAGTTTGTTGTGAATCTTGTCCACCATCATTAATCTTTTCCCAGAAGAATCCCGAGAATATTGGAGTTCTCTGGAAACATAAATACTTCTTCATGTGGGAGAGCAGTCCGTAAACCCCTCTGTATTTAAATTCTGCCCTCTGTTGTTTTGAATTAAATGGTTTTGGATTCCCACAGACAGAGATGCCAGCATTGGTATCTGGGTTATTTCAAGCAAGGTATTGTCAGGTGCTGCAGGTAGGGTCTCCTCCATTTGCTGGATATCTTGTCCTCTGTTAGCCGACTGGTGATGCATTATTCAAGATGCAGGCTATGCGTGTCTGCCTCCTTTGAGCCTCAAAGTGACAAATGAAACCTGCATCCCTGCTCACTTTCAGCATGGGCAGTTGGCTTTGGTAACCGTCTGTTGCTCTGGCAATGAAACGGTCTGTGTAAAAGAAAACTGGCCTCTTTTCCGCAGTGTACCTGCTGTGGAAAAACCTCTCCATCTGCATGTATACTTGGTACCTTCCTGTACATCTGCCTCCTTGTGTGGAGGAATATGTTGTTCCATGTTCTGTAGAGTCTGTCCAGAACGGTTGTAGAAGTGGTTTGGAGATTATCGTGTTGAACTTTAAGCTGTTTTCACTTTGCAACTAGAAATCTGAGAAGACAAGCTATTTATCTGGTTCCCTCTGACAAATTACCCCAAAAAACCTACCTACAGGTGGATCAGGCAGGAAGCTCTTTTAATTTGTTTCCAGAGGATCCAATAAAATATTATAATGTTCCATCCAAGTCTCAGTCCAGTAGCCTCTTTTTAGCCACATTCATGACATAATTTCTCACACATCAAGTTATGAGGCAGAAAATTGTCTCTAAATGGGAAGAGGGTTTTATGCTCACAGACTTCCTGTGTGCTGCAAATGACTGACACTGACATGTGCAAGCAGGTAAACTAGATAAAAATTTAGTAGTTCAGTAGGTGACTGAATACTGTAACCTTAACTGAGTTGGTTTATGCAGCAGGGAGCTTTAGGCTTATGTTAATACACTGGAGAGTTAATAATGACTCTTGAAACATAAGCAGTTATGGATTAAAGATATAAAAAACTAGGCTTCTAGAATGTATTTTTGTTTTCAGCATATGCAAACAACTCTGCACATCAGCAGAACAAAACATAACATATCAAGGAAAACAATATCCAGGGTTAATATTTGAGTTAATGATGAGTTAATATTTGAACTTCTATTCTTTGACAGTCTTGCAAGGCTGTTATGAGTAAATAGAAGAATCATGACAATGTCTAAATGTCCAGTCAAATATAAAACACATTACCGCTCTTGATCCATTTCCCAAGACTTGAAGTCCTTTTCTTTGGTGTGAGTCTTTAAGAACACTGCCTACCTTTGCCCTCTCCCAAAGCCTTTGAAAGGCGGGTTCAAGTACCACGTCCAAGCATTGTTGCTTGTTGAAAATCTAGGCTCTTTGAAGCCATGAGAGGGGAAAGCTAAAATACCTGCAGTACTTCATTAAACTGTGTTGTTTTAAATTGTTTAAATATTTTATATTGTCCTTTGGTAAATACTCTGAGGGGGCCTTAGATGTATTTCATGCTTCCAGAACATGAAATACAACTTACTGTTTATTATTTTTATGCAAACCATATGTCAAACCAAATACACCCAGTACTGGAAGGAAAGCTACCAGTTCCTGCCCCCTTTAGATTCCAAATTATAGCCACTTAGAATTTTGTTTACTATTTTTATATTTATATACTGGCATTAAGCAGTATATAAATAACTAATATAGTGATACCTCGGGTTACATACGCTTCAGGTTACAGACTCTGCTAACCCAGAAATACTACCTCGGGTTAAGAACTTTGCTTCAGGATGAGAACAGAAATCGTTCAGCAGCGGCCACAGGAGGCCCCATTAGCTAAAGTGGTGCTTCAGGTTTAAGAACAGTTTCAGGTTAAAAACGCACCTCCAAAATGAAATAAGTTCTTAACCCGAGGTACCACTGTAATGGCTTTGCAGTAGTGTGAATTTATTGTAACAATATTTTTAAAACAATACTTCTAACATAACTGTGATTATTCTAAAACTTCATGAGTTTTTGTCTGTTTTACAAGCCCTCACCCTTTCCCCATTCATCCCTCAGTAAAAACCAGGGTTCGAAATTAGCGGGCGCCCTTCGCAATTTGCAACTGGCAACCAGCCTTTTGTAACTGGTGGAGATATCCAGGCACCACTTGCCTGGCTGGGTCATTCAGGGGGGTCTTCAGGGTAGTGCAACAGCAAAATACCCAGGTCCCAGGAATCACATGGCTCCTGGCATTCCTATCCCAGTTTCTGACACTGGTGAAAACCTCCCACCCCATGGATTTTTCCAGTTTTCCTTCCCATATTTCTTAAAATATGGGCTTATGTGCAGCAGATTGCAACCTAGCTGTTCCAGAACCTGTCTTTAAAATGTGGGTGAAGTCTTGTCTGTGGAACTATTTGGGGTCAAAGGCTTTATGGGTCGCAGCCTTTATATTGCAGAGGAGGGCTGTTGGATGGTCTTACCCTAGCTAGCCAAGGCCATTCTTGACAATATAGAGACAAATCTCTATTCTGTCACTTGGCACAGAAAAGTTCACATTTTATTCACTTGATCTCGTCGTTCATCCCCCGAGTAATTCACAATGACATATGTCTTACTTTATGAGATCCTTTTATCCAAAAAGGCGCTCGCAAGAAGAGCTATGGAAAGTGAAAGGTACTAGCAGCAGGATCATCTGCCATCTAAGATTGCTGGCTGTGCTCTTCATGCCACCCACTTGTTGTGTGGTGGAACACATACAGGCATGTTCAGCGCCTTTTTTACTTCTGGAGATCATCTAAACTCTTCCTGACTATTCTCTTACCTTCATATTATGACTCCCTATATTAATGACAGTCTTGTGGCACCTTAAATGACCAACAGATACTGTAGTATAAGCCTCCCTGGTCTACTTCATCAGATGCATCACTTAACATCCTCTATTGGTGGGAATGAAAATATACACGTATGGGCATAAAGTGCAGAGATGTTATTCATCTGAAGTGAGTTTCAGTACAGGAAAGCTTATTTTACATAAAGTGTGTCCTCTAGAGCCACATTTCCTAACTTGGGATGGCCTTTAGATGCTGTTGGACTACAACAGCCTTTTCCAACCTACTGTTATCCAGATATTTTGGACTCCAACTCTCATCAGCCGCAGCCAGCATGCTGTGCTGACTGAGGCGGATGGGAGTTGGGAGTACAAAATATCTGGAGGGTAGCAGGTGGACAGAGGCTGGACTTTCAGCTCTCACCTGCCCTGATCATTGGAGGTGATGGGAGTCCACCAACTTCTGGAGATTTCCAGGTTGGGGAAGGGCGGCTTGGAGAATTTGGGCTACGAAGTGAATTAAGTAAACCTTGTTAGCTTCCAAAATGCCGCAGCACTCTTTGTATCTGCTCTTCCAATAGCTATCTCTGCAGAAGCTATCAACTACAGTGGACGCTTGGGTTGCGAACGTGATCCCTGCGGGAGGCACGTTTGCAATCCACAGCGTTCGCAACCCACAGTGGCGCATCAGCATTCGCAACCCGCATCGGCGCATCTGCACGTGTGCGGGTTGCGATTTGGCGCTTCTGTGCACGCGCAAAGTGCGATTTAGTGCTTCTGCACATGTGCAAGCACCGAAACCTGAAAGTAACCCGTTCCAGTACTTCCGGGTTTCGGTGCATCTGTAACCCGAAAACGCGCAACCTGAAGCGTCTGTAACCCAAGGTATGACTGTATATTAATGGTGCAAGTTGTTCACTGGGTCCAGTAATGCTCTTCTGAAGGCAAGTTGCTGGAAGCTACAGGAGAGGAGTGTGCTCTTGCGCTTGGGTCCTGTTTGCCGGTTGCAAGCTGGTGGCCCCTGTGAGAACAGGATCCTGGACTGGATGGGCCATTGGCCTGATCCAGCAAGCGCTTCTGGTGTTCTTATGCAAGCCACAGAAGTTAACAGTTACACGAAGCCAAAACGCATGTTGAGCTTTCCTAACGAAACAGAAGGTGAAGAGGAAGTGTGAAGTCAGGTGAGACCTGAACGCAGGCCAAAGTGGGGGCAGGCAGAACAGCAGGTGTGCAGAAAGGAGCAGAAGCAGGAATGAGAATGGGCAAAGAGAGAGGTTCAGAAAGAGACTCTTTTGAAAGGCAAGGAAGGTAGGAGCCCTTGTATGGTTCGGAAATCTATACCTTTGCCTGCAGAAGGTGAATTGAGTATTAAAAGAACTACGTAAGCAGTGCCATCCTCTTTCAGGAGGAAGTTAAAATTTGTTGCAGCTTACACACAGAAGGGAATACAGGAATGCTTACACAATGTACCTTATATGGCGCAGTGTCAAACAAAGAAAAAAAAATCCCTGCTCCACCTCTCTGACAGCGGCCAAGAGGAGGGTGGGGCATTGATGGGGCCCGTCCTGCAGTTAGGAGGTTCCTGCTTGTTCTGAGAATGGAGTTAAAAAATCTGGATTTTAACTGCTTTGTTCTCATCCAGGAAGAAAGTGCCCCAGGTTCCAAAAGTATGGAACATAGTAGGTTAGGGGAAACTTTCAGCGTGCAAAAAAATGTGTCTACTGTGCAGTCTTTGGAAGATAAACATGTGGCAGGAGGACGGGGCCCAGTTTTCTCTCCAGTAACAGAACAATGGCCAGCATCCGGTTGTGTGCTATGAAATCTGGCGAAAAATGCTGAGAATGCAGCACTGTCACTTCCTCCTGGAAGGTGACAGCTCAGAGGCTTTTCTAGCAAAATATGCCAACTTTTCTCCTGGAAGAAACCCAGTGGCTTGCTGTTGTCAGCATCTTTTGTTCCTTAATTGTCATCTGCGGAGGTTAATTGATAGAAATGCCTTCCTTACACATTGGTCTTCATAATTCACTCTTGCCACAGCACTTCTAATGGCGTTTGAGGGAAATGGTCCTGGGCTCTTCAGCTTACATTATAGCAGGTAAAAAGCTTGGTGCTCCCAGGCTGGTTACATAGTGTTAAGCAAGGTGTTGCTCAAGAGTAAAGGTAAATGGAATGTAATTATCCAAATAGCAGAGTAGGTACAAAATGGCCTCCTGGGAGGTTAGGGAAACCTTTCTGGCTTTTAATGCATACTTACAGCAAAACAAGCGAGCGTGTGTGTGTGTGTGTGTGTGTGTGTGTATATCACACACATTTGTACAGAACTTGCATCCTTCACCTTCTATAAAATACATATCCACAAGCATTAAGAACAAAAACCTTGATGCATCACTAGAATGAAGAACCATAAAATCTTTTTTGTTACATAGTGAACACTAAACACATTTTGGCCATGCTGCCTGCCATAACAGAACTATAGGACAGATCCACACCATAAATTTAGACCACAGGGCTTTCTCCTAAATAATCCTAGGAACGGTAGTTTGTTCAGGGTGCTGGGAATTATAGCTTTGTAAGGAGAAAATGTAATTTCCGGGATTCTTTTGGAGGGGGAGGCATGTGGTTTAAATGTACATGTATGGTATAGACCTGCCCATGGTATGGAAGTGGTGTCACCACTTGAAAGCCTGACACTCGAGTGCTGGTGGAATGCTGTCTTTGTTGTCATCTTCTAGCATGGGACTGTCGTCATACAAATACTTCTATTTTTGCCCTCTATATGGATATGGTAATACCAGGCTTAAGTGATGACAGCCACTGATTCACCAGGCGGAATAGGCTTATTCTTATTCTACTTCTGTGGGAAGTAGTAATTGTGATAAAGGTAAAGGACCCATGATAGTTAAGTCCAGTCGCAGATGACTCTGGGGTTGCAGCACTCATCTCGCTTTACAGGCCAAGGCAGCTGGCGTTTGTCTGCAGACAATTTTTCAGCGCACTGAAACGTCGTTTACCTTCCCACCGGAGCGTTACCTATTTATCTACTTGCACTTTGATGTGCTTTTGAACTGCTAGGTTGGCAGGAGCAGGGACCGAGCAATGGGAGCTCACCCCATGATGGGGATTCAAACTGCTGACCTTCTGATCAGCAAGCCGAAGAGGCTCAGTGGTTTAGACCGCAGCTAAACACAAATTCATGGTCACAACCTGTTTGGTGTATGTTAATGTGCAAAATACCATGGTTTTTTTAAAAAGTATATTAAGGAACAAGGTAGCCAGATTGGTATTAGCCTGCAGTTTGTAATTATGGGTGCAGTTGATAGCATTTTCCAAAAACGCTTTATGGTTAAAAGAAATAAATGGTTTGAGATTTTCAGGGAGCTGAAGAGACAGATGAGGAAAATGCTTGGGTGCTGTAATAATAGCAGCTTCCCTTCAGTTCCCCTTTGTTATGAGATGTGTGGAGGGGGGTGGGGACAGTACAGTACAGTGGTACCTTGGTTCCCGAATGGCTTGGCTCCTGAACAAATGGGCTCCTGAATGCTGCAAACCCAGAAATGAGTGTTCTGGTTTGCAAACGTTTTTCGGAAGCCATATGTTCAACATGGCTTCCGCGGTTTCCGATTGAGTGCAGGAAGCTTCTGCAGCCAATCGGAAGCTGCCATTTATGTTTTTGAACCGTTTTGGGAGTCAAATGCATTAAGTTCAAGGTACCACTGTACTGAGCTAGATGGACCAGCGTGATTTGGTATAAAGCAGTATCCTATGTTCCTAAAAGGAAAAAAAGAGAACCAGGGAGCATTTGGGACATAGTCTCTTAAGATGGTGAGGAGATCAGACATGCTGCTGTGACCAAATGAGAAAGCCATGAGGTATATAGTCAGTTATCTTGATCACCAAGGATATTGTTTCCCTGGCTTGGGACCCATGATTCTTAAGATATGCTTGTGCAGAGCTTGCAGGCATTTGATAGAATCCTGATCGTTCTTTGTTTCTCACCCTTAATTTGGAGGAAAAAAGTGTTTTTATTGATGGAACTTCAGCTTGCTCACCTGTGTGATGGATTGCAGTCACTGCCTGCAGCTGTTTGTCCCAACACCATTGACCAAGGGTGTCTCCTGACATTGGTTCTGCAAAAAAATGACAGGATTGCTTATTCTAGCAGATGGCTATAATTAAGGTAAATCTGCCTTGCTTTGTTGCTTAAGTGCTGTGGCTAAGCTAGGTCTTTGCTCAGATAACTGTTACCATCTGCCACACTTTGGCCTGTTATAAGTAGCCAATGAGATTAATAAAACATGGATTTCCATAAATTTGTGTAGCCAGTTCAGCCTTTAAAAGGGAGTGAGCTGGAAAAGAGAATAGAAGAGATGGGAGACAGGTGCAGATGAGATCTCTTTAATAATGTGATTTGTATTCCACACTTGCAACAAACCCCAGATAAAGTGACTTGTGTGAAGCTAACCAAGTGTATACACCAAACTTTTTTTAAAAAAAGTTGGTGCAGGAATCATACTCTTTTCCTTCAGAACAAGTGCAGAGAACATTTATCCTTCTAGATGTTGCTGAACTACAACTCCCATCATTCCTGTCCATTGATTGTGCCCTGTTAGGGCTGATGGGAGTTAAAGTTCAGCAACCTCTGGGAAGACCAAATGCTCCCCACACACCTGTTTCAGCCTAAAGAACCATTGTGTGCATCTAAAGAAAGAAGTACTCCTGGCAGATATTGTACCCCGCCCTGTGAGCCAAAATGGCTCTTAGAGCAGTTTACAAAAAAGAAAAAAACAAAACAGTTCTGAGATGGTCCCTGTCCTAAGGTCTCAGGCACACAAGGAAAAAAGGAACAGGAGGGAGAAGGGAAAAGCAAGTTCAGGCAACAGTTCAAGTTACATTCACAGCCTGTGTGAGTGGCGGTTCTGGCTGCTTTGCCCTTGTAAAGAGCAGTCCTACACCAGAAGCACTTCTGCCACCAGACTAGATTCAGCAGCAGATCTGATGAACCCCAGGACAGGGCAGTTTCTGCAACACAGTACTTTCCTCAGACAAGTCCTTGGCCAAGTGGAGTCAGTCAGTCAATGAAGCATGTTGAAAGTATGAGCGAGAATATAAAAAAGCGAAAGACGGTTAAGGCAGTGTTGCATTTCAAGGCAGCATATTTCATTTGAGCCCGGATAGCAATGCTGGTTTGGCACGGTCGATTTAGCGAAGGGAGTGGTGCATTACTAATAGCTTGTGAATGGTTACTCGCAGAGGTGTGGCTTTACAACAGAACTTGACGGCGCAGTTGTAGACAAGACGCTTGTGGGGAGCTGAAATGGAAGATAAGGCGTAGCAGTGCATGAATTCGTTTCCCTTCTCTCTGTGTTATATCAAAGTGGGCAGCCTACCCTACTGCTCCTGAGGCATGATCTTTGAGGCTGCTCTCAGATTCTTAAGAAGCCTAGCTTAAAAAAAAAAAAAAAATCAACATGCTTCTAGTTCAGGGGTAGGCAACCTAAGGCCCATGGGCCACAAGCGGCCCACGGGGATTGATTAACCAGCCCATGAGCCGTCCCCAAAATGAGCCGCCTGCTTGGCGAGTCCCCGCGTGCTGTGCTAAAGTGGCGCAGTGCAGTGCTGGGACTCGCTTCCATGGCGCTGAAAATCGCGTCTGCGCATGTGCGGACGCCAGAAATCGCGTCAATGCAAATGCCGGAAATCGCGTGCGTACACACACGCACTCACACTCCAGCCCACGGAGGGAATCTCTGCTGGAGTGAACCGGCCCAGGCGAGGTAAACCCTGTGGACCTCTGTTCTAGTTGATGTGGTGATTCGTGTTGGCTCTGCTTAGGTCCGGTAGACCCATGTTTGAGCTGGTGCAAGACTATGTATGAAGTTCACTGATGTGGCCCTCCAGGGCTGGCAAGGATAAAACTAATTCTCAGCGGAATAGAAAGTATAATTGATTATCCTTTTAGCTACTGTAGTGTCTGACAATGTGGTGGTGTTTTGTTAAACACTTAATCTTTCAGTTGGTTTTATTATTGTTGTTTTGCAGTCAGCTTTTGTTTGTTTGTGAACCTACCTCAGTATATATATATTCTTGAAGTGAAAGGCGGTGTATAAATTGCTGTAATAACAGAACAATCTAAACCTCTAAACCGGTTTACATAAAGACGTGAAATGAGCAATCTGAATGAAACGGTGTTTAAAATGTCTTAATTTGGGGGCTGACGAGAATTGCTGCGTGAACTGAGGAAAAGGTGGTGTAGAGTTAGAGGCTGGGAAGGAGTCTTCTGGTTGGGCGTTGGACTGGGGGCACGGAAAACCTGGGAGGCTCACTGGATGGCTTGGTGTCTTCTGTCTGTCAGCCTCGCCTACCTTACAGGTTGTGAGACTTGGCTGGAGGGAGACACACCATGTGTGCTGCCTTGACCATGGGAGACGAACACTATATCAATGCAGTAAATCTGCCCTTCATCTTTCAACCTGGCAGATCCAAAACCACAGCAAATGTGGCATGTAAGTCGCATTCACTTTGACCTTCCCTCTCACTCGGATGTGTTTTCTGATGCAGCTTTTAGCGCCTGCCCCTGTTATAGGTGACCTGCTTCAGAGATATGGTGCTCCTGCAGAAACACCCCGACTATTAAAAAGCTGATAATGGGCTTGATATCCTTGAAGCACAGCAGATGATTATCCCTGTGATGCAGATCTGAGATGGGTTTGTCTTGTCATTGCCGTATATTTGCTCCCCCCCCCCCCCCGACGATAGTCCTTGTTCTATATAAAAACCATACTTCCACGCCAGAGGCAATGAATGTTCTTGAATTTCTCCCCCAGATAGCAGAACAAATACAGCTCTTGTTTTGTTAAACAGCTATTTGTACTGCAGTATAAACCCATCAGAGTTTTATGTGATGTAGCTTTGAATAGAACAGTCACCATTGGACAGAATTGAGCTATTGCCATTTTTGTGCTAGGGTTTACCCACTTACATCTAGGGAGAAATTTCAACCCAGTAAGCCTTAGAAACATGTGCATTGTGGTAGAGCAGAGGTTGGGGGACCTTTTACAGTTTGGGGGCCCCAATTCTCCTTAGAAAATCTTCTAAAAGGTAGAAGTGGCACTGGAGACAAAATGGATGGCGCTAGAAGTAATTGGGGCTCTTACCTTTGCACAGTGGGTAACATTCCAGCTAGGCAAAAGCCAGAGATGTTGACACCCCCTACACACAGACGCACACTGCTCCCTGTCCTCCATACAGGCAAGCAGGAAGCATTGCCACAGTTCAAGGACACATTCAAGCCACAGAACTGTAGTCATCCTAGAGGATGCAGATGCAGAGTACGACTGGGGTGGTGTTGGCCTGATGAGGGGATGTGACATAGGGAGAGTCCTTGAGGGCCACATAGAGAAGCGTAGAGGGCCAAATTTGGCCCCCTGGCCCTGAGGTTCCCTGTATCTGTTGTAAGGAGGAAAGTAACAGGACGGCTTTGTGGGGTGTGGGGGTCTTCGGTGTGTAGCCTCACATGGGACTCCTACGGCTCCACAACGTAACTCTGCAGCCATTACAGAAGAGAAGCACAGGAGTGGCACACCCTGTCTTTATCGGAGGCTACAAGGAAGGACACAGTTGAACTGGGAAGGTGGAGCCTTTATTGTGGCGGATGAAATGCCACTGATAATAAGGGAGGGCGGCACACAAGGAATTCACACCCTCTTGATGTTCCATGAGGTTTTCACAGGAACGATTGTGAAGATTGTGAAAAGCATCTGCTCCCCCCCCCCGCCCCCAAGAGCTAACCTTAAGGAGCAGAATAGAGAACTTTTATACTTCTGAAGGTGTCTGTGAAAATGGCTGGCTCTTGCAAAACTCTTGCTTCCAGTCTTTGCCCCCCCTTATCTGGCTTGTGAATGAATCATTCTTTCTTGGTAGTTTACTACACTGTTGCACAAGTGAGGAACTGAAAGTGCACCGAGTCCTTGGGAAGAGCTCTGCAGAAGAGCTGTCCTTTCAAAAAAAAAAAAAGAGGAGCTAACCGTTCTAGGCTCTCTTGCTGGTTAAACATGGCTGTCTCTCATTTCCTCCCAAGGAGCTCAGAATGGTCTTCATTCGCTTTTGCCATACCCAGCTGCACTCCAGCTGCTGTAGGGCTCCTCCAGCTCCCATCACCCCGATCATTGGCCATGCTGGCTGGAGCTTATGAGAGTTGAAGTCCAACAGCACCTAGAGGACATCAGGCTGGGGCAGTCTGATCCACTGCTCAAGAGCTAGCCTGCTGTAGTGTCTAAGACTGAAGTACAAATCTGCTTTGAATTCCCGCCTCTACCATAGGGTAGGTACCTAGGCAGAAATTGAGATATGAATGCTAGGAGCTGTTGCACCTTAACCTAGGTTATGGGTGCAACAAGAATACATAGCTGAAAATGAACCAACTGCAGCTAAAATATTATGTTCCTTTTTCACATGGTCTAGTCCCTAGCCCTAATATTCTTAAGAGGGTCTCGTCTCTTCAGTCTTCAGAGAGTAGCTGGAAGTGGGGAGGCAGAAAAAGGTCCTCCTTTCCTTCCACTCTACAGTTTTAATCTGAAATCTTAGGTGCAGTACTGCGCCCAGAGCTCAGAAACCGTTCACGCTAATGAAATTCCCTGTCGCAAAATGCGCCTATAACAATGGGAGTTTCAAACGCTGTACCTAGGTGGCCTTAGCGCAGGTGTGTGGGTCCTTTGGCCCATCAGAAGTTGCTGGGCTGCAGCTCCCATCATTCCTGGCCACTGGCCATGCTTGTGAGGGCTGATAGGAGTAGAAGTTCAGCAGCATCTGGAGGACCAAGAGTTCCCCATTCCTGCCTTCAGGGCTCTGAGGCCAAGAGTATGGCTTCCTGTCTAAGAACATAAGAGCCTTCTGGATCAAGCCAAAAGCAATCTCATCCACCACCCCGGTCTCACAGTGGTCAGATAGGTGCCCTAATGAGAAGTGCACAAGCTTGTGTTTCCCAGCAGCTGGCATTCAGAGGGGTTCCACATCTGTATTGGGATAATACTAACTTACCTTGCAGGGCTCTTGAAGCATTTTTAATTCTTTGGATCCTTGTGAGTGCTATACAAATGTTAAGTATATATGCATCCTCTCTAGAACTCCTGAGGTGGAGAGGGCAGAGAGTGACTTGCTCAGGGTTACCCATGAGCTTCCCAGCTGGTTAAACAGGGATTTGACTCAGTCCCTCCATTATAAGACATAACAGTGCGACTCAAACATGTTGCTTTTGAAAACGAAGCGTAGTTGTGTGTGACACACACACAGCCTCCTTAAATTTCCCTGTAACACTCTGCAGAAGTGAAAATCAAGTTGAAACAGGAAAATGCGGTTTGCTTAGTAATTGCTGCTTAAATGGCTTTGCTTGAGCTCTGCCCATCCCTTGTGCAATGTTGTTAGTGTTAACTTGGTCTCTTCAGCTTGGAGTAGTGGTTAGAGTGCTGGACCAGGACTTGGGAAATCAGGGTTCAAATGCCCACTCAGCCATAGAACTGAGTGGATGGCCATGGGCCAGTCACTCCCTCTCAACTAACATACCTCAAAGAATTGTTGTGAGGATTAAATGAGGAGAACCATGTATGTCACTTTGAGCTCCTTGGAGAAAAAGTTGGGGTATAAATTCATTCCTACTTTCAGGGGAGGGACATGGGTGGCGCTGTGGGTTAAACCGCAGAGCCTAGGACTTGCCGATCAGAAGGTCGGCGGTTCAAATCCCCGTGACGGGGTGAGCTCCCGTTGCTCGGTCCCTGCTCCTGCCAACCTAGCAGTTCAAAAGCATGTCAAAGTGTAAGTAGATAAATAGGTATCGCTCCGGCGGGAAGGTAAGCGGCGTTTCCGTGCGCTGCTCTGGTTTGCCAGAAGCAGCTTAGTCATGCTGGCCACATGACCTGGAAGCTGTACGCCGGCTCCCTTGGCCAATAAAGCGAGATGAGCGCCGCAACCCCAGAGTTGGTCACGGCTGGACCTAATGGTCAGGGGTCCCTTTACCTTTACCTTTACTTTCAGGGGACCATTTCCACATGGACTTACCTGTTGGGGAAGCAGTCCATGTTAGAGAGTATGTGTTTGTGTTAGGTTACACATTCATTGTATGCAGTGGGAAAACTTGTTTTTATTGTCTGGGAGTGGCCGCCGAGACCATATAACACTGGTTCCTGAAAGATCTTCATTGGCTCCCAGTACATTTCCGAGTACAATTCAAAGTGTTGGTGCTGACCTTTAAAGCCCTAAATGGCCTCGGTCCTGTATACCTGAAGGAGGGTCTCCACCCCCATCGTCTAGCCTGGCCACTGAGGTCCAGCTCTGAGGCCTACTGGCGGTTCCCTCGCTGCGTGAAGTGAGGTTATAGGGAACCAGCCAGAGGGCCTTCTCGGTAGTAGCGCCTGCCCTGTGGAACGCCCTCCCAGCAGATGTCAAGGCAATAAGCAACTATTTTACTTTTAAAAGACAACTGAAGGCAGCCCTGTTTAGGGACGTTTTTAATGTTTGATGCTGTATTGTTTTTAATATTTGGTTGGAAGCTGCCCAGAGTGGCTGGGGAAACCCAGCCAGATGGGTGGGGTATAAATAATAAATTATTATTATTATTATCATTATCATTAATATTGTTATTATCATCCAGAGTTTAAGGGTGGCATTCAACTAAGTTTTGCCCATTGAAATTAATGCATGTGACCAAGAGTCAGTGTGGCATAGTGGATAGAGTGTTGGATTAGGACCTAGGAGCCCGGGGTTCAAATCCCTGCTCCGCCATAAAACTCACTGGGTGACCTTGGGCGAATCACAGCCTCTCAGCCTAACCCACATCTCAGAATTGTTGTGAGAAGAAAATGGGGAGGAAGAGAACCATGTATGCCCTCTTAAGCTCCTCGAAGGAAAGGTGAGATAAATGCAATAAGTAATATGCAAGTTAGTTATATTGATTTTAGTAATCACCCAAAGCCTTTGTGCTTAGTTCCTGTTGTTGCAGAGGCGATTTAATTACGTTTGAATAACATTGTGTCAGTGCTGCCACTTTTTACACCCTGGAGCAGAAGGCCTTTTGGGACTCGCCATTTACTTTCCCAGGTACCTTGGGCTCTCAACACTCTGCAAACAGGACCAGCAATTATATTTCCTATCCTGGTTTTGTTCCACAGCAACCATGCTTCACTGAATGATTGTGCCCCATCCCTCAATTACAAAACCATGCAGGAGAAACATTTACCCGCAGGAATGAAAAACTAGGAAGGAAGCTTCTGTAGAACTTTCTTTTGCAATCTTGCTGGCCTTGAACTACAGCACATTTATCGGGCTCCAAGACTTTTTTTAAAAAAAGATTCCTACAGTTCAGTGCTGACCTTGAAACTTGTTCACGTGCATAATGCTCTGTTTCTCTCTCTATCTAATTGGAGACCCTGGATTCTTTGTAGATGGGACCTGGGCAAATAAAAAGCAACAAACTAATTGGCCAGGGTGGTTGCCCAGTTTGCATTAGGCACATGAGGCTTCTGTTGCGCAACCCTTTTTAGCTCTCCCTGCAAATCCCACTTGCCAGTTGCTGGTGCAACACACTAGTGCAAACAACATGGCCAAATGCATCCCTCAAAGAATCGGTTAGTACCCGCTGAAGAAGAGGCCTCAGTGTCGTAACCCCCGCAGCGTTTCCTTCGGCTGTTCAACAAGTGCTGCTGCAATGCCCACTTCTGCATCCAGCCTTCTCTTAAAACCCTTCCATGTTGGCCTAGCTTTCTAGGCACTGATTTGCATGCTTTGTCCATGCCTTTGAAGAAAAACTGGCTTGCTGTCATCTTAAGACCTTGGGACCTGGCAGCTGTTTTCGTGAGCTGAATAGAAATGGCTATTTGGTCGTATTCTGGTGTGTGGAAGTGGAGCACTGTGGTCTAGACCAGGCATAGGCAGATGTTTTGGACTACAATTTCCATCATCCCTGACCACTGGTCCTTTTAGCTAAGGATCATGGGAGTTGTAGGCCAAAACATCTGGAGGGCCGAAGGTTGTCTATGCCTGGTCTAGACCAGCCTTCTCCCAACCTGGTGCCTTCCTAATGCTGTTGGTTTCCAACAACTCCCATCAGCCCCAGCCAGCAACGGCCCGTAGTCAGGGAGGATGAGAGTTTGAAGTTCAAAACATCTGGGCAGCACTAGGGCTGGGAGGAAACTGTTTTAGATGCCGTTGCACTATAAAACCCTCTTCATCTTCGTGTTCATTGGAGGTTGCTCCTGACCAGGTGTGCACTGGATTACAGGTTTACCTGCACAGTACATAAGGGATGCAATTTGAACTGGGGAATGTGCCCTGGAGCACAGCAAAGCCTCTTTTATGGCTGTGTATTTAGAAGGGGAGATAGGATTATTTTATTTTTAGTGTTGCTTATTAAATTTGTATCCAGCCCTACCTCCAAAGGGGCCATGGGCAGATTAGATTTATATTCTGCCTAGTGATGTGGGCTTTCTGGGAATCCCTCCCCCCTCGCTCCATCCCCAGTGTCCTAGATCTGGGGTGTGTTTGACCACCTTAGGGTGATGCACATTAAAAACACAAATAAGCAGCAGATACATTAAAACTAAAACAAAACAAAATAGACTCTCATGGCAAAGACCCTTTTATCCAGCTGGGAAAGTGTGCTGGAACATCTGTTTCTGGAAAGTGCAGCACTGGGCACCTTGGATCTTGAAAGGAATGCTGTTCTGCATAACAGGAGCAGACAGTCTAAGAGTTACTACATAGTGGGCTTCTGAGATTTTTGGAACTTAGCAGAGACTACAGCATCTTCCATGGGGATTAGGTTCTTGGCTGTCACACGCTATAAGCAAATTTGTGTAAAGCCAGGAACTCCCTGGAACTGCCCCCTCCAAAAATGGAGAGCTGCTTGTCCAGCTTCAGGAAGGAGGTGCAAGGACTCTGACAGGGTCCTAGAGTTCTCCTTCCTCCTTTACAAAACCAGGCAAGCACATGGTGCGGGTGGGAAATAAATGGAGAGTGGGTTTCCTGTGCTCTCCATTTATTTATTTATTTATTCATTCATTCATTCCTGCCTGCCTGCGCAAAGCAGTAATCACAGAAGTTAAAAGTGCTTAAGTTTCGAGTCACCTGTACAGAAATCTACTGGGTGCATAAGCAATAAGGTGGTCTCTTAAGTAGCTTGGTCTTCAGCTGTAAAATAGGGACTTACCGTATTTTTTGCACCATAACACTCACTTTTTTCCTCCTAGAAAGTAAGGGGAAATGTCTGTGCGTGTTATGGAGGGAATGCCTACGGGTGGCATGCCTACGGATTTTCCTCCTCTAAAAACTACGTGCGTGTTATGGTCGGGTGCGTGTTACAGAGCGAAAAATACGGTAATATGTTTGTATCCCTGATCTGTAATAGGGACTTATACGTTAGTACCAACATAGCTGAATTTGCAGATGGCAGCCAGTGAAATCCTGCAAGCAGGGTGTTTCTTATATGCTGGTGGTAGTCAGCCTCTGGAAGCGACCTGGTATCTTCATTCTGTGGGTGATGCAAATTGTGGTCCAGCATCTTGCAGGTACCGTACTGGCTACCCCTGCAGTAGCTTGTGCTTGTTTTGACCAAAGCTCCTTTTGATAGAAACAGGTGTACAGTGTAGTAAGCAAAAGAGTTAGGGAGTGGTACCCATGACTTTAACTTAAATTGTGAGTTCCATTGATGGCTTTAGGTTTTATAGTGTTGAGGCATTTCTGTGCCTGCATACTGGGACGGGTGGCAATTGCATTAACAATGGAATGCTGTCTGAAAGAGCCCTACATATTGCTATGGACTATTCATTGCCATAGGTGGCTTTGTGGTACATTCCATAAACGTCTGAAGTTCTTGCCAACATCTGAAGGGAATACAGGATGGAGCTCTTAGTGGCTCCCTGTAATGGGCCAAATGGAAGTGCTTGGAATGTAATCCCAGAGCATTATAAACCCTATTGAGTTTTTATGAGATGTTGGCTATGGGACTATGAATAATTGAATGACTTTGAACTCTCTTGTGTGTTTGCCTTCCAGCTCCAGAACCTGGGCATTAACCCGGCTAACATTGGCTTCAGCACTCTGACCATGGAGTCTGACAAGTTCATCTGCATACGAGAGAAAGTTGGAGAGCAGGCCCAGGTGGTCATCATTGACATGAATGACCCCAGCAATCCCATTCGCCGGCCGATTTCAGCTGACAGTGCAATCATGAACCCCGCCAGCAAGGTCATTGCCCTGAAAGGTACAGGAAATCTTTCTCAACGTATTTCTCAATTGGAGTTGAGCTTTTTAGAAACGTGTTTTAAGTTTCAAAAGGTGTACTGATTTTTGTTGCCCTTACTATTTTGTCATTACTACTTTTTCTATTCTTACAACTATGAGAAGCTGTGGGTTACCAAACATACACAGTATTTATTGAAAGCTAGCAGGGTTGATGAGCTAGTGAAATCCTTGATGGCTTTTTCCAATATAAGGCTGGTTTGTGGTATGGCTTCCATCAAAAGCTCTGTTTAAAGTAAATGAGCCTTGTTACTAAGCCCCCAAAGTTTCTAGCCAATAAAAAAGAAAAAAAAAGAGTTGCATGCTTCTTAGTTTACTTGGTTTACTTAGCTTGCTTTTTAACAAAAAAAGGGCTCCCAGAACAACTTAGAGAGATAAGTAATAGAACAGCCCTGGGACTCATTTATGATTTAAACAACAGTGGCTAACCCATGGGCTGTACCCAACTCCCTGAAAGTTTTTTGTTTGATTCATGAACCCCCCAGTTTGTCATTAAAAAAAGAGGGTTTAAATTACTGCCACTTCTGCAGTTCCCCTGCTAAGCTGCCATTGTTCCAAAAGGGTTTTAAGCCCCCCCTTAAACTTTTTTTTTTAAATGCTGAGTTGAATAATGAACTTATAAAATTTAAAATTGAGTAGAATAGCTAGTGGGTAGTCTTTTGGAAGGCAGCCTTGAGAGCTGCATTTCTCACCACACCTTTGATCGCACCTAATTGGAGGTATGGCTGCCAGAAGGTCCACCATGGGTCAGTGTTGGGGAAAGGGGCTTCTCTTACTCCACAGCCAGAATAGACACTGGGAAGGTTAACAAAGGGAGGAACAGACTGCCGTTTGCTCCAGCCTGCTCATTCTCCTGGAAAGGAATTTCATGTGCTCGCCTGTCTGGAATTCCTGATCTCCCATGGTGCCTATGCTAGTGGTCATGTGGAAAACTGGCGTGATCGGTGCTTGTGTTCATTTCCAGAGCACTGGAAGACCAAAGTTTTGAAGAGAGCTTATAATAATTAGCAACTGGGAAATAAGAGAGAAGAGAATAGCATAGTTAAACTGCATCCCACCTCATTATCAGTGGTGATTACCCCTGTGATTTCATCCAGGGTCCAGTTGTTACCATCACTGACTTGGCTTGCATGACACGGTAAGCCAGACTACCGCTCACCAGGAATGTGCAGATGTGAGCTCCTGGAGAGGAGCTCGCAGCTGATTTGCGCTTCCTTGGCCCATTTGATCTTGTGATGGGCAGATCTAAGCCAAGGTTTGGCTTAGTGTGTCTTTCAAACCAGGAGTCACTATCACTTTTTATTTTTTAAAGAAAACTTTGCTATCATTAAAAAAAAAAAATCAGAGTAAGAATATTAGCAATATCATAATTGGCAAAGGGACCCCATTTGTTCTCTTAAGCAAGTTAATAAGGAACATAGGAAGCTACCTTCTGTCAAGTCAGACCATTGGTCTGTCTAGGTCAGTATCCTCAGTGCTGACTTACTGCCAGTTTTCCAAGGTTTTAGGCAGAGAGCCTTTTCCAGCCTAGCTGTAGATGCTGGGGATAAAGCCTGGGACCTTCTGCAGGCAAAGCTGATGATTTACCACTCAGCTGTGGCCCTTCACCTCCTCCTTCTAACGGGGTGCACCAATTTCCTTGCCCTTTTTCCACGTTCCATCTCTCCTGAGGCATAGTTTTCAAAGACAGGGCAAAACAATGTTATAGTATCCCCCTTGTTACACAAGAAATTGATAAATAAAACTTACCTAGGTTTACAAGTCCCAACTTGAACAAGCCTTTGTGCCGGATGCGAACTGCCTAGTCACCTTTGCTCAAAACGGTCAAAGTTTTTTTAATTTTATTTTTAAAAAGCACTGCTCATCTGCCCTCCCCAAAAGACAGCATATTGCCTCATTTCTTTTATTTGCTGGAGAAACGTAAGCTCTCAACTGTCTCATTACAATAGCTTCCTCTTTCTTTCTTCTGATGGCTTTAATGTTGTATCACTATTTTTGTCACACTTTCTAATGCTTTCTTGTGTGTGCAGATGGTGAGTTACCTCCGTTTCAGATTGTATTTGTGTTTGTCCTGTTTTATGAAAAGAGAATGCAAAAGGCTTACCAGCTTAAAGGCTTAACGGGGGCACATCTCTGAATAATTAAGGTGGAGGAGTAGACAAGGACCTATATATTCTGTCTGCTGTGGAGTCTTGTTCTCAAAGCTCCTCTTTCTTTCTTTGAAAAAACCAAAAAAACAAAACCCTATTCCCGAAATGCTTGTACCTGCAGCATCTTTACTTGGAGCTGTAGAGATGCACTTGCTTGGAAGCAGTAAACTTGGATATGCATAAAGCTTTTTATAAACAGGACTGAGACTCTTACAATTCCATATCTGGCTGTATTATTTTTTGCTTTTCATGTGCTCCGTGTGGGGCGAAACTGAAGCCGTAGCCTGGCTGTCAAATAGATGTTATCTTGGATTACCAACCCCAGCCTCTAAATCCAAGTTTGCATAGTGAAAGGAATACTGATTGAACTAGTCCTCTTTCTGTCCCCTCACCCATCCTTGCCACTTTTTTTTTTTACCCCGAGGAAACAAACCTAACCTGTTGCCTTGAAGACTAACCATCAACCCAAGCCCAGCTCAGAGCAGATGGGTGACCCTTGGTGGATGGTTGACTCATATCCTTCAGCCCCGAAACGTAGTTCTTTAATGGCTTTGAAAGTCTGGCCTGCATAGCTTCTGTGCTTTTGTATTCATCTGGATTGTGTAAAAAGAACAAACCACACACAACCTTAGGAGGGAAATACACACAGCTTTCTCCCCATGCTGTTTAAATGGAATAACGCCCCCCTCCAATGTCTTTGCTTCTAATGACACCCATGAATCTTTTCTGCCTGTGCAATTGTAGTTCTCAGAGCGGGAGGTGCAGAGTTGTCATGGCTGGGCTGGGAGATAATGCTACACTAGCTTCTCCTCTCTACTTCCCAACCTTGGTCAACGTCTTGATAGTAAGCTGTACTCCTGGCAGTGGTTAGTACCCAAAGGAAAGTTGTATTGGCTTCCTTCCACAGTGTCCCACAGGCTTCTTGGCTTGGCCCTCTCTAGAGCTTGCTCTGTGGCTCTTTGCCTGCTCTCCTCCCCTTTCCTGACACATTAGGGACGTAGGAAGCTGCCTCCTACCAAGGCAGCCCATTGGTCAGTTTTTTGTCCAACACTAATTGGCAGTGGCTCTCCAGGGTTTCAGGCAGGAGTCTCTCCCGACCCTACCTAGAGATTCCAAGGATTGAACCTGGGACCTTTCACATGCAATGTGGGTGTTCTATCCCTAAGCTGTTGGACATTTACAACAGCACTAGTCTGAGAGCCACATGTATGGAAGCTATTCCATGGTATACTGCTTATTTTTATGCATAGTACAAAAGTATTTATATGCCACCTGTTTCAAGCCATCTCAGAACTTGGGACAGGTCCATTTGATACAACCAGTGTGCCTGGGAAACCCAGCCACTTGGGCGGAGTATAAATAATAAAATTATTATTATTAACCAGTAAAACCACTTGCTGTAAATAACTGCAACCGATAACCCAAAGGGCACAGTTAAGAATTAACATTAAAACACCAGAAAGGCCCAGGTATGTCAAGTGTGCCAAAAGCATCATGGGCACTGTGCGCTTTCCAGAGCTCTTAGGGGAGGCAATTCCATAGGAAAGGTGCCGCCACAGAGAAGGCCCTTCCCCCTTGGTTTCCACTACCTGAGGTTGCAGCTAAGTGTGTTGCTGGGAACTGAAGGCATTGCTGCTTCATTCCCATCTGCCCCAAGGAACTCAGGCCAGTGTCCATGTGGTAGTTCCCAATGTTGCCCTCCCAACAGCCTTGCGAGGAGGGTGTGGGAAAGACCACGCAGAGAGCTTGGTGGCCCAAGCCGCCTTGCTCCAGATTACCAGCACTTAAGTCAGCTGTGCCGCACTGATTCCTTACTCGTGGTAAGAATGCCGGAGGTGGTGGCATGATCCAGCATTGACATGTGAACATTCACCCCCCTTTTCCACTCCTCCTGAGACTTGAAGCACCCCCTCCGCCAAAGCCTGCCTGGTTGTCATTGTGTGAGCTCATCTTCTCCCACCCACCCCTGTGTGTAGTGCACGTATCTTCCCCCATACCCAAATAATCTGCAGTACACAACAGTAAAGAAACTTTGTTAAGGGTTTTGGTTCGGTCAAAACCAAACTTGCAGCTGACCTAACAAAGTGTCCACTTTGTGACTGCCTATTCACGTGGAAAACCTGTCTTGTGTTCCTCCTGTACTTGTCCTCGATGCGGACATAAATGTGTGTGTAGCACTGCCCGTTGTATGCCGTGGTGTACTTTTATCTCTCAAGTGAGAAGTCTTTTTAAAAAATCCGCCTCTTGGGTTAAGGATGAGTTTAACCTAGCATGAGAATCAAAACATCTCGACTTCGGTATGAACGAGACTCATGTTTGCAATACCCGGCTGTGAAGCCATAACCAATTAATTCAACAATTGGTTCTGTAATAATAACTTGTGTGTAAGAGTAGTAGATGTGGCTTTAGAAATGTTGGTGTCTGTTTTTTATTTTAAAAAGCAGCAGCCCACGGAGAATTATCATTATTTTTCACAACTAAATGCAGTGCATGAAACTTCCTGATGGGTCAGGTGGTGTGTGCAGACGTTTTAAGCTCTCACCTTGGCCCTCCAGCTCTGCTTCTGCTTCAGCTAATTTCCCTGTAAATTGTGTCCCTAGCTGGGAAGACCCTCCAGATCTTTAATATTGAAATGAAAAGCAAAATGAAAGCTCACACCATGACGGACGACGTCACCTTTTGGAAGTGGATTTCTCTGAACACGGTTGCGCTGGTCACCGACAGCGCTGTGTACCACTGGAGCATGGAAGGGGAGTCTCAGCCGGTCAAGATGTTTGATCGCCATTCTAGCCTCGCCGGCTGCCAGATCATCAACTACCGTACAGATGCAAAGCAGAAATGGTTGCTTTTGACTGGTATATCTGCACAGGTAATGCATCGGTATAAGTGGATGTATGCATATCCAAATATGTGGAAATTGTGGCTTTAGCTAGAATCTGTGCTAAACTGCATGGGCAGAGTGGTTCCCGCACTCTAGGGAACATCAGAAGAGTCCTGTTGGATCAGGACAAATGCCCATCTAGTCCTGTGCTCTGTTCTCACAGTGGCCATCCAGATGTTCATGGGAAGCCCGCAGGTACGACCTGAGCGCAACAGCAGTGCTCTCCCTACCTGCAGTACCCAACAGCTGGTATTCAGAGGCATTGCCTCAACCACAGGTTGCCACCCTCTCCATTTTACTAATGGGCAAGCACACGACCTTTGAATTTTTTCATGGCTATACGGGGACTCTGTGTGTCTGCATTCTGTGGAGAGCTTGCACCTTTTCCTTCCACCCCCAATGCATACCACGTCGATATTCTGGTCATTGTCCCAGCATAAAGTCACAGCATTTAATCTCCCCCAATGAAATAGTGTGACTAGATGCCACTCTGCAGAGACGTATTGATAAAATGTGACAAAATCCAGACCACAAGCCTGAACCCTGACGAGAGCCAATGAGATGAGGGGAGTATTCCTAATGGCTGTAGCATACTGCATTCTCATTAAAAATAACCTTGGTGTTCCTGGGTTTTGTTTTTTGTAAGCTATTGTCCCTTTCAGTGGTGCCTGTAGAGTTTGTTAAATAGAAACTTGTTATAATGCAGTTCAGCTGAAGTCTGTTACCCTGTGGCTAAAATAATACTTCAGCTTTTCCTGGGCAAATTCTTGCCTCCATAGCCTGGTGAAAAGGAGGCTGTGGGTGACAGTGACTTGTAGGAGTGTAATGAAGGGGGTGGGAGATTCATCACTGCTGCTCAAGTATTGGGCTTGCCAGGCCTCCCCTTTTGGCCTGCTGTTTTGACTAGGCACACCCACCTGCTCTGCGTCTGACTTCATATGTCAGGTGTAAGGCAGGTAAATATGCCACAGGGCTAAAAGGGGGCATGTAGGCACTGTTGAACTGATAGATGACACCTACCAAATTTCTTGTACAGTGCTCTGCAAACCCCACGATCAGCAAAGGGCAGTCTTTTTATCTTCAAATTGTGTGTGCAGAAATAGGTCACCTGATGTCAGGTAATTGACAGGTTGGCACTCCACCCACCTGCCAAATATTGCCAGTGGGAGGTGGAGGAAATCAGGGTCCAGCCCTCCAGCCAGATCCAATTCTTCATCCCCACGCTACAGGAGGAAACTAGAGGAGCCAAATGCAAGTTTTCATTTTGTTTAACTCAGTGCCCCTTTTCTACCAAAGCAACCTGGGCAATTTGCAGTTTAGAATAATGCCTTAGATAGAAAGCATTTTACAAAAAGAGGGGGTGGGGGGGAGAAGCAAATCTAGGTCCTGGATACCAGCTCTTCTCATACTGTTGCGTAGTGGGCAGTTAGAATGATCACTGCAGGAAACAGTTCTTCAGAGAAAAGGGTTTAACTGCAGTTCATTCCATTCAGACCAACGACCTCACTTTCTCCTCTCAAGCTGGTCAGGTGGAGTGAGAGTTCTGTGAAGTCACCAGTGGGCAACCTGTAGCCCTCCTGATGTTGCTGGCCTGCAACTCCTGTCATCCCTGACATTTGGCCTGAATGTTGCAAGTGTAACAGAATCCAAGGGACCACCACTACCCCTGCTGTAGATTATACCGTTAACCAAACTTTTAAACCAGACTTTCTGCCCCTCTACAAATGTACAAGTAAAAAAACTTCCTGTGTCTATAAAGGCTATGCCTAGGCTTGCATAAATATGCCTAGCTGGTGTGTTAAGCCAGTTAATTAGAGTTTATGGTTATCGTAATGTTACAGAGTTGAATATTCATGTGTGTGCTATTCTCTTTTCCTTTTTTAATAAAGCAAAACCGTGTAGTAGGAGCCATGCAGCTTTATTCCGTAGATAGGAAAGTGTCACAGCCCATTGAGGGTCACGCGGCCAGCTTTGCGCAGTTCAAGATGGAAGGCAATGCGGAAGAATCCACCCTTTTCTGTTTTGCAGTGAGAGGACAAGCAGGAGGCAAGGTAAAAGGGAGGGGACACAAATACAGGGTTCTGGGTATGGCGTGTAATGAGCCTAATTGGCAGATATGAGAAAAAGGGAAGCAATAGTGGAACAGTAGGGAGCCTCAGGCCTTGAGGCTGTGGCCCTCCAGACTTCCCTATCTGGCCCTCAGGTCTCTTCCTAGGTTACAGCTCATGCTCAGTCCAGCCCTAAACCCATCTTGATTGTATTTCCCTGGCTGAAATGTTTCTTTCAACTGTGATGGTGCCTCTTGCTTCCTTGGGGGGAGGGGGTAGTGTAGAAACCTCTTGACATTTGCACAACCAGGGTGTAGCTACTGTGCATACTTAAGAGTTGCATTCCTTTCCATTCCTACTTTTGCCTCTGGACCTGATATGCGGCCCCTGCAAGATTACTCACAAGAGAAAATGTGGCCTGAAAAATTTCCTGTCCCCTGCTGCAGTCATTTTCAGAAGGACACTTCCAGAGAACATTGGATGGACGCTGGAGCAAGGAGACTTCCAGCAAAAGACACACACCACATTGGCCTTGCTGTAACAAGCATATCTTGGCTGATCTTTCGCACAGTTCAGTAGCCTCAGTCTAGTGTCAACGGGGCTATAGCCTGGTCCCTTTTAAATTAGAGTGTTCACCCTTTATTTGATAAAGGAAGAGAGTATTGAAAAGTATTTGCGCCCACCGTGGCTGCTGCCATGTAAAATAGCAGGCCTGAATGGTGAAAATGCTTGAGGAACTTTCCAAGGAAGCTTGGAGATGCAATACAATCCTCTTTCTCTCCCGTGCAGTTGCATATCATTGAAGTTGGCACCCCTCCCACAGGAAACCAGCCTTTCCCCAAGAAAGCTGTGGATGTCTTCTTCCCACCTGAAGCACAGAATGACTTCCCAGTAGCAATGCAGGTATTACCAAGGGACAATTTTTGCTTTCTTACTCCTCATACCTTTTTTTTTGGGGGGGGGAAGGGGTAGGGGGGGAAATCATCTGTAAATAAGTCATTTCAAAATGCTGATGAATGGCGAAGCTTAATACCGCCAACTTCCAAGCCTTGGATTTAACTGTGTAAGCTGCCTTTAATTGCTGCTTAGCCTTGCCTTTTATAGAACGAAAGTTCAGGTATTTTTGGCTTTTGTAAGTGCCTGTCAGGCAGCTCGTTACTTAGCGAAGCTCGCTCTGCTCTTTGGCACTTGGACAGTTCATACTTGATGGATTCAACTTATTTCGTAGCCAGTACTAAACTACAGCCAGGTCTGTGTTTGTGTACCATGGATATGTGGGAGAACAATATGGGTGAATATGGCTGCAGAGTTCAGTATCCCGAGAATCTCAGCTTTCAGGAAAAAGTATGGAGTAGACCAGGAGTAGACCCATTGAAATTAATTGACATGACTAACTTAGACTTAACCTTGACATATAACTTAGATGAATACAAGCCTAATCTTACAGTCTATATTGCTGCAAAGAAGCACTTGAACCCCTCTAGGCAATTCCTGCTAAAATCTGGGAAACCGGAGGGTGGGTGAATATATCTCGTTGTTGGGCTAGAGGACATTGTGTATCTGCTCTCACCACGACTAGTGGAAGGCTTTGAATTCTATGCAAAAGGGGTCAGTTTGCTAACTTGCTCAATTTGCATTATGTATATCTTCAAATTCCCTTATCACATAGCTTTAATTTCGCTTCCTACTGAAGCTCTGTGCCTTGGTGGAGAGTGTATACAATTGATCACAACACATGGTGGAGCACCTTAAAAGGACTGTCTCTGTTCATTTTTGCCCCCCACCTTTCTCCCTGTAGATAAGCGAAAAGCACGATGTGGTTTTCTTGATCACAAAATACGGCTATATCCATCTGTATGACCTCGAAACGGGCACCTGCATCTACATGAACAGAATCAGTGGGGAGACCATCTTTGTTACCGCACCCCATGAAGCTACCGCTGGAATCATTGGCGTCAACAGAAAAGGACAAGTAATGAAATCTTAATTCTCTTTATTTATTTGTATTGTGTTCACATCCTGCCCTTCCTCTAAAAAGGAGCTCAGGTCAGACTCAGGTTGTAGGGATAAGGAGAACCTGCAGCCCTTCAGATGCTGTTGGATTTCAACTCCCACCAACCAGGGATGATGGGCGTTGTAGTCCGTGAACATCTGAATGGATGACCATGGTTTTTATTAAGCCCATTGCACAGACTTTGAAGCTGGCTTTACTATGAGGTTAAGGCCAGGTGGGTAAATGTAATGTGGATGCTGTGCTTGCTTCTCTCTCTCTCTCTCTCTCTCTCTCTCTCCAACCTTCATATGCTCTTCAATGTCTGAGTCGGTGCAGTATTCTGAATGTGTGCAGGCATTCAAAACTCCCACCTGCCATCCCTTCCATAAAGCAGGTCAAAGTGTCGCATTTGAGCGTTAGTAGGTGAAAGTTCAGAGTTTGCCGCCTGAGCAGTCTCTTGGAAATGTTTAACGCTGCTGACCTTAAAGATCTTTGGCATACCACTGATATTTGCTTTTGAGTTCCCTACGTGCAGTCTGCAGCGGGATGTCACTTTTCAGCCAGCAACCGTGACTTCCCAGTCAGTCCTATATCAGGTGCTTGAGGATCTAGTGCAGGGAGAATTGACCCCCCCCCCAGGTCAAGCATGGGAGGACCAGTGACCCTCCAGATGTTATTGGACCACATCTCCCATCATCCCTGACCATTGACCATGCTGGCTGGGACTGATGGGAATCTGGAGGTCCACAGATTTCCCACCTCTGGCCCTGGACTTAAAGGGTCTTGTCCCACTAAAGACCTGCTGAAATGAATGGGGACCAAGTCAGTTGCGCCCATTATTTTGAATGGCTTTTCTCTGAGTAGGACTAGCATTTGCTACAAACCAAAGAAGTGTAGCCTGGGGCTCCACACCCCTCTGATCCAGAAGCCACACCTTTTCCTCTGGTTGTCCTTCTGGAAGCGCGTGCGCACACACACCGGCATTCTCTTTGTTGTGTTAATCTGTTGCCACTCTGTGATTGTAATGGCGGAGGCAGGCTACCCTACCCTAGCATTCCTTGGCTTCATTTCAATGGCAAACCTTGTGATCAGGGTACAGACCCCATTTTTAAGCAGCCAGGAGTTAATAAACGCACAGGGAAGCAAGAGATCTGGGCGTCCTTTGGGAACTCCATTGATTGTACTCCTGCAAGGGATCTGGGAGGACTTCAAAGTGCTAAAATGTGAACGGTACTATCTTACGTATCGTTGTTCCTCTTCTCCTCCCGTTCCCATGCTTCTCTGCCTTTTAATTCTGCTTCTTAACCCAATAGAGGGTTCCAGTCTTTAATTGCCCTAGACGGATTAGCCTACCCAAGTTTTAATTGGGCTTTGAAAAAATGGGACACTGTAGGAACCGCATGACTTCTGGGGTGTTCATGTAGTAGTCATCCATCTCCACTTTCATTCCCTTGCAATGAGTGGTAGACCTTCTTTGCTGAAATGCCGTGGTTTCTCTGAAGATAATCCTACACACAGCTTTTTGGCACCGCGCAAATTCTAAATGGATTGGAAAGCCACATCGCAATCCTCTACCTAATTGGACGGCTCTGTCGAAAGCTCTAAAGTGTGGCCACCCTGCTAGCTCTTGGCCCACCAACACAGTTCTGGTTTGAAAGTATGGAGAGCAAAAGGAACGTAGGAAGCTGCCTTGTGTTGAGTCAGACCATTGGTCCACCTGGCTCAGTGTTGTCTACACTGACTGGCAGTGGCTGTCCAGGATTTCAGACAGGGGAACATTCCCAGCCTTACCTGGAGATGCCATTGAGGATTGAACCAGGGACCTTCCGCATGCAAGGCAGGTGCTCTACTACTGCCCTTTATTTAAAACTTAATTCCTTTTATCTCTAGAGCCTCTGCTGGTTTTTTGGTTTCTCTCTCCCTGTCTTCTCCTCCTCCCCCCTCTCCGGAAATTAAACTGCTTGCCTTTTAGCCTAGGTAGCAGTGAGCTGTCCTTCAGCCTTCTCCCCTCTTTTGTCTTTAATAGTCAAGTCTATCTGGCTTGAATCATTTCTTGCAACCTTGGGGAAGGTTGCAGCTAGTGGGGAGCCAGGGTGTGCGGTAGTAGCAATTAATAAATGCAAGTAGATGGCACTTAACACAAGGATTTGTTCATGCATTTAACGCTTTCTTGAAAAAAACAACACCCCTCCATATATGTACCAAATGACAGTGTTAAGGTGAAACTCGTCTTAAGTTCCTTCTTGGGTATGGTTCGAATGGCAAAGGCTACTTGGACTGGTTTGCTGTCGGGGTTGCTTTAATCTTAGAATTCCAGCAGCTTTCTCAAAGAGCTAGCGTCCCCCTTCTCCTCGGATTGCGTTAATCTGCCACTAAGCTGCTATGGCCCTGAAAAAGCCTTTCCCTGGCAGCTGGGAAGCAGCAGCTTTGCCATTTCCTCTGTGTATTAGATCCTGAGTTGCATGGGAATCTGCCTTCCACTGGGCTACGTGCCCATCCCCCTCAGTATTCCCCCACTGACTGGCAGTGGCTCTCTAGGGCAGAATCCTACCTGTCACCAGCCACTGATTGTCCTGGTGCCAGGAATTCAAACTGGGGCCACCTGCCTGCAGCGCAGGACTTCTGTTGTTGGACTATGGGCCCTGTTAAGTTGATTCAGGTAATGTTAAGTTTCCCAGCTTCTTAACTGTGCGCTTTCTCTCTCTCTGTCTGTCTCTCTCTCACACACACATAACCTAGACCAGGATGCAAAGGACCACCCAGCTAGTTCAGCACATGTAACGAAAACAGCAGTTTGCCATGCCAAAATGCTGCTTTGAAGCAGAAGATACTTTTCCAAAGCAGCCTGATGGGGTTCTGCTGTCTAGCCACCTCACTTGGGTGTTCTTGAGCTGTTGTATTAAGTATTAAGGGTCCTCACAAATTGTGCCTTGGTGGTTAAAAACTTGTGAACTAAGTCTTGGGGCCCTTCTCTCGCTTGGGGGATGTTGGTTCCAGCCCCTCTGTGGGGAGGAGAGCAAGTAGATGGTGAGGAACCGTGGCTCCCACCAACTTCTCCTTTTCTCCCAGTTGGGCTGGGCCCTTTCTGGGAATTTTTGAGAATTTTTCAAATCCAGCTGCCCTGTGAGGAAGAGGAACTGGATAACTTGCTCTGGTGCTGATGGTTTTGGCTTGGCTCCTGTGAGCCTCCCTGCCTGGGCAGGAGGGACAGGTTCCAGCTAGGCCCTGCCTTGTAAGGTCAACAGATACTGGTTGCATTGCAGCCACTTTAGGAAGGTTGGGTTGCCAGGCTATCTCTAAGGGGCCACCGCTTCCTGTTTTTCTAACTGAACAGCCTTTTTTCATCCAAATGGGTTGTTGTAAGAACTTAGTAACATTGAGATTTTAGTTCCTAGTTTAGTTCTAGTTTGCTCCCTACCCCCACTTCCTCCCCATTCCCCTTTCCTTTTGTGTTGCTTCTTTGTAAGCCATAGGGCAGGGACTGTCTTTATTAAAAAAAATAAAGCTGTAAGCTGCTGTGGGAGTTTTTTGGCTGAAAAGTGAGGTATAAATGTTTCAGGCAAATGACGAAATCTATTCTGGGGATGTTCCTGGTACACTGTCCCTTGGAAGCAAGTTCTGAAAGATCAGTGTTTTTTCAGTGGTGGCACTTTTCTATCTTAACTAAAGTGAACGGGTAGTCAGCAAGGCTGCATCCCCATACCTTTTCTTTTAAAAAAAAGAATCTTGCAGGGAGATGCCAGACCTAGGCTCTAGGGGCTATGCACTCCTGAGTCTTTCTGCTTGTTTTTCTCTGTGAGGGTGGGTGGGGGACGACCCTTAGGAAGCTTGTCGGAATTCAAATCTTAAAATACGAGGTTTCCCAACTTGGTTGAAATTAAAGGTTGATTCAACCCAGTGCTCAGTCTCCCACAGCAAAGGGATATACCTGCAGGAACTTCATGAAATTTTCCTGTATCGTCTCTTCGGTGGGATACTAAATGCAATCCCCATATTTGACTGCTGTGGCTAAGTAGCTATTGATGGAGAAATTTGGAAACAATCTGTATTTTTTAAATGGCAATCCCCATACCAGCTTGCATAACATTAGCAAACTGTGCTGCCTGTTCACTGGCTCTGGGGGCAGCCGGGAGTGCTGAGTTGCAGCCCTGACCAGCTGTCACATTGTGAATGCTGTAGTCTGCAGAGTGCGTTTTTTGCATGCTTACTGAGGTTTGGAATGCTGTGCAAATCTGATCTGACCCGGATGTCAGGCCTCCATCTGGGATCCCAATGCCCCTTGGTAAACCATGTAAATAAATGCATGTATATATAAATAATGGCGTCCAGATTTGTGGCATGATGTCCTTCTGAGCTGACTGGGAGTATATGATTCATTGCTGTTGGCAGAAGAGTCTTTGCTCTTCTCTTCTTCCCTTTGGGCCTCGAAAGCCTAAAAGGCCAGTGACTCATTCCCTTCACACAGGGGAAGAAGGAGCCCTTCCCCAACTCAGAGCAGCTCTATATATACGCACAGAAGAAGCAGTGCAATTCTGAACTGCACCATTTCAGAGAGCAAGTGAAGAAGGCATTGGTTTGAATGCTTCCTGTATGAAGTGAAATACCTATCAGGGAGAGAGATTCTTCTCCTCACCCTTGCCTCTCCTTTCTGCTAGCTTTCTGGGCTTGCCGATCAGAAGGTCGGCAGTTCGAATCCACGTGACAGGGTGAGCTCCCATTGCTCTGTCCCAGCGTCTGCCAACCTAGCAGTTCAAAAGCATAGCAGTGCAAGTAGATAAATAGGTACCCCTGTGACAGGAAGGTAAACAGTGTTTCCATGCGCTCTGGCTTCCTTCATGGTGTCCTGTTATGCCAGAAGTGGCTTAGTCATGTTGGCCGCATGACCTGGAAAGCTGTCTGCGGACAAACACCAGCTCCCTTGGCTTGAAGCGAGATGAGCTCTGCACCCCATAGTCACCTTTGACTTAACCGTCCAGGGGTCCTTTACCTTTACCTTTTACCATGTTAAAGGGTCTAGAAATCAAGTAGTTGAGGGAGCTGGGAATGTTTAGCCTAGAGAAGAGGGAACTCAGAGGGGGTAAGAGAGCCATCTTCAAATACCTTAAATGCTGCAACATGGAAGATTGAGCAAGGGTGTTATCTCCTGCTCCGGAGGGTAGGACCTGAAGCAATGACTTCAAGTTCCAAGAAAGGAGATGGTGGAATAACTTCCAGGCGGCAGTTGGATAGTGGAACAGACTTCCTTGGAAGATGGTGGGATCTTCTTTATTGGAAGTTTTTAAGCATGTGTTGGATGGCCACCTGTCAGGGGTTCTTTAGCTGCAATTCCTGCATTGCTTGTCAATATCCTACTTAAAATTGGTGCCCAGAACTGGACACAGTACCCCAGGTATGCTCTAACCAAGGCAGAATGGAGTGGTTCTATTACTTCCCTTGATCCGGACGCTATACTTCTGTTGATGCAGCCTAGAATAGCATTAACTTTTTTTGCTACTGCATCACACTGTTGACTCGTGCTAAGCTTGTGGTCTGTTAAGACCCTCATATACCTTTCGCATGTAGCTGTCAATCCTGGTGTCCCATATCTTATATTTGTGCAGCTGGTTATTCTTGCCTATGTGTAGGACCTTAACATTTGTCCATATTGAAATTAATTTCGTTAGTTTGGGCCCAGTTCTCCAAAAGGTGGTCTTGAATCCTGATTCTGTCTTCTGAAGTATTAGCTACCCTTTCCAGTTTGGTGCCATCTGCAAATTTGATGAGCATCCCCTCAATTCCTTCATCAAAGTCATTTTTAAAGATGTTTAACAACAGTGGGTCCAGGACAGAACCCTGTGGCACCACACTTGTCACTTTCCCCCCCTGGATAAGAAACCGTTAGTGAGCACTCTTTGGGCTTGGTCAGTCAACCAGCTACAAACTCACCTAGCAGTAAAATCCTCCCCATATTTTACCAGCTTCTGTGCGAAATTGTCATGGGGGACTTTGTCGAAAGCCTTACTGAAATCTCTCTATCTTATATTTCCAACGCAGGTTCTGTCTGTGTGCGTGGAAGAAGAGAACATCATCCCATATATCACCAACGTGCTGCAGAACCCTGACCTGGCTCTCCGAATGGCCGTTCGTAACAACCTTGCTGGTGCTGAAGAGCTCTTTGCCCGGAAATTCAATGCGCTTTTTGCCCAGGGGAGCTACTCAGAAGCAGCGAAGGTGGCGGCAAACGCCCCAAAGGTATAGAGAAATGGCTTTTAAGCCACCCAGGCTTTGGTGCCCCTTGAGCACAGAAACACACACACGGGGTGTGATGCTGCGGTCACTGCTGGCTGCATGCTTGCTTCACATTGGCTTGTCTCCCAACCCGTGGAGGTGCTCTATTAGATATCAGCTTGAGTTATTCCGGGCTGCCGCTTGGGGATTTAGGATGACAGACTACACCCTTCCTATTATACACCAGCAGGTAGGAGTCACACTCCTCTAGCAATTGGGGCTAAATGTGTGCAGCTGAATGAAGTTGCAGAGGAACATGGGTAGCCCATCCTAAACAGAATCACAATAGTCCAGATGTCTTCAGTTTACAACTCCCATCATGCATCTCTCTTGGCAGATGCAGGGGCTGATGGGAGTTGAGGTCCAGCAAAATCAAAAAAAAAACTGCCTACAACCTTGGGCTACTGAGTCCACCTGCATGAATGCCACCTCTTCCTTTGCTCTTGAAAGCCCACCTTTTCTGTGAATCCTTTGGCAAAACTCTCCCATTCACTTGCTGCACTGTAACCTGAAGCAACCACACACAGCATTCCGGTCCCCACTGTCTCCCCATCCTTCCCCATCCTCTTGTTTCCCTAGTGGATGCTCTTCGGGGCAGAGATCTGTTCTCTTGTTCTTTTAAAAGTGCTGTGAAAATAGTAACTTTTTAAAAAAAAAAAAACCTTATGTGCTCTGCCTATTTTTCAGAAGAAATTAAAGGTGGAGAACAATCAAAAGCAGTAAACAATATTTTTTGTAAAAAACAAAACAAAAACCCAACCACAGTTCATCTGAACCATAAATGGAAAGTTACTATAAACAGATGTGTGTTTTTTTCTTTTTGTTCTAACTGGAGAAAGTTATAAGCATGGGGTCTGCTCAATCTGTAAAGAGCTAGCTATATAACTACCTTTGTGTTCATAATCTAAATGCCCAGTTGGGGGAACTGGGACTGTGAGGTAGTATGAATCTGTGTGGCAATAACTCACTGTTTGTGGGATTTTATGAACAGCACGTTTTCTGGGAACGATTCCCATTTACCATTGCAAAAACCCAAAATGAAAAGTTAGCTGGAACAGCAAGTTCCACTAACTTGATTGTGCCTGGTTCACCAGAGCAGTTCTGTGTCTGCTGATAGGTGGGAAAATGAGGGCACATGTGCATAACTTTAATCTTAAGGTCGGGTAAAATAGTGAAAAATTACGCCCCCTAAAGGACAGGTGATGTATCTTATTTACCCCTCTCTCTTCCAAAGGGGATCTTGCGTACCCCAGACACCATCCGCCGCTTCCAGAGTGTCCCAGCACAGGCAGGTCAGACCTCTCCGCTGCTCCAGTATTTTGGTATCCTGCTAGACCAAGGCCAGCTGAACAAGTACGAGTCGCTCGAACTCTGCCGGCCGGTGCTCCAGCAAGGACGCAAGCAGCTCCTGGAGAAATGGCTGAAGGAAGACAAGGTAAATCACGTCTTTTTGAAGGGCTTTGGGGGAGCGGTGTGACTTAGGAGGTTACCAGTCACCAAATCCATCATTTCTGCAGACTGAATTCAGTGGCTCTGTTGTGCATTGAGCCCAAATAGCAGCTGTCCGCAAACAAGGGCGTTGAGGTTGCTCTTAAGGGGCTGGTGAGCTACAGATCCATGCTGTGGCAAATATCAAAATTAAAAGTGCCACCTTGCATATAAAGCAACTTTGTCTTCAGATTGCTGGTTACAGAAAACAGTGTTCATTTGCCAGGACCTTCCCAGATAAACTCAGGGCACTGGATTCTCTACCTGTTCATTTTCCCAATGCCTTCTGGATCTGTGCCCTATAGAACTGTTTGACCTCTGCCAGCTCTGTTGTCTCTAGTTATAAGCTGTGCATTTTGGTTTGCCTCCTTTAGAAGGTGGTGTGGAGCCTGCTTCGCTCATTATTTTAAATACTTATAAACCGCTTACTTAAAAAAAAATATCCTGTTAATATCTAGTTGTTTTGATTTATTACCTGCCCTTCACCCTAAGTTCCCCAGGCAGGCCACAACAATTTAAAATGCGATATCCTTTTCTCACAATTGTAATTTGGAGTCGGGAACCCCAATTGGTCCCACTCTACCCTTTACCCACCCCTGTTTGGTATGACACACAGGACCCAAGGTGGCTGGCAGGCAGTGGGGTGTGTGTGTGGTCATAGGTGCGCAAGAGACCCTCTCAATTTCTTCACCGGCCATTCCATCTTGCACATTTCGCAGCTCTGCCCTTGTCATTTTGCTTCTCTTTTCTAATCTGTTTAAATCTTCGTTTTTGTTTCTGCGGGGGAAACAGCTGGAATGCTCCGAAGAACTGGGGGACCTGGTGAAATCTGTGGACCCAACATTGGCTCTGAGCGTCTACCTCAGGGCTAACGTTCCCAGCAAAGTGATCCAGTGTTTTGCCGAAACGGGACAAGTTCAGAAGATTGTGCTGTATGCAAAGAAGGTGATTTGCTGTTGGGCTGGAGCAGGGGGGCACTGGAGTTCATGTTGGGGCGCTCGCGTTGCCAACCCTGCTTGGGCTCTGCTGACTGGCAGCAGCGGCCGAAGGGATGAGGTTCCCTGGTGATGCCCTTTGGCCATTCCCTGCACCCTCAGAGCTTAGGTGGATTTCCACCTTGGATAGGACTACTTCAGTGTCGCCCTAGTAATAGGATGCTGTCCTCAGGGTGGCCTATCTAGCAGAGAAATTATTTATCCTTGCCCCAGGCAGTTTAGTCTTGTGAGTCTTTTATTTCAACACCTCTTTATTTTATGGCATGGTGCTGCTGGTTAATTTTGTATTTCAACTACCGTGAACTGCTTCAAAGCGTCTGTGTCCATTTTTTAATAGCTAAAAACTGAATAACTTTTATTGCCTTGGAAAGAGAGAAGGGGTGGGTTCTGATACAGTGGGGGTGCCCAAACATTTTTCCAACAGGGCCAGATTTGATTAAGTGAACATTCATGAGAGCTTTTTTTAGGGCTTAACCCAAAAGTTGTTGAGCTTTTTACCCCAGGACATATACTTCTGACTTTGGACATACCTGTGATACAGCATGCACGAGAGATCAGAAGCTAGCTATGGAAGTCAGAAGCACAGGATGAACTGGCAACACCAGCAGAGCTTGCCTGTTTGGGTGGCTGTAGTGATTTAAGCGGGTGGGTTAACCCACAGCGGGTGGCGCTATGGGTTAAAGCACAGAGCCTAGGGCTTGCCGATAAGAAGGTCGGCCATGACTGGGTGCGCTCCCGTTGCTCGGTCCCTGCTCCTGCCACCCTAGCAGTTCAAAAGCACGTCAAAGTGCAAGTAGATAAATAGGTACCACTCTGGCGGGAAGGTAAACGGCGTTTCCGTGCGCTGTTCTGGTTCGCCAGAAGCGGCTTAGTCCTGCTGGCCACATGACCCGGAAGCTGTACACCGGCTCCCTCAGCCAATAAAGCGAGGTGAGCACCGCAACCCCAGAGTCAGCCACGACTGGACCTAATGGTCAGGGGTCCCTTTACCTTTACCTAGTGATTTAATAGAGGAGGCTACCTTATACCAAATCAGATTACTGGTCCAGCTAATTCAGTATTGTCTATGCTGACTTGGCAGTGGCTCTCCAGGGTTTCAGGCAGAGTACCAGGAGAGGCCACTGGGGTTTGAGCCCAGGGATCTACTGCATGTAGAGCACCCCTGAGCTACGGACCTTCCCTGTGGAACTTGGCTGAAGCCCTTTCCAGGAGGTGCCCCAGAGGAGATGAGCCCTTCTGATGTAGAAGCTTAGGCTGAGTGGCTTGCTTTCTAGTTTATGTATCAAATATATTAGGCCATTTCCTCTCTTTTGGAAAAAAGCAGAAAACACATCTTGCAAAAAAGAAAGAAGCAAACAGTAATGAACAAAGCAGCATGCGGAATCAACAAGACCTTTAAAGCCTAAAATGGGATTGGTGAGATTCCTATAAAAGACCAACTGTGCCGGAAATAGTCCTTGGCAAATCAGAAAATAGCAGTAGGAGGCTGGTCTAGAGAGTCTTCCCTGCACCTCTGAGGCTCAGTTTTGGGATAGCATTTCAGGGGTATGTAATAGCACTTGAGCTTCCAGCAACAGATCTTAAGAACTGGATGGAAGTTGCCAGTTGGATAGCTGGCTCTTTAAAAAGTTCACGAAATACCTCTCTGTACATGTGTGTAGGTTGGCTACACTCCTGACTGGATCTTCCTCCTGAGGAATGTGATGCGCATTAGCCCAGACCAAGGACAGCAGTTTGCCCAAATGCTGGTTCAGGATGAGGAACCTCTTGCAGATATCACCCAAGTAAGTAAAACTTGAACACGAATTAAAAAGGAGATGCCTTTTTTTTTTTTCTTTTTCTTTTGCTTTTTTTTGCTTCTGGAGACCTGAAAATACTGATTGCCCCTCTGGAAAGGTGTTTGTGTCAATTTTCAGATGAAAGGTATTGGAGTAAGAAATTCAAGGAATAACTTGGTTTGTCATTTTAAGAAGTGATTCTATGGCCAAAGCTTGTTTTCCACAAGCATAATTCTAGTTAAATCAAGGCTGTTGCGAAGATACCAAAGGCTGCATCTACAAATGAACACGGGAAACTGGGTGGTTCTCCAGGACTGATTGCAGCAATAGTTTATATACTTGGTGCAATAGTGTATATTAGCTCTTGTGGGAAAGTGGTCTTTAAACATGCGAAAGGTTAAAAAAAATTGAACAAGTTCCTCAGTCCCTCCGGAACATTTTTTTTTTTTTTTTGCAATGACTTTAAGAGGCGGTATTTGTGGTTTCTAGGATCAGGTAAGAGACCCTGCCACAACCTATGTGGCTTTCCCAATGCTGCTGGCCTTCAAACCCCATCATGCCCAGCCAGCATGGCTGATGGTCAGGGATGATGGGAATTGTAGTCCCAACAGCTGGAGAACCACTCATTCCATCCCACCCTTCGCAAGTGAGTAAGAGCAGATTTGTGCTACATCAGTGTTAATGACTGGAAGCAGCTCCTTGAGAGCCTTGGGATATGGACAGCTTCTTCTGATTGAGATAACGCGTACAGTTAGTTAGGATTTTGCGGGGAACAAATTGTACGGTGCTTTATTCCCTACCTCAGGGCAGTTTTAAGTAGTGTGAGCTCTACAGCGAACCTTCTCTTCCCCCTCCAGATAGTGGATGTGTTCATGGAGTACAACCTGATTCAGCAGTGCACAGCCTTTTTATTGGATGCCCTGAAAAACAACCGCCCATCTGAGGGACCTTTGCAAACCCGCTTGCTTGAAATGAACCTCATGCATGCCCCTCAGGTAGGTACTTTTTTTTGGGTATGGAAACTTTTCAACCAGGTGGGTGTTCTGGACAAAAGCTCAGTAGCTCTGGGACCTACACCCTTGATTCCGTGATTATATTCCCCATGTTGCGATTCTGAAATGCAGCAGGAACAACCCAAACGGGGATTGAACTTGCCCTTCATCCAGTAGTTGGTGGGTTGCTTCAAAGCAACCACACCATCTAGATCAGGTGGGGGGAACTGTAGAGCCTCTGGGTGTTCCTGAACTACAACTCCCATCAGCCACAGCAAGCATGGTCAGTGGCAAGGGATGAAGAGAGTTAAGGCTCCAGAAACCTTGTCTAAATACTCATCCCTTTCTTGATTTGTGGAATGAATATTTCTGCACCATGTATACCATTCTTGAGCCTCAACATGTGTTAACAGTAGAAACTCAAAACAGTTCTTCAGTCCGGGGCTCTGATTTGTAAACAAAACATTAAGAAATATCAGAGGTGGCTGCATCAGTCTGGTAAGACACAAAACAAAGAGTCCTCTGAAAATGGGGGCTGTGGTTGTGGTGTTGTTCTAAAGCTGTGAATGGGCAGCCCTGGTGAGCCTTCTTAAGTAAGAAATTCAGAGCAGGCGCCACATAGAAATGCCTGGGATATCCCTACTTCTCCAAGCAGGCTGCTTTTACGCCTGACGACGGATGCTCTGAGCACATGGGAGGAAATATATTTGAGGCTTGCCGTACCACGTCACTGGCTTTCTTTATAGCCTCTTAAAAGTTTACACCCGGTGGCAAAGTCGTAGGCGTAGAATGAAGCCTCCCTTTTGACTGCCAAATCTCCCTTTCCTTCCAGGTTGCTGATGCCATCCTAGGAAACCAGATGTTCACCCACTACGACCGTGCCCACATTGCCCAGCTGTGCGAGAAAGCTGGCCTCCTCCAGAGAGCCCTGGAACACTTCACCGACTTGTATGACATCAAGCGGGCCGTCGTCCACACTCACCTTCTCAACCCCGAGGTACTGTGTCCCAAACCAGCTGTATTTTGAAATGAGTCTTTCCATCACTGATTCCTGATTCCTCCAGTTCAAGTCCTCTGCTTTGGGTGCTTGCTGTGTGCAAATGGGACTTAGAACATCACCATGGGTTAGATTTTTTTTTTTGACTGCCTGCTTTTAACCTGCAGTGGTTGGTGAACTACTTTGGCTCCCTCTCGGTGGAAGACTCCCTCGAATGCCTCCGGGCGATGCTCTCGGCCAACATCCGCCAGAACTTGCAGATATGCGTCCAGGTTGCTTCAAAGTACCACGAGCAGCTTTCGACCCAGTCCCTCATTGAACTCTTCGAATCTTTCAAGAGTTTTGAAGGTAAGGCAACTGGGCCACCTCAGGCTCTTCACCACAGGGATGAGGAACCTGTTTCAGCCTGGGGGGCCGTATCCCCTCCTGGGGGGACCACTTGCTTAGTGGTGTCCAGAGCCAGAGGCAAAAGTGCACGGAGCAATGAATGCAAAGGTTTCCAATGTGGTGTGCCAATGTGGTGCTGTGATCAGGGTGTCTGAGAGACCAGGCTTCGTCTCCCTGCTCAGCCATGAAACTCACCAGGCGATGGGCCAGTCACTCCATCTCACCCTAACTCACTTCCCTCACAGGGTTGTTATGAGCATAAAATTGGGAGAAAGAGAATCGGGTATACCACCTTGAGCTGCTTGGAGGAAAAGTTGGGATATGAATGTAATAAATAAAACAAAACAACACATATACACACCTCTATCCTCCAACTGACTGAGTAATAATAATAAAATATTTATACCCCGCCCTCCCCAGCCAAGACCGGGCTCAGGGCAGCTAACACCAGGTATAAAAACGATTGATTGAAATACAACTTAAAATCAAGATTAAAATACAACATTAAAATGCAGCCTTGTTTCAGTAGGAACTCAAATCAAAAACTTTTTGGGGGATGAAAACGTCAAGTCTTCACCAAGGCCAACTATCCAGACTGGTCCTATGTGGGCCAGAAAAAAAGCCAGGGAAGTCCCCAAATAGGAATGCCATCACAGAAGGAGAAAGGAAAAAGGAAAGAGGGGGAGGGGATCAAGTTGATTCCAAGCCAAAGGCCAGGCAGAACAACTCTTACAGGCCCTGCAGAAAGAAATCAGATCCCGCAGGGCCCTGGTCTCATGAGGCAGAGCGTTCCACCAGGCCGGAGCCAGTGTTGAAAAGGCCCTGGCTCTGGTTGAGGCTAATCTGACTTCTTAGGGCCCGGGACCTCTAGGGTGTTGCTATTTATGGACCTTAAGGTCCTCCGTGGGGCATACTGGGAGAGGCGGTCCCGTGGGTACGAGGGTCCTAGGCCGTGAAGGGCTTTATAGGTCAAAACCAGCACCACTAAGAGGCACTATCAGAGTTCAAGGGCAGGCTAAATTCACTTGAGGAGGGTGCAAAGCAGAGCTGGTGCAGAATGTGAGGGGGTGTGGCTGGGGTGAGATGGGGCTTGGACCCCAAGGGCAGACGGGGCGTGTGGCTCTGCAGAAATGAGCCTAGTGCACAAAGGTAAAACTTGGGATGGTTGCTCTGCCCACCCCTGGCATGTGGCCCAGATGAGAATGTGGTGCTCAGTCTGAAAGGTTCCTTCTCCCTTGCCCTACACGGACGTCTGCAAGAACTTTCCTTGTACACAGAGACTAGTCTTCCCACAGTCCTGCAAGAACTTGTATTGCACAAACTGGTCCCACAATCGTACAATTGCTCCACTAATTCCCAGGATATTGACATTTAATTTTAAAGTCTCTTCTTCACTCCCCCCACTTAGGTCTCTTCTATTTCCTGGGCTCCATCGTCAACTTCAGCCAGGACCCAGACGTGCACTTCAAATACATCCAGGCTGCTTGCAAGACAGGCCAGATTAAAGAGGTGGAAAGAATTTGCAGAGAGAGCAACTGCTATGACCCAGAGCGGGTGAAGAACTTCCTCAAGGTAAAAAAAGGATAGGAGAATCCTCTGCGCTCCCACCTCAGCTCCCCATAGCAAGGCCAGCTTATCATCGGCTTGTGGTTTTAAATTCTAATTTTGGTGGTGGAGGCCATTGGAAATAACAGCACAGCTCAGGCCATTGATAAATCTCTTGGAATATAAGCGGTCTTTGATTCCTTAAAAGAACATGTGCATTTTGTTAAAAACATTCCTGCATTGCAGGGGGTTGGACTGGGTAACCCTCGGGGGTCCCTTCTAGCCACAGTTCTGTGATTCTACGATATTGCCACCACCTGAAGGTACAGCTAAGTATTGATTTTGGCAATTTGGCAGAGCAAAGGGCTAAATCACAGGCGAAGGAGCTGTTGAACAGTGGAACAGTCTCAGGAGGTTGTGGACTCCCTCCTTGAAGGTTTTTAAGCAGAGCTTGGCTGGCCATCTGTCACAGATACTTGAGTTCATTGCAGCGGGTTGGACTAGATGACACTTGGGGTCCCTTCCAGCTCTGCAATTCTGTGGTTCCATGACCTGTGGCCCTCCAGTTGTTGCTGGTGCAGAACTCCCATCAGCTCCTGCCAGTAGGGTCATTGATCCAGGGTGATGGGAGTTGGGAGTCCAGTAACACCTGGAGGGCCAGAGGTTCCCCGCTCCTGGCCCAGAACCAAAGTTGCTCAACACTTTTGGCAGCTCTGGTTAGCCATATCCATCCGCTTCAATAGGTCTCCTGTGAATAGGGCTAACATGGGGGACAGCCGTCTTGTTAGTGGGGATGGTGTGGGGAGCTAGAGCAAAGCAAGAGGCTTTGGGACCCTTGTAATCTAGCAGTTGTCTTTGGAGTCAGCTTATAAGCAGCGGTTTTGAGTTGCGTGTGTGTGTTTGTGAGTCAACCATTTCCTGATCAGTCTGTTGTCTTTTGTGCTGATCCTTGTGTCTGTGGGATGTTCAGGACATGTACCAGGTAAACCTTCCAGTATAGAAGTCTCCCCGATCTGTTAACCCCTTCAGTGTCCACTTTTAGTGTAGAGGCTTGTATCATGGGATTAGCAGCCTTGGAAAAACTGTGTGTGTGGTGGCTTAATTTTCCTTTTAGAACACAATCCTTTCTTGTGCGTGCGTGTGTGACCTTGACACCTTGCTTTCAAATGTCATTCACAGAGAAGAACACTACTTATCATTTCATTACTAGGAGTCAGAGAGTTGGATTCAACGAAATCCTGCACAGGGTGGACCCATTGAAATTAACGAAACAAGCTAGTCATTCCTATTAACATCATTGGGTCTACTCCCATGGTTTCCAACGTGGGGCATACGACCCACAGGGGGGCAATTTAATTTGGAAGCTTGTTTAGACCAAGTTAATTGCCTTTTAGGCTTCCTCCACGTGAATAGGAGTTCACTTTTTTAATAATAAGAATTATATGTCACCGGGTGGTGGGTGGGTGGCAATCAGGATTTTAGAGATGCTTAGGTGGGGCATGGCCAAAAAAAAAGGTTGGGAACCACTGGTCTACTCTGAGGAGGGGTAGCATTTCATACCCACACATAACAAATTGCAACAGCTGCATAGGGTTTCTTGAGCTGGGGCGATAGCGACCCTTCTAAGTTGGCCACTTTTTCCAAGTTGTTTCCACTGTGTATTTGGGTTGCATCTTGTCCTTGGATTGCTTCCCTCACCCTCAGCTGGGGAAGAGTTGCTAAGGTCCCCACAATGGGTCTAGTTCAAGAGGATTGTTGCCCTTGTAAAACTTGGCAAGGAAGAGGATGGGGACAAAACTAGAACGAGGTGGCTGTTGTTGGCTCTGGCGCCACCTGCTGTTAGTCTTCCCATCAGTCCCAATGGGCACCAACCAGCTCTGTAAGCAGATCCTGTTTTAAGAGACTGGATTAGAAGACACTGCATTCAGATCAAGGTGTTCTTGCAATACATGCTGATGGCCCCAAACAGGAGGATGGCGGCAAGAATGAATCCAGTCTCTCCAATTTGCAAGAGCTTCCTCCATTTGGCTACCCGGAAATTGTTCACTTGCCTGAGGGGATCAGGCAGGCATGACTAGGAAGTGCAAGGTGAAAGTGCTCAAGTACTCTCAGCACGCCACCCTTCGGTATTAACGCAAGCCTCAATCTGTATTAGCAGCCGCAATCTCAGAGTTGATCCTGCACACTGTGTAACTTGTAGCAGTTGGCAAATGCTGAGGCCTAGTCTAGGCTTGTAATCCTTTTGGCGTCTTGTGCTTTTTGTAAAACTGTGCAAAGCGTGAAGCTGTGGCTGTAAATTTGATGACTGATTTTTTTAAAAAAGAAAACAATAAACCACAAAAATAATAAATCGGGAGCTTGGAGCAGGATAAGACCTTGGGACATGCATGGTTGTAAAGAAGAACCAAGTCTGCAAATAAGCTCATTAGATTAAATTTGGATAGAAACCTGTCTGTCCCTAGGGTGTATAGACGCCTTCATCTCGCCAAACTTGCTTTTCACAGCACAGTTACAGCCCTCTTCAGGAAAACAGTGGGGAAAGGACTTCATTTAAACCTTGATTTCTCTCCCATCCACCCCCTTTTTTTGCAGGAAGCAAAACTGACAGACCAGCTCCCACTGATCATCGTTTGCGACCGCTTTGACTTTGTGCACGATCTAGTTCTGTACTTGTACAGGAACAATCTCCAAAAATACATTGAGATCTATGTGCAGAAGGTAAGAAGCAGGTGGTTATAAGTCCTGAAGAGGGGAACCATCAGACCTTCCGTGATAAGCCAGCTTGGCTCACTGGCTGCTTTTTGTCACAAACTGACAGTCAAGAAATGGTGGTGCTAACATAAACTTCAGCTCAGTCAATGAGATCATCACTCCCCAATTTGATGAGGCTCATCTGATTAAAAACAAGAAATGGAGCCTTTAGTGTCATCAGCCCAGTTCTATGGAATACTGTGCCAATAGAAATTCAACAGGCGCATTCTCTGATTCTTTCAGCTTCTAAGCACCTGCTGAAAACTTTCCCATCCAACCACACATATGCAGACAATTAAGAATATTATTTATTTCATTCATTACATTGATACCCCACTTTTCCTCCGAAGAGCTCAAGGTGGCATGCGTAGTTCTCCCCCGCCCCATTTTATCCCCCCAGCAACCAGGCCATAGTCCAGATGATAACCATGCCAGTGCATGCATCTTTCCAGAATAATTAACTGATGTCTTAAAACGGCTTTTATTGTGTGTTTTTAATGTATCATTGCCATAGGCCGCTTTGATACATATTTTTTAAACGAAATAACAGTATATATTTCTTTAAATAAATAAACAGCACTCTGGCTTTAAATCTCATTGGGCTGCTGTCTTGGATTTCTAGTCTGTACAGAATCTAACCTTGAAAACGTGTAGTTAACTGGCTTCAAACCCCTCTTATATAGCGACCCGCATTGTCAAAAGTGGTTGGGGGTATCTCAAAGGTTGGGGGTGGTCTCCCTGTTGGCTTCGTACACTGATAGAGCCAAATCACCCCAGAATAAGGGGGCACCTTCTGGCAGGGTCTGGGGGGATGGTTGCTTAACTGCCCTCCAGGGTTGCGGCCTTCACTGTCCCGCTACGGGAGCTGAAGCTTGTTTTGGCCAGTAATGTGAGGGTGGAGTGTGAGGTTTGGAGCCTGTTGCGTCTAATTGCGGTTTTGCTGCTTTAATGACATCTTGGTGCTGCTGCTGCAGGTGAACCCGAGTCGCCTCCCTGTGGTCATTGGGGGCTTGCTTGACGTGGACTGCTCCGAAGACGTCATAAAGAGCCTGATCCTGGTTGTGAGAGGGCAGTTCTCCACGGATGAGCTTGTTGCTGAAGTAGAAAAAAGAAATAGGTAAACCTCATGCGGTTTGTGGGAATAGTGTTCTCTTTTGTGGGGGCATCAACATTCCCTGGAATTGCTAACCAGGAATGTTGAACCTGTTTTTTGAGTTGTGGCTCTGTTCTGTTGTGTTGTTAGTTTATTACCAATTGACTTTTTTTTCCTTCCTTTTTAAAGGTTGAAACTCCTCCTGCCCTGGCTGGAAGCCCGAATTCATGAGGGCTGCGAGGAACCAGCCACTCACAACGCACTGGCTAAAATCTACATTGACAGTAACAACAACCCCGAGAGGTTCCTTCGCGAGAACCCCTACTACGACAGCCGGGTGGTGGGGAAGTATTGCGAGAAGAGAGACCCGCATCTGGCCTGCGTCGCTTACGAGCGTGGGCAGTGCGACCAGGAGCTAATTAATGTGAGTATCCAACCCACTGAGTCTCTCTTAGCTAGAAAGATGCTCTTGTAGTGTCTTTCAGAGTCAGGAAATGATGCTGGATATGATTTTAATGAAGAAGTAGGTTGCTTGGCTTAGTTCTGATCAACAGGACACGTGTCAAAGCAGTTCTCAAGATTGTATTACTCAGAAGCAGCAGAACTTAAATTGGCTGGCTGATTGGAAAAATGGAACACTTGATTTGAAGAGACTGTTAAAATTCCTACATCCCAGGAGGTTTGTCTCCATGACCCTTGGGAGACCCTTTCAACTCTCTGATTCTGTTATTCCTCCATCCACCCATGGAGACCTATGGAGAGACTGCTTAAGTTAATCTACCAAACTTCACAGTGAACACTATTGCAGCTGATATGATGCTTGTTGTTTGTATGTTCAGAAATCCATTCAATAAAAACACACGAACAAAAAAAGAGTAAAGAGTGGTAGCCAGAAACTGACATCCCCAGGCAGGACTGCTCTGTTCCAACCCATGTTCTACTCCAGACCCTCCCAAATGACTAAAGGCTGTGCACTGGCTGAACTTTTTACCTCTGTAAAATCCAGGCTCGGAACGCTTGACGCTTTCTCTCTCTTCCTCTACCACCTCCTCACAAAAGAACACCTCGGTTTCCCTGCCTGAATATATTACTCTCTCGCATTCCAGGTTTGCAACGAGAACTCCCTCTTCAAGAGCCTTTCGCGTTACTTGGTTCGCCGCAAGGACCCTGAGCTGTGGGCCAGTGTGCTGCTGGAGAGCAACCCTTACCGGAGACCCCTGATTGACCAGGTACTTTGCGCTCCCCTCTGTTCCCCTTTGCTTGTGCTTTGTGTACACTTAAGAAAGTGAGCAGTAGGCAAGCAAGTTGCCAGCTGTGGGTACCCATTGCTCAGATCCCTCCCTCTCTCATCAGGTCGTGCAGACAGCTCTCTCTGAAACTCAGGACCCTGAAGAAGTATCTGTCACAGTCAAGGCTTTCATGACCGCCGACCTCCCCAATGAACTCATTGAGTTGCTGGAGAAAATTGTTCTTGATAATTCTGTGTTCAGTGAACACAGGTCAGTACTCTTGTGTTTGTCTGTCTTACATCTTACCCTCACGCTTCAAATAATAATTGGGGGAGATGCTTGGAAATTTGTGAGTAAAACCTCAAAAGTGCAGGCAGCTTGCTGGATAAGATTTTTAGCAGTTGTAAGGGGTTTTTTTAGCAGGTGCCAGAATAGAGTACGTTGAAGACATCTGCCTAATCTCAATGGACAGGGAGTTCCAGAGTGGAAGAATTGATTCCTTATAATTGCTGAATGAATATTAAGTGGCACTTCATTTTTATACCAAGTCACACTATTTGTCTATGTTTGGAAGCCTTTGTGCTCCCAGATGATGGAGAACTGCAACTCCCACCAGCCCTAGCAAGCATGACCAGAGATTATGGGAGTTGTAGTTCAGCAACATCTGGAGGCGCAAAGGCTCTTCACACCTGCTTGAGCCCCTTACTGTTAGCAACTGCTAAAGACATTTCTAAGGTCCTCAGCAGAGGGCCAAAAACCCTTCTCAGCTACAGAGATCTGGGACTGAACCTGTGAACTCACTCTAAACCTTTATTATGTCGTTTTGAATGATGGCTGCTGATGCCTTAATTCCTTGCTTTACTATTGCTTGCTTTTTCCTGTACAGGAATCTGCAGAACCTCCTCATTCTGACGGCTATCAAGGCCGACCGGACCAGAGTCATGGAATACATCAACCGCCTGGACAACTATGATGCTCCCGATATTGCCAACATCGCGATCAGCAACGAACTCTTTGAAGAGGCCTTCTCCATCTTCAGGAAGTTTGATGTCAACACCTCTGCTGTGCAGGTAATGCTGGGTGTCCATGTATCTGAATTCTGGGTATGGTTCTCTTCATGGAGCTGAGTGTTGGTTTGTATCCCCAAACTGCTCCATGTATTTGTGCTGAAGGCTCCGCTTCCGTGTCAAGGGAATCCAGCCCAAGTTTCAAGTGTTCCGGTTCACCACAGTCTGCATGGGTTCTAGCCCAGGTTTTACATACAGCTCAGGTGCCCTAGATACTAATTAGACCCTTGGGGGGAAACTGCAAAGATTTATAGTGGGCTTTTCTCATGTTTAGAGTTCCTGATAAAGTGGCTTGGTCATCCTTTGTGTGAAGGCTTTTGGAGGCCTAACTAGGCACATGCTAGGTTTAATTCTGGCCAAACTACTCTTGCACTGCAAATTCCTACCACAAGCACGCTATTAGTTTTCGTTTTTTAAATGGCAGCCATCTCCCCACTTTCTAGGTTTTGATCGAACACATTGGCAACTTGGACCGTGCCTACGAGTTCGCTGAGCGCTGCAATGAGCCAGCCGTGTGGAGCCAGCTTGCCAAAGCTCAGCTTCAGAAAGGGATGGTTAAGGAAGCGATAGACTCCTACATCAAAGCGGATGATCCTTCTTCATACATGGAAGTGGTTCAGGCTGCGAATGCCAGCGGTAAGGCTTGGGAACCCCCATATAAAGTTTTGTTTTCAGTAGCCTGGGAGCTTTCAGAACAGGCAGCACCCAGGTGGGATTGCAGTAACTTAAGCTCTTCTGTGGCTGTAAAAAGCTTGACGCATCCCGGAAGTCGTAATTTAAATGCATTGGGTGACCTTCCTTTCTTCCAAGAATTCATTCATTCCTTCTGCTTCTCATCTCATATTCTCAGTCCAGCATTGCTCTTAACGTGGCTTGCAGTAAACACAGTTATAATTATGGCAGCTGGAAGAAAACGGACAAGGATGGCAGTGCCATGTTGGGAAAACTGTGGCTCCCATCACCGCTTTGGCCTGCTGGCTGGGACTAGTGGGAACTAGAATCCAACACCTAGAGGGCTACCGGTTCCTCAACCTTGTTGCAAAATGTTGCCAAGGTTTGATTCCCTCTTCCCTTTCAAATCAACTCTCCGCTGCTCCTGCTCCAACACAGGGTGGGGAGCCTCTGACCTGTGGGCCTAATTAAGTCTGCCACACCATTTTGGCTTAGTCAAGCCCTTTTGCCCTATACCCAGTACTACTTTTTCTAGGAAAAGAGGTGCCGGAACTCACCATGAACGCCTTCCTTTTTCTCTCATAATGACAATGGTGCCCGCCTGAGAGGTGCTGGAACTGAGTTCCAGTAAGTTCCGGCTGGAAAAGAAAGCCCTGCCCATACCTCATCTCACCTCACAATGTCAGATGAGGGGCAGGTAAAGCTGCAGCTGGGCCCAGAAGAGGTCTACAGGCACATCCAGTCAGCTGACAGTTGGTGGCTGCAAGACGCTTTGAAGTCCCATCAGCTGGTTGTTGAGGCTTCAAAGCGCAGGGCAGGTCTCTGCAGGCACAGTCCTTAAAGAGAGCCCTGCATTGCCAAAGTCCCGCCACTCGGCTGGTATTGACTGCCTTAGGGAGTTCCACTTTTGGAACTCCCTAGCTCAGCTCAGTGGGCTGGAGGAAGCCACTTGGATTCAATGCACTTTGAATACAAACTGCTTGCTCGGGACAGGGGAAGCACTTCCTTAACTGAAGCATTTTTTTTCTCTTTCCAGAGGAAGCAGCTTATCTCTAACAAAGCTTTACTCAAGAGTTGAAATAAATGGACCCAAGTTAGTCATGTCCATTATTTTCATTGGTTCTATTCTGAGTAACATTGGCTACAACACTTTGCATTCAAAGCACTGAAAGAAGCGCTTTAAATGCAATCAGTTTTCTGGATGGAGGGGAAATGCTCTTTTTCTTTTTTTAAAAAAGGAGTGCTTCTCCCTCCAGACTTGAAAGGGGCTCCCTGTGACAAATTCTCAGCTGGTTGTCCCAGGGGGAGCCTCTTTGAAGGGGCACCCCCAGTCTTCAGAGGAGGCTGCTGTAACCACTGATCCTCTGGTGGTTACCAAAACCTCCTTTGGGCTTTGACAGGTTTCAGTCACCTGCCACATGCGGTCCTTCCCACATGCGGAGTCACCCTGTGGGTAGTTAGAAGATCAAGACCTGTCCTGGCAGCTATATCTGGTTCCACACCCCCTGCTCCACCATGACAACCCAGAAACACAAGAGAGTGATTAAAGAGCTGGCTATTGCACATGGGAATCTAATCTGACCATTGCACTTTGTTCCACAGCATAGGGCCCTTGAGAGAGGGGTCTGTTTTTGCTTTCCTTCAAGTTTCTCTAGAATGGCAGGATCAGGCAGGGTTTCCATTGCAGCCAGTCGCACATGAAACTTTCCCTCTCAGCCCTCCTCTTCCTTTCTGAAAATTATTTTAAGCAGAACTTTATTGGATGAGGAATTCCTAGTTATGAGACAGTGGCCTTGGCTCATACATCACGTTACACCAATTTCTTTGCCTTTTTATTTTTTGAGTTTTAAAGATTTTTGACAATTTAACTTCAAATTTAAAATAATTATAAGGTGCCTTCCTCCTGGGTGTTCCCATTCCCACCCCCTCTGGCTGCATTAAGCCTCCCTCTTCCTTGTTGCAGGAAGCTGCTATTTGAAGCATAGTTGTCCTGCAACACTGACTTCCTTTTTGTTAAAGGAGCCTCTTTGCTTTCTTCTTTCTGTTCCCCAGTTTTTGTCACCTTCCTTCAGGGTGACCAGGCCGAGGGGTAAAAGAGCCCCTCTCCAGGATTCTAGCAATCACACGAAGACTTCTTTGTACCAACATAACAATTGGTTGTCCCCCATTTGACTCCCCTCCCATAACTGCAAAAGGGGTCTATTCCCCCCACCCTTTCGGGTCCCACTTTTTGAAACCCGTAGCAGAGGAAAAGATGAGGATCTGCCTCCCTCCCTAATGGCAAGATACCCAAGTGGTTGGCAAAGTACATTTATCCTCTACCAGATGCGTTGAACAGACTTGCTCAGTATAAGGGGCGGATGACAAAGAAGTGGATTGTTTGGCTGACCCGATTTTTTTTTTCCTCCCCTCTTCCCTAGTTTTGGGAAGCTTGTGTTCTGTCCAGCAAGAATGAGCGACTGTGTTTTGCTCTAATAGCTCAGCACGCAGCTCAAGTCTAAGTACGAATTAATCAGTGTTCTGGGGGGGCTCATCCTGTTTTTGCTTTTTGCCAGTGTCGCACATGCCGTGATGTTGTCCACCCCTCCCTTTCCTAAAAAGTGACGTTCCTCGTCGAGTGAGACTGTGCGGTCGAGTAATAAGTACGGAGTGAAGGATCTCTGTCTTTCAGCCTAACTGGGCAACGCTGCCGATTGTCAGCATGATGTGACCTTGAACTTTTTTTTCTTTCTTTCTTTCTCTCCCTCCGCCCCCCAACCTAGGAAACTGGGAGGAGCTGGTGAAATACTTGCAGATGGCCCGCAGGAAGGCCCGGGAATCCTATGTGGAGACGGAACTCATTTTCGCACTTGCTAAAACAAACCGTTTGGCCGAGCTGGAAGAATTCATCAACGGGCCAAACAATGCCCACATTCAACAAGTGAGTCCTTCCGTCAGCCTTTTAAATGCGAATTTCAAGTGTGGGGTGTTTCATTTTAGTTTGGTTAGTTCAGCTCCTCCTGTCTCTTTGCAAGGTTTGGGTGGGCCTTTTGGAGGTTTCTTTTCCCCACACACATGCCCCCCAAAATATTCTTTGCAACTTTAGATACAAAGATTTTGGGGGGGAGGGGATCTCAGGTATCAAAATGATTTTTATATGGGATCTGAGAAGTTTTGTTTGGAGTGGTTAGCGTGTTGAAGGCTGGGAGGACCTGGTTTGAATCCCCACTCAGCCCTAAAACTGCCCTGGGGTGGCCTTAAGACAGTCACCACCTCTCAGCCCGCCCTACTTCAAAGGGCATAGCTGTCAACGTTTCTGTTTTTTTAAGGGAAATTCCATTATTCCAAATAGGATTCCTTGCAAGAAGAGGGAAAAGTTGACAGCTATGTCAAAGGGCTGTTGTGGGGATAAAGCATGTAGGAGCCATGTAAACTGCTCTGAGCCCCTTTGGAGAAAGAATGGAACAAAAACAGAACAAATGGGCTTCTTAAATAACGGAACTAAACTTGTGCATGTGCTTTTGTAAAAAGAAAGCCTGGCTTTTTGGTTAAACTGGTCCAGTAGCGGGTTTATTTTGCTTTGTTATTATACAGTTTTATTGGCGTTAAGTCACAAATGAACAAAAGTGTACAGTGACCTATGTGTGGAGCAGTGAAAGCTTATACAGGCAATCACGAGTTTCCAAATTTCCAGAACTCGTGAAATGTAATTCAAACTGTGATATGTGTGAGAGCATATCACTGTGATCAAGCCAGTGAGAATGTAGCTGTGCCATACCATTGTGTGGGTCAAATCTCTATTCCCATTCATAAAACTGGCACTGCACTTTGTCAAATTGATCAGTTCAGCACTCATATTTCATTGGAACTGTTCATTCCACTCAGAAAGCTTAGATAAATGCTTTCGTATGGTCAAATGATTCAGATAGTTTAGCCTTGTCTTGTCATTGCTTTGCGGGGTCAGGGGGGGAGGACGAATGGTGCCTAAATAATGAGAAGTTGAAAATAAACAGAGAAAATTGAGTCATTTCATGGGGGGGGGGGGTGTAATCAGAGAAAAGGTATTCAGATAATTGAAAACAAGTAGTAAGGGGAAATGTGACCTCAATTTTAAGAGAGGACGCTTGAGTACAGAATGAGCATGGTTGGATGGATGAAATCAAGCACTTTTTCTCTTCACCGTCTTCTTCTCTAGGTTGGTGACCGTTGCTATGATGAGAAGATGTATGACGCAGCCAAGCTTCTCTATAACAATGTCTCCAACTTTGGGCGCTTGGCTTCCACGTTGGTCCACCTCGGCGAATATCAGGCAGCCGTGGACGGGGCCCGGAAAGCAAACAGCACTCGGACTTGGAAGGAGGTGAGCCCTTTGCTTCATGCAATATGCAGAGCTTGTTCCTGCTGGCTTTGATAGGTAGCTTTAAAAGAGGGCGGGGGCGAGTAGAGAGATTCATGGAAGAGGAGAGGCCTGATCAGACGTGATAGTGTCAGGGAAGAGACCCCAGCTCCAATCCCTGGCATCTCCAGGTAGGGCTGGGAATGTCCTCTGTCTGAAACACTGGCGAACTGCTGCCAGTCAGTGTAGGCAGTACTGAACTAGATGGACCAATGCTCAGGTTCTGTATAAAGCAGCTTCCTCTGTTCCTGTTTAAATCAGCCTTTGATTCAGAACCATGAGGACTGGAACCTTGCTTTGGTTTTAAAGGAAGAGCTGTAGCTCAGTAGTAGAGCACCTGCTTTGCATACAGAAAGGTTCAAGTCTTGCTATCTCCAGGTAGGACTGGGAAGGCCTGAAAAAGGCCTGGAGAGCTGCTGCCAGTCAATACAGTCAGTGTTGAGCTAGATGGGTCCATCATCCTTGGCCTTGCCAGCTTGAGCTAATGGGAATTCGAGTCTAGCATCATCTAGAGAACGATGCTGGCTCAGTGCAACAGTGGAGAAAGGGGTTCCTAGAGGAGGACTTTGCTGCTCCCCCCAGTTCCTCTGAGAGAAAAGGTAACTGAAGCTCGGTCTTTGACGTTTCCCCCCTCCAGGTCTGCTTTGCGTGCGTGGATGGGAAAGAGTTCCGCCTGGCCCAGATGTGTGGCCTTCACATTGTTGTGCATGCGGATGAACTGGAGGAGCTCATCAACTATTACCAGGTAATGGGGAGGTGGGGAAGAAAAAGCAGTGCTGATGGGGCTGCAGAGCTTTGCCTCCGTAAAGGGGTGCTCAAGGAGGCGGCTGTTGCTGAGCATTAACTCGTTACTCTTTCACCCCCAGGACCGTGGCTACTTTGAGGAGCTGATCACCATGTTGGAATCGGCTCTGGGGCTGGAGCGGGCCCATATGGGAATGTTCACGGAGCTGGCTATCCTCTACTCCAAATTCAAGCCACAGAAAATGAGGGAACACCTGGAGCTCTTTTGGTCGCGAGTCAACATTCCTAAGGTAACTCCGTCCCTAAGATGGCAAATTATATGAGGAGTAGAAAACAGGTGGGGGTGGCCGTGCAAGAGGAAGAACACCGGTTAAAAAGCAAAAACCCAGAACCTTGCAGAACCTGAGCATTTTGGTGAGTTAATAATAATAAAATATTTTTTTTATTTATACCACACCCTTCCTGGTTTTAAAACTGGGCTCAGCGCGGCTAACAGCAAATATAAAACATTGATTAAAATGCAACTTAAAAACAGCAAAAAACAGCATAAAATGCAGCATCAATATCAATAAAATTCAAAAATTCAGGGGTCATTTTTTGGGGGGGCGGAACTATGTTAAACTAGGAACAGGAAGGCCCTGGCTCCAATTTGGGGAGGGACCCCTCCTTGCTTAGAGCTCATGGGGAGCGGCTACAACTTGAGCAAAAGATCTTGTCTGAACCGGTGGTAGTGCAGCTTCGTAATATGTCCCCATTCAGCCATAAGGTGGCCCCCCACAGGGTGGCCTTGGGCCAGTTGCTGCCTGCTAGGCTAACCTACCTCATGGGCATCATCAAGGTGGAGGAGAATCCGCTCATACGCTTCCTCTTTCTAAGGAGGATTTGGGTGGCACTGCAGCATGTGGTCAAGGAGCAAATGCTGCCACCGTTGTGACTCAGACAATGGAGTTCAGTAGCACCAGAGTCAACAGTGGCTCCAACAGTGCACACTTGTGGCAGGACAGTGCTCTCGATGGTTTTTCCGGTTTCCGTCCTGGTTTTGGGACCGAGACGGCTCTGGTTGCCCTAACAGATGATCTCCGTAGACAACTGAATCGAGGCGGTCAGGACTGCTGATCCTTTTAGATTTGTCAGCAGCCTTTGACATGGTCGATCATGATCTTCTGGACCACCGCCTCGCAGACGTGGGGATACAGGGCATAGCCCGTAACTGGCTGTGCTCTTTTATCTCTGGTCGGGGACAGAGGGTGGCACTAGGGAGGGAAATGTCGTCGCGCCATTCCTTGGTGTGTGGAGTGCCGCAGGGCGCAATTCTCTCCCCGATGCTTTTTAACATCTTTATGCGCCCCCTTGCCCAGATTATCCGGAGCTTTGGGCTGGGCTGTCACCAATATGCTGATGACACTCAGCTCTATCTGCTGATAGATGGCCACACCGACTCTTCCCCGAACACACTGACCAGATGCTTGGAAGCTGTGGCTGGATGGTTTCGTGGGAGCCGATTGAAACTAAATCCTTTGAAGACAGAGGTCCTATGGCTGGGTCGGGATGGCATGGGGATGAGAGACCAACTCCCTTCTCTTGCAGGGGCCCAATTAGTGCCATTGCCTTCCGTTAAGAGTTTGGGTGTAATCCTTGACGCCTCCCTTTCCATGGAGGCGCAAGTTACAGCAACAGCCAAGGCGACATTTTTCTACCTTCGCCTCATCAAGCAGTTGGTCCCTTACCTTTCCTGCCCCGACCTGGCCACAGTGATCCATGCGACGGTCATCTCCAGGCTTGACTACTGTAATTCGCTCTACGCGGGGCTGCCCTTGAAGCTGACCCAGAAACTCCAGAGGGTGCAGAATACTGCAGCGAGGCTCCTCACGGGGTCTCTGCCATGGGAGCATATTCACCCAGTGCTTTTCAAACTGCACTGGCTCCCGGTGGAGTACAGGGTTAGATTTAAGGTCCTGCTTTTGACCTTTAAAGCCCTTCACGGCCTAGGACCCTCGTACCTACGGGACCGCCTCTCCCGGTATGCCCCACGGAGAGCCTCAAGGTCCATAAATAGCAACACCCTAGTGGTCCTGGGCCCTAAGGAAGTTAGATTGGCTTCAACCAGAGCCAGGGCCTTTTCAACTCTGGCTCCGGCCTGGTGGAACGCTCTGCCTCATGAGACCAGGGCCCTGCAGGATCTGATTTCTTTCCGCAGGGCCTGTAAGACAGAGTTGTTCTGCCTGGCCTTTGGCTTGCAGCCAATTTGATTCCCTCCGTCTCTTTTTTCCTTTCCTTCTCCTCATGCGATGAGGCTACATTTTAATATTTTAATGTTTCAATATTTTAATGTTGTATTTTAATTTTGTTTTTAAGTTGTAATCATTCAACTTGTTTTTATTATTGCTTGTAAGCCACTCTGAGCCTGGCCTTGGCTGGGGAGGGCGGGGTATAAATAAAAAATTATTATTACTATTATGGGCCTGTCAGACAAACTGAATGGGCGGTAGACCTGTTGATGGCTATTAGACATGATAATGGCCAAGTAGCTCTGGGCATTGGGAGGCGGGGTTTGCTTTCCTGTGAATTCCCATTGGTCAGGACCAACTGAGGAAGGCTGCCATTGGAGCTTCCCAGAGGCATCTGGTTGGTTATTGTTGAACACAGATGCTGTGCTAGTCTAAGCTAGGAAGGCTCTCAGCCTGTCCTAGACTGGTTCTAATACTCTAAACCAGTGGTCCACCCTCCATGGATCACCTGAAAGTTGTTCAGGGTCCTGGTGGACCACTTAATGATTTTTCTGCCTTTTGTAGCAATTGTGATGCACTGCTCTAGATGCTGTGTGATTTCTATATTATATTACAATTCGAATTCCATACAATTCAAGGCTCTAAGTGTTCTTCACAGATGCTGCGGTTGACCTTAGAGACTCCTGCAGATCGTAGTTTGTGAGCACCTATTCTAAACCATTTTCATTTCTTGAAGGTGTTGAGGGCAGCTGAACAAGCCCATCTTTGGGCCGAGTTAGTCTTCCTGTACGACAAATACGAAGAATACGATAACGCCATCATTACCATGATGAACCACCCGACAGATGCTTGGAAGGAAGGGCAGTTCAAAGACATCATCACTAAGGTACTGTCCTGCTTCTCAGTAAATTCCCCTTGGTAGGTTTTATATCTGTGTTGGTGTTTTGATTTGGCCGTTGGAACAGGAAGCGCCTGCATGATCCTGCACCACTGATGCGGTGGATGAGCAAGTGGCTTTCTGTTGGGAACTGTGCCAAAACGAAGGAGGGGTTGTGCCGGGGATAGCCAGAATTGCGCCTTCGTTCCCTTAAGCTTTCCCTGCCACCCTTGCAAATGTTTGGGAGCCAGTTAACCCGCCTTTTCTTCCCTCAGGTGGCCAACGTGGAGCTGTATTACAAAGCGATCCAGTTTTACTTGGAGTTCAAACCTCTGCTGCTCAACGACTTGCTGATGGTTCTGTCTCCCCGACTGGACCACACGCGTGCGGTCAACTTCTTCAGCAAGGTAGGGTCATCCCTCTCTGGAGGAAACTTCCATCTGCATCCCCTCCTTAATTTGGAAGTGGCCTTGCCACAGATCAGAGCACAGCCACTTGTGTATTGGCCAAGATCCCCCCCCAAACTTTAAGGCAGTTAAAAAAATGATTAAATAGCCCCTGGCTGCTTGGTTGGGTCGTGCAGTAACCTCCTATCCTTGTTCACAGGTTAAACAGCTTCCACTGGTGAAGCCCTACTTGCGCTCCGTTCAGAACCACAATAACAAATCGGTGAACGAATCTCTGAACAACCTCTTCATTATAGAAGAAGACTATCAGGTAGGAATGGTTTCAGGGTGTCACATGTTCTCAGGATGCTAAAACTCATCTTCAATTCTGTCTCTGTGCATCAGAAATTCCATACCATCTATGCTTAGAAACCACACCCTCTGTTTCTCTGAGATATTATTTTATTATATTTATACCTATACCCTGCCTTCATTGGCCCGAAAGCGCCATTTAAAAACCTTCTCCCCCCCCCCCCCCGTCCAGGCTCTCAGGACCTCGATAGATGCCTATGACAACTTTGACAACATCTCCCTTGCTCAGCGCCTGGAGAAGCATGAGCTGATTGAGTTCAGGAGAATCGCTGCGTATCTCTTCAAAGGCAACAACCGCTGGAAACAGAGTGTGGAGCTGTGCAAGAAAGACAGGCTATACAAGGTGACAGGGCTGGTGGGGTGAGCGCTGCCTGTCTGTATTGGGAGGGTGCCCAGCATGGTACCCAGGAGGCAGTGATGAGGGCAAAGCAGCTTTGCTTGCAGAAGAGTTTCTGAGGCCCTTCGATCTGTGCTTGCAACCCTCCATGCCATGGTGTTTGTCCTCTTCTTCTTGCCTTTGAGATTGTATGGTTTATTCAGATTCAGATTCAGCTGTTGGAAAACAAGTGTTCTTAAAGAAGCAGACTACACATCCATGTGAAATACCTCTGTTCAAGCGCTTTATATACTACCCTTCACCAATAGGCTCCAGAGCAGCTTCATGTCATTAAACATCTAAATTGGACACAATAGAGTTAAGATGTGATAGGTTCCGCAACTGCAATGCGCGAAGAAACGGGGCATCATCAAACAACACATCAGTCCCATATTCATGTAAAAGTAGCTCAAGTTTGGAATACATAAAGCTGATAGCCGTTAAAACCGCATGTAACATGAAACAAACGTAGGCTTCTGAACCTCTCTGGGAAATCACAGCATTCTACTTTGGGGTAGGAATAAAAAAAAAGCGCTTCCTGTCCTTAACATTTAAAAAGGCATTTTTCATAAACGTGGATATATTTAAAAAGAGCCCGAGTAAAAGAAAAGTGTGAAGAACATTCTGAAGATCCCTAGTAACATCATTCCTTTTGAAAATGTTGCCCTGGTAGCAGCTACTGCAGATGGAAAACACACAGTGGAGAGGCCAGCCTTTCCCCAACTCTGATATTTTGGATTACAGCTCCCATCAGATGTAGCCAACACAGCTGATGGGGTTTGTAGTCCCAAACATTGCTGGGGCTGATGGGATTTGTAGTCCCAAACATGAAGTTGGGGTAGGTGGGCAACGGCTAGGCCGCTCTTGAGCAGTAGGGCAGTTACACATCTTTGCTTCACACATTCTTCTCTTTTCCTTTTTCTTTTGGCACATTTTCTGACCCCCCCCCCCCGCCTCCCCTCACAGGACGCCATGCAGTACGCTTCGGAGTCCAAAGACACTGAGTTGGCGGAAGAGTTGTTGCAGTGGTTCCTGCAGGAGGGCAAGAGGGAGTGTTTTGGGGCCTGCCTCTTCACCTGCTATGACCTCCTCCGGCCAGATGTTGTCCTGGAGACGGCCTGGAGGCACAATATCATGGATTTTGCCATGCCTTACTTCATCCAGGTCATGAAGGAGTATTTGAGCAAGGTAAGGAGGGCCTCAGAGCCCGCCCACCCCAATAAATCAGAGGCCTCCCTGCTGGTTGCTTGCCGTGCTGTTTCCCCATGAACACAATCAGTTGTGTGTTATGTGTGCGACTAACCCCTGCGTTGTGCTTCTTGGAGCGTCAGTCTCTGTCCTCGTTGGCACTTGTTCTTCTTGAGACTTTTCCCCCCGATCAGTAAGACATGGCACAAGAGGAAAAGGGAATGGGAGGGAGGAGGGGAAAGCAAGCTCGAGCACAAGTTTTTCAAGTCACCCTTTTCATAACATAGTTAAATAGGTTCTGCCTGTCTTGATAAAGAGCAGTCCCTTCCAGGAAGCAGCCCCAGATCAGGTCCAGGACCAGAGCAGGTGATACGGTGTAATCAGCCACAACTTCTACCATTGTTTAGCTTGGAGGATGGGCCTGGAATTGGAGCCCCCTGATCAGTCTAGCATTGGTCTCGCAAGACCAATTCCTGCAGGTTGGAAGCCACTTTTGGGGGTAATCAAGAGTAGTTCATCCGTAAGACTTCAATCCACGAAGGATTGAACGCCGTGTTTCCCGCATATGCTGGCATTTGCAATTACTGTGATGCAACCAGATCTTTGCAATTCCTCCTTACACGAGCTGACATCCCAGTGCAGAAGTATGTACCAAGCCAGAAAGGGTCTGTTTCTATCATCCACTGTGAACCTTCTTCAGGGGTGGTCGGAAGCTTTGCCCACTCAGGAACAAATCTGTCCAGCAACCAGTGCTGCAGTCCCTGCTAGGTGATTTGCTCTTTGCCATACTGACCACCTCCCTTGTTGGTCAAGCTATGAAAATGGGTTTCTGGTCTCCTCGACTGAGCCCAAGTGATGCTTTCAAAGAGGTATCTCTTGAGCGGCTGGCTTTCCACTTCCTTGTTGCAGCACCAGCTTAAAACTTGAGTGTTTCAGGGGTTCCAAAAGGTTTTGGGCGATCTCAGCAATCCTTTCGCTGAAAGAATGGTGCCTTGATGATCCCAGCCAGCTCATGTTCCCAGCAGTTGCCCTTCCTAGTTCTAGGCAGTCTGCATTCTCTCTCCATCCCCCAACCCCCAAGCAGCCCTCCTGTGTTTATGGAAAGGTGCATTTGAGTGATCGCTCTGCACAAAAGATTTATCCAGAAGCTTGTAGTGCTTGCCGCAATAGCTCTCGATAAAAACAGCGAAAGTTGCTCAGTAGCTGTATAATCATTTAAATGGGAGTATTTTATTTTAGTTATTGATTTTATATCCCACACTTTCCTCCAAAGGAGTCCAGGGCGGCAAATGTATCAATGCTATAAAAATAAACCTCTTTAAAAACAGTTTAGAATAACCTTCTGAAAACAGTCAAAACTCCTAAAAGCGTACTCCTGCTGCTCCTGAAAGTGTGAGAAAACTGGGTGACCAAGGCTGAGATTAGGTGGTTCTGTGTATGCTAGGATGTGAACTATTTAGACTGGATCCCAGCTCTACCCCACAAGGATCTGTTCCTTTCAGAAACACAGGGTCACAGGTCAAAAAAGGACTTGAACCCAGCATGCATGACTTAAGGAAGAAATAATTTTGGTGGCGGCAGCAGTAACCTTGTTCCTTTAACCTGGGGGCAGCGATCTCAGCATAGCGACATCCTAGTCCTGCACTCAGTTGCATTATGTACATTGTGTATAACCTGGCCTGGCCTTGGAATCGGAAGCCCGACTTGGCTTTCAGCAGCAGATAACTTCCAATATGTTTTGGGGTTTTTTTAAGGTTTTAACTCCCCCCCCCCCTTCTTTGCTCTTTGCTTAATCTACCTTTAAAAGAAAAAGAAATGCTCTATTATGGAGTGAGTTTTTTTCCTCTAAGCTGCACCTTCTGAATTCCTTTGCAGGTTGATACAATAAAGGAAAAGGTGAAAGTTGATTCTTTTCCATCTTTAAGTCTGGAGGCCTGAGTCTAAGGATATATATCTGCATGAGTTTTCCCCCTCTTCCCCTCCTTCCTACCTTTACTACACTGCTGCTACTGCTTTCTGCCCGCCAGCCCCTTGAACAGAAATCTCACTAAAGCCTCTGCAAATTAAAACCATAGTCATTAGCTGTAGGACCAACCAGTAGACACTAATTGGCTAATAGACTCTCCCAGGAAGGTTGGATGCAATCAGTTGGATCACAGTTTGAAGAGAAACCACAAGGCCCTGGGAACCTGGTCCCCTAGAAACATTTTAAAATAAATTGCCCTGCAGGTGGCTGCAAATCATTTTAGTGGTGCCACCCCCCCACCCCCCGGAGAGTCTCAGGGTGGCAATCTGGGTTCCTCTCCCTCATTTAATGCAGTATCTTTTTTGCCTCCTTGGAAAGGACTGTGATCCAACACCTGATCCTCGAGTCTTACTAATGTGTCTCGCTGAAAGTAGGCAAAACCAAAGAATGCTCCAGCTAGCTGCTTAAAGACTGGGTTTTTTTTCTCACCTCCAACTCAGCGTCCAGTTTTCCCACTTCCAGCAGGCTCTCCTTCCAGCCCAAGGCTCGTTCCCTGAGCTAAAGCCCTCTTGGTTTAAACCCTTCTCACCTTTACAAAAAAAAAAAATCCCTCCCAGATGTTCTCAGCATTTCCTTTAAACCAGAATTGATGCTCAAAGAACTTCCTTTCCCAGAAGTTAAACCCCTTTCTGTTTGGCTGGTGGGTTCTAGGGGATGCTAAAAAGCCATCTTCCAAAAAGTCTGCAAATCGGACGTTGATTTAAAGCTGCCGCCTCTTCCTTTTTTGATCGCCCCCCCCGCGGCAGCTTCTGGAACCTGTTGCAGATCTGTGCCTTAGAACGCTCTCCCTAAAAGTCCTTCAGCAGCTAGCAAGTTGAGTCGGTTGAAAAAAAAGAAAAGAAAAGTGTGGTGTGAAAAAAGGTTAATGAACTGCAGTGTTTTGCTTTCTTGAACTGAGCATGTTCAACAGTCATTGTGATGTTACATCTCACTTTCCCCTGAAGCTGCAAAGCGCATTGCTGTGGGTGATGGGGAGGGGCGGGGTGGGGTGCTGCGTGCCGTGAACTTTTTTGGGGAGGTGGGGGTGGGAAAGGGAGCCTTGTCTGGCCGCCATCTTTCCAACCTCACTCCCCTGCTTCAGTTCTTTTGCCTTTTTTCCATGATCACACACATGGCACCAAAAATATATAGATAAATATATATATACATATATATAAAACATTGACCGCATGTGATTTCTTTTTTTATTTTTTACTCTTTCTCCCCCCTCTGCAGCTTTATCGCAGTCTCCGTGGAAAAGCCTTTCTTTTTTAAAAAAATGCAGTTCTGTGCACTTAACGAAATCTATCAGCAGGGAGTGTCCAATAGTTTGGTTTTTGTGTAAAGAGCAGCTTCTCTCCCCCTTCCCTCTTTTTTTAACAAGCTTGCAGAATATATTCTAAACACTTGTGTTTAGTAAGAGCCACCTGAGTAGAGTTTAAAATTTATTTTTAATAGACAGGTTTTTTTGTGTTGTTGTTTTTTTAATGGTCTGGTCCGGAAACTGACCTGGGCCCTGTGGAGACTCTGCCTCTTCTGCTTAGCTTGCATTTCTCTGTCTGGATCTTTGCTTCGGTAACCTCACACAATCCCAAGCTTATTCTGGTTCTTCCTCATCGCCGCAGGCTTCCCAGCAGGAGCAGTGTTGACTTTTGTAGGGGTAACACGATCCGCCCAGAGAGCAGGCTATGAAGCTTAAGAAAGGTTGACTGGATGCTCTCGTTTGCCTCTCCCCCCCCCCTCCACATTTGTTCCCCCCGCCCCCTTGTGTGTTCTCCTAATCGCCCTTGTGTTTCGTGGGGAAGCCAACCAGGGGGTGTGGGGGAAACTGCATACCTGACCCTATTACTCTAGAGATGGATTCCAGCCCAGTGATAGTGGCTCTGCTCTGCCTCCACGGCTGGAGGTAGCCGTGCTTCTGAATATCACTTGCTGGGAACCGCAGGATGGTAGAGGGCTCTTGTGCTTGAATCCTGCTTGCGGCTTTCCCACTGGCATCTGGTCGGCCGCAGTGAGAACAAGATGCTGGACTAGGTGGGCCATTAACTTGACCCAGTAGGGCCTAAGTTCTTAGCAGTCTTACTAAACAGTAAGGAGAGAGCCGTAGCTCAGTAGCAAATCACTTGCTTGGCATGTAGAACCTGTTCCCAGCATTCCCCGTTAAAAAGGGAAACCAGAAAGGATCAGGTAGTGACAGGTGAGGATAAGATCTCTCCGGCTAAGGCCTTCGAAAGCGTCTGCCAGTCAGAGGAGGCAGTGTGTGCTCAGATGGACATTCAGTTTGACCTGATAGAAGGCATCTTCCTCAGGTCCAAGAGTAACTTCCAGATCATAGAAGTTAGTCTTGTAATTTGTGGCATTGGAGTTAGGACTCACCCGTTATAATCCTTCTGCGATCCACCGATTAGTGGGAGGTTCTGCTGTGATCCTTTGGATGCTGAACAAAAAATGTCTCCATCCTGGGCACCTCATTCAGACTGGGGTGAGGTGGGAGGGCGCTGAACCTTCCTCCAACCTGGCGCAGTTCCAGTGCTCTGCTGTGTCTCCCCCCACACTTCATAAAGGTTGTTTTCTCCTGTATGTGATCAGCCTCTGCCAACCTGAGTGTCCACCAGGAGTTTCGAACTCCAACTCGCATCCTGCTGGCCGGGGCTGGTAGGAGTTGTAGTCCCTTAGAACTCAAGGAGCATCAGGTTGTCAAAGGCAGCCATAGGTTATGGAGAAGCAAGAAGCTTGGGTGGCAGACGGACTTTTGCTTTTTAACAAATGGTTGCAACCCTGTTCTTTTTAAAGAGACGCGCCTGTGCTGCTCAGGTCACCCAAACCTGTGTCTCAGTAGTAGAGTCCAGGTGGGGCCTGTAGAGGCTCAATAGACAGGTATTGCAGGTCACGTTGCAAGCTGGGGATGTGGCAAATCGGTTGGATGGCAGTGTGACAAATTGCCTAGAAACCTATTACTGGATGTGGTCATTTGATCCCCCAAGTGCAGCCTCTAGAGACAATGAGCCTGACAGGTCCGGGCTAGGCTTGGGGAATGAATAACTGGAAAAACCACTTGGCGGTAGGTGTCAGGCTTTCCCCTCCGTTCTGAAGGTTTATCGGCAGAACCTCCTTGACGTCTTTTCTCCAAACGGCTGTCCAATGTAGTTGAGGCGGTCTTTGTAACAGTCCCAACGTTAACTCCACGCCCCCCAGCCCCCGAAACCTCATTTTGGGAGCGACCTCGTTTCTCTGCGTTCCACGCCCCTTGAAGGCTTTTCCACTTCTCTGCCAGAAAACAAAACGGGAGTTGAGATTCTGCAGCGCAGCCTTGCCTGATTTCTTTGGGGTTCTTCTGTCTTCCTAGGTGGACAAGCTGGACGCCTCAGAGTCTCTGAGGAAAGAGGAAGAGCAGGCAACGGAAACACAGCCCATTGTTTATGGTAACGACCTGCGGCTTAATGTGCAGTTGGGTGGATGAAATGGGCACACTTTGCAGCAGCTAGTTCTAAAACGGGACTTAAGGAAGTTTGGCAGCTGGCAGCCAGAGACCATATTCTTTTGGCCCCTGGGCCTGAGGTTCCCTGCCCTGGTACAGTGCGCTTCTGGAAGATACCTAGAGCTGCCATGTTGAGTTTATTCTAATCAAATAAACTTATTTGTAGGGTACTGAGCAGATTTAAATTTAAAACTTTGCTATTAATGAAGCAGTCTTACAAGATTGCAGGAAAGAGGAGCAATTTTCAGGAGACACATCCCCTCTCTGAAGGTGCTAGGGCTCGGCGATACTTGGTTTTCAACATTGTGATACATCAGCAGCTAAATACCGGTACAGTGGTACCTCGGTTTTTGAATGCAATCCGTTCCAGAAGATGGTTCGACTTCCAAAACTTTCAAAAACCAAGGCACAAAGGGTGGTTTGCCAATTCAGTAGAGAAAATTGTGAAAAACATATACACACAGCGGAAGCCGTTCCAACTTCCGAGGTGTGTTTGAAAACGGAAGCATTTATTCCTGGGTTTCCGCCGTTCGAAAACTGAAGCGTTCAGCAACGGAGACGTCCGAAAGCCAAGGTTTCACTGTATATGCTGATAATTCACGATGGCTGGAATTGATGGCAGTTTCCTTGAAGGGCTGCCTTGCCCCAAATATACCCACTCAGCCCTTTCACAAGCGCCACTTTGAGCGCTTTCCACACTTGTGAGAGAAAAACCCCTTTCCGTCTGGCAGCATCTCTGTTGTGGAACTCCTTGCCTGTCTACATTAGGCAAGACACCCTCACTAGGCATAATACACAATACTGTATATAAAGCCTTCTATTTCAGCAAGTCTACACAGACATATAATTTAGAAGCCAGGAATGCTGCTTCTTCATAACAGTGCTTGCTTGCTTTTTGTAAACTGTTTTGAGTTGGTAGTTCTGATTAAACAAATGAAATAAAAATTAATTGTAGGGGTTCTCATGCTGTCCCCTTTTATGAACATGGATTGAATGGAGCGCTGACTCTTTCACTAACCGTTCTTCCTCTTCCCGCTTCCTTTCCCCCCTAGGTCAGCCCCAGCTGATGTTGACGGCTGGGCCCAGCGTCGCAGTCCCCCCACAAGCACCTTTTGGCTACGGCTACACTGCCCCTCCCTATGGGCAGCCTCAGCCCGGTTTCGGATACACCATGTAAGAAAAGCAAGTCTGTTTGGAGCTAGCATCGATTTGCTGTTGAAACTCCACCGTCCCACTTCAGCTCGACAGGGAAAAAGCTTTGTGCCCCTTATAACCTTTACTTTATGAAGGACTGTATTTTTGTTTCTCTCCCCGTCCCCAGCACAAACCTTTTCAGTCCCACTTAAGCATAATCCTTCTTTTTTCCACATTCCATGTCACTTAGAAAGGACTTTCTTTTTTTTCTTTCCAAATGGGAATATTTGAGTGGGCTTCCCCCCCCCCTTTTTTGGTTTCTTTTTTTTTGCAAGACTTGCTTCTTGACATTAAACCCCGGTCTCTTTGTGACTCTTCCAATTTGCACTCTGTAAACGTTTAAACTCTACTATCGAATCTAAAGTTCAGTGTATGTGAGCAGCTTTACAAATATGTACCGTCTTATCTAAGGAAAAAAAAATGCATTTAAAAGTCTCGTCGTATATTCTGAAGAGGGGGGGTGGCGGCAGAAAAAGCTTAAACCAAGAGAAGGATTTGTATTTGGGAGTTGGAACACTAAACCGGCATCTCCTACCCCGCTTGGATTGCTTAGCTCTTTAAAAATAAAAGACATGAGTACAGACAACCTTTCCTGAATTTAAAAAACAACAGCGGCAAACCTAGTAGAGTCCCCCCCCCTTTTTAACCTATGCAGGTTTCCAGTTTAGTCTTAGAGAAAATGCTAGTGTGTGTTCACTCCATACGTAAACGGATGATGACCCTTCTGTCGTGCTACTGTATACCCTGTGCTTTTCTTGTGGGGACCATTTTTTTATTATTTTCCATTGAGGAACAAGGAGGGAGCACCATGAATCCAAGTGTGCGTGTACTTGACCTAACCCTGCCCTGCGGTTCGTGTATGTTGGATATTGTGGTGTTCAAGATCAATATTTTTTTCCTGAGTGTACAGAAGAGAGAAGGGGGGAAAAGAGAGAGAGAGAGAGAATTCAAACAGAAGAGCAGGAGGGGGGAAAAGAAAACCAATTGCTGTTCAATTTTTTTGTTTGTGCAATTTAAAAATGACTCGAATTGGAAAAATAATAATAAATTACTGGACTGTGGACATGCTCTATGGTAGTGTTTCAGTATGCATCTCTCTTCAAGCTCCTTTTTACAATGTATGTGCTCGGTTGAAAAGCAAAACACAGAAAGGTTGGTGCTTTTCAAGGTCAGACGGGAGAGGGGACCAGCAACTTAGCAAAAATACCAAATTGTTACTATGGAGACCAGACTATATTGGCAGGTGACTTTGCACTGAAGAGATTATGTGTGAGAGAGAGACAGAGATGTGTGTGAGGCAGATGTTTGGGGACTATATACTGGAATAAGGGGAGAGATGATAGCACTTTTCAACAGGTGGCTGCAGCTGGGCCAACGACAGCGTCTTTTAACCAGGTGATGAAAACCTCTTTAGGGTTGTAGTTTTTGAGTGTTTCCAGTTAAATCTGACAAAAAATTAAAAAAAATAAAAAGATCATGTTATAGGTATGTTAAGTTGCCTTAATATATTTAGCTTCAAAATAAAATTGACTTCAATGTTCAAACACTCTTCGAATTACTGTCATGTTTGCATGTACAAAATGATGAACCTAGCCGCTGGAGGAAGACCAGACTTGCTTGGCAAGGCTGGTTGGCTTGGAAGAGTCCAGTTTCTGCCTGCACATGGTGGGGTGGTGCATGTGACCAAACCACCTCGCAACTTGCTGGGCTGTCCTGGATTGGGTCTTCGTTAGGTCCTGGAGCAGATATTTAGGAGGAGTGGGTGCTGACGAGAATCAAAGCAACACGTGTCTTGGTTTACTGCAATATAGGTAACAATCTGGCTTTTGCCATTTTAAAGGCGACAAGAGTAAATAAAGCCTGATATAGCCACTTACAAAATGCCTACAGGGTTCTCAGTGCAGCGGCTACAAGAACAGACTACAAAAAATAAGCTGCCTGTATCTCATATTTTCCCTGAAACAAATCCATTTTGGTGGTCTTAACCAGTATCAGTCCACCCAAACTCCTGTCTATACCAGAGCTGCAAGCCTGCCTTTTTGTTGTAAAGGTCACTTGAGTGTGCCTTGATTACTCTTCAAAAACACCACCTTGCCATAGGTATGTTTTCAAATAAGTTCTCAGACCCATTAAAGTTAACAGGCATGGTTAACTTCCCTCCATTACTTTCTATGGCTCTACTCAGCAGAACTTAAGGCAGATGCAACTGGCCATATCCATTTCCTCACCCTGCTCTACTCAAAAGTAGACATATCTTAAGATTATTTGCTGGTTGGCAACTGTGCTACACAACAACCATGTTGCTGTTGTCATGTTAATACAGCTTCCCTCCAAGAAGTGGCTGAAGTAGACAATCCTTTGCACGCACACACACTGCAATTCTCAGGTTCTCCAGCAAGCAAAGATTAAGTCAGTCTCTGTTCTGTATGAATAGAACCACACATAATTTTTGGAAGCATGTTTTGCTGAGCGTCTCCTATATTAAAATGTACAAAGCAGCAACGTCCCCCCTCAAAAGAACAATTGCCCACCACCTTGAACTCCACCATAAACAATACAAATCCTCCATATCCTTAATAGATTTTATGCTTAAAATAAGACACTTCTCCCATACTGTGCCATAAGAGTGGTGTCTGAGCTTCCCCAGAGCCTCACTTGAAGCTTAGAGTGTGCCTTGGCTGATTTAAGTATTAAGACTAGCAGTTTTTGGACTCTAGGTCCCATTAACCCGAACTAGAGTGACCAATGGTTAGAAAAAGTGGGAGTTGAGAATCCAACATCTGGTGAACCACAAGTTCCCCACCTCTGCTAGACCAGTGATGGTAGGAATCTACCATCTTTGTCTATCTCTGCTTTAAGTAACCCAAATAAAATATGCATCAGATAGCACTAAAAACAGACATAAAATTATGAAAATATATTTGACATAACATAACAGTTGCACATAATTATGCAACTTGCTCTGCAAATAAAGTATGCTGGGGTATTTTTAACAAGGAATGAAATTAAAATTCTGCAACACACACAGACAGTTGTTTTGGGCTGTTGGATGAAATGTCCACCAGAGGGCAGCATCTGCTCATGTTTCGCCATCATTTTATAAACAGGCATTGATCACAGGCTGCGAAGGTGCAATCACAACATGCCACTTGCATGCTGTTGCATCACTTGCGCTCTTGCATAGATATTTCAAGGAGCGGCAGTTGCTAACAGAACAGCTCTTTGTTTTTGAAGTTGATCTGCTTATTCCCCCATGTGCACCTGAAAGGCTGCAACCTAGAAGCATGTAAATGCAGGTAGTCTATATCACAGACCTGCGGCCTTTCCCTTAGAAACAAAGCAAGATTCTAGTCCTCATGGTACCATATAAAAAGGCTTGAGTTCTGAACCTGCGTCAGATCATTGGCCCTCTAGCCATGGATGTCCACGAGAGAGCAGGGGTGGAGAAGGGGGCTGTGTCCGCTTCCCAAGCATAGACCACAATCCCAAGATTTCCAGCTTTTTCTTTAAAAAAGCAAGTTTATAGCATTTGTAGAACTTGAGATATGAGGCAAAATGTATAGACACTATTCTCATTTGGGAATGGAGAAGGGTTAGGGTTAGAAGCTACCCTCTCCATCCTTCCAGGGCTCTACTTTATACACACACACATATACGGGGGGAAAGTTCTGTGACACACACACACACGGCAGTACTGTCTAGTATGCTGACATGTAGTGACTCTCCATGATTTCAAACTGATTGATGGTGAAACTGTCTACCCTCGAGCTGCTGCCATCCAATGGAAGTGGCAAGATGGAATAATTAAGAGTTTGGCTTTTGTGGTTACTTTTTAAATCAAAGGCTAACAAACTTATTTTGGCTCAAATTTCATCATGGACTAAATCCCATTTTGGCAGAGGCATGAAGTGAAATCTCAGTTGGAAGGTATTATAAAAGGGGGCAATTGTAAGGTGGAACTTCAGTAGCAACAAAACGCAAACATTGCAGTTAGTGATAATCAGAGCTAAGTGTACGTGAAATTGGGGCAGCATTCTTACACCAGCACATTGATCTTGTACTCAGCACTGCTGAGATGGTGTTTTGTTTTGTTTTAAAAAAGGAGAACTTTAATTGATTTCCAATAATACAATGAGGCAGAGTCACTTGCAAGAAACTATCATAGCAAAGTTATCCTGGCCTTTGTGGCTAATTAACTCGTTAGGGTGTCCCTGGAGATAATACAGATAGTTTTGGATTCATAGTCACAGTATTAGTATTTTCCCAAGTAACAGCTGTACATTTAACTGGGGGGGGGAGTTGCACTGCTACATCCTACCCTACTGCCAGTTCAAAGCCTAACTCCACCCTTGATTCAGCTCTTTGCCTGCATGGTTGAATAAATCCTCTTTCATGCCAAAAAGCAACTTGCTTTTCTGGCTTGAGCACATGAGCCAGGCAAGTACAGTGACTTAATGTGCTTTATGTGTTAACTCTTAATGTTCCTCTTCTGGGCATAGATTAGCAGAGATGTGTCTGACAAGGCCTTTTCTAGAGTGACACCCCATATCTGAAACACCGTTTCCCACTAATTCCAGCTGACACTATATTAGCCATTGAAAACCTGCCTGTCCATATGTTTGCGTGTTCCTGCTTGATCTCTGTATTTATATATATATAAATTTTGGTTTTAGGTTAAGATGGTTTTTCTGTATTGTATACCAGATAGTGATTGCTTGGGTGTCAGAGAAAGAACTAAGCTGAAATCCCCTTGTGGGAAAGCATGTGGCCCCTAGGCTGGAAAAGCCCCCACCACCATTGCCTTAGAGCTGCCAGTTCCCAAATCTTGCCACAATGGGATCAGCCAGGCCTTGAAAACTTATTCCACCATGTTGTTTGGGTCTACTGCTCTGGCAGAGTACACACTATGGATTTAAAGTACACAGCTTCCTCCAAAGAATCTTGGGAACTGTAGCTTACCACTCCCAGAGCTACAATTCCCAGCATCATCATCAACAGTCCCCAGGATTTGGAGGTAGGCCCAGCTGGGCATCATTGAGGTTTCTTCCATGAAAATATGCAAAGGTTGGCTCTGTTACTATATGAAGAGCCCGCAGCTGTGGAGGAGGAAGTGTGCTTCATTTCTTCCAGGAGAAGATGAAGACAAGTGTAGAAATGACTGTAGAAATGTGCCTCCGGTTTACTTCCAGGGAAATTAGGGCCCTCCTAGCAGTCGGGGAACAACAGTCCTGGCCTATGGCTCTGGTTGCTCTTCATGCTCTGTTGCTAAAGATCCACTCACAAGTCACTTAACACAGCATTGCTGCTAAGCCCCCAAAGGTTAAGAACCTGCAGTTTTTCCTTGCTTGCATTTTACTAATTCAGAGGGCTGTTCTAATGGGTGATAAAAGGCAAGTTAAAAATCTTGTCCGGCTACAAGCAGCAGAGGTGCTGCTACTGCTTCATTGCTGCCCTAGTCATTGAAATCGAAGACTGAGCTAACAGATGGATTTTGTTTTGTCATGAAGGCAAGATACGCTGCTGCAAATATCAGGATGCTGCTGCTAGACAGCAACAATAAATGCGGCCCTTCAGGGCTCTCCATCTGACCCTTGGAACTCTCCCCAGGCCACAGACAAAGTCTTTGCTCGGCTGGAATATCCTTTAACTCTTTTCAGATCATACTTAGGCATATGTGAATGACAACTAAAGAACTCTGTAGGATGGCCACCTTCTACATTCCTCACCTCAGATTTGAGTCTTTAAAACAAGGGTGGTCTGGCTAACTGTGGCTGACCAGAGGCTACAACTCCCATCATCCCAAACCACTGGTTGTGCTGGATGAGGCAGATGGGAGTTTGAGTCCAGAAAAACCTAAGGAGTGACAAGTTCCTCATCCCAGGAACAATGTCCATATTCATAAGAACTGTCCCTTCAGACCGACCATTTTCAAAGAGCCAATTCTCTCTCTATTTAAAAAATAAATAAATCCACAGACTGCCCCAGAGAAGCAGGTTTCACCCTGTACTTACTATACATGTCCTTAATTTTTTTCCTCCTATCAACAATTTCCTGGGACAGTAAGTTCAAGGATCATGTTTAACCAGCTGACAAGAAAGAAGCAGAGCGTGGACAGATAACCTGTTGCATTTTTATGTATTCCAAATACTGAAAGGCAATGAAAAATAAACCATGATCCTGCTCAATAATCATTGTTTTTAAGGGGTTGTTTGCTTTAAATCTATAGTTGATATCATTATCTCTGGGCTAGATGCTCCGTATTCAGTAAAGTTTTAAATGGCCAGAGACTTTGTCCACAACCTCCACTGGTCCCGGTCCGATGCCGAGGACAGTCCGGGAACCCGGGGCTATCTGCGTACGGCCTGCATCTTGGATTAAGCTCACTGTCAGGCCCAGCGTTTTGGCCTCGCCCAGGAGCTGAAGCAGCGTTTCCTCGTCAGGAGCTTTGAGGACCACCTTGGGCTGTCCGCAATACTCCCACTGCTTCAGGAGTTCAGGGTTTCGGCGCTGGATTTGTTTGTAGGCTGAGACAGCCGCATGGGAGCACTGGGCTGCCACTTTGCCCTTCTGCATCTTCAGGTCGTTCCGGACGACAATCACCATCTTGAATTCGCCGCTTTCGCCCATGACAGTGGCTTCATTGCCCAGTTCATTGGCAAGCTGGGTCATTCTGGCTTTGGATGGTTGCAAGAACCGGGCTCGAATGCTCCAGCCCAGGCATACCCCACAGGCAACACCAGCAATTATACTGAAGAGACCGGGCTTGGAAAGGTAATCCATAGTACATCTAGCGATCAAAGACAAGAGGAATGTTAGGAGTGCTCAGGAAAATAGAAATTGCAGCCTTCACGACAACAAAGCCATGCAGAAGGTACCAAGTTCAAAGCAGTTGCATCTGGGAAAGACTGAAAGCTTAGGGAGTAAACCAGCCTTCACCTACCTGGTGCCTTTTAGATGATGCAAGCTCCCACTGCCACCATCCCTTGCCATGGGTCAGGTGGGGTGCTGGGAGTTGTAGTCCAAAGCATCTGGAGCACAGAATATTTTCAGGCGGGGGTGGGGAGGCGATGGGTTTGTAGGCCAAGGGTCCTCAACTCATATAGGTTAACTCTTATATAAAGTATTGAAATCGTGCCAAATGATACTTAATTCTGTATTTTTGTGTTGTTGTGAACTACCCTGGCACCTTATAGGGGACAAAGGGGTGGAAGAAATCAAATGGGTTGTACCTAACTAGGAGGCTGAACCCACTGAAATGAATGGATCCAAGTTAATAATTTCCATTCCTTTACAATGGGTCTGCGTTTTCATTTGTTCCTATGAATCCGCAACCTGATTGGCCTACAGGAGATTCCCGGAATTAGCCAATTACGTGGGGCCCATTGTGTAAATAATGTATATAAAGCAGACATCCTCGGGGAACTTCCATTCCTCCTCCCCACTGTGAGCTGAATAAAGAGCATGAAATCCACTCTCGACTCTGAGTATATTTCAGTTGTAAACCGCCCTTTTGTCTTTGGGTGAAGGGCGATATAGAAAATTAATTACAAATAGTAAAAATGAGACTAATAAATATACCATCGGCTAGAGTTTTCATTCAAGGACCCCATCTTTCTCGGTCAGCATCAAAGTAAATTTGCAGATGCAAATGAGTTTTCTTTTTTGTAAGTCGGAGAGGCCTAGCAGTCCCAACTGACTTCTTTGGCTTCCCCACTCTATTTGCATAAATCTCCACCTGAGTCACAGGCGCGCTCCTTGGGACCCTCCCCACCCTTTCTCTCCCCCTTCCCGCCGCCTCCGCGTCTCCTCACCAGCCACGCGCGCCGCCGACCAGCCTCAGAGCAGGAGCCACGATGCGGGCCGGCAGTCGACGTCACAAACACGGCTAGCCAATCGCAACACCGCGCGTGCCTTTATCGAAGGCTGCCCCGCCCCCTCTTCCCAACGGCCTGTGGGCGACGTCAAAAGACGGCCGGCCAATCGCTTCGCCCCTTTGCGTGACGCCACACGCACAACGACCAATCGGAAAGCGCGCTTGCCAACTGAAATAGATGTATATATTTCTCTCTTCCCAGCCCCCTCCCGCCTTTTTTTAAAAAAAATCTTTCCTTTCCCTGTAATGAAGCTGAGAAGAGAAAGACGAGATCCGAAAAAGGAAGGCGCGTGAGGAGACGCCGCCGCCGCCAACCGGCGCCGCGCAGGAAATGACGTCACCGCGCCCGGAAGCGACGGGGAAGAGACCGGCTTTCCGGCCGGTGGGCGGGGCCGAGCGGAGAGCCCTCCCCCGACTTCCGGGTTGGCCCGAAGCCCGGAGGTAACATCAAGAGCGGCAGGAGGAGGAGGAGGCGGAGACGGAGGAGGAGAGGAAGAAGCCGGACGGAGCCGGGGCTGCCGCGCGCCTGTGGGAAGAGAGCGAGCGAAGTAAGCGGCGGGGGTCTGAGGGGGAGCGGCCTACGGTGCCTACGGGTCCCCCGGAGGGACACGGGGCAGGCAAGGCGAGCGCGGAGTCTCTCTCCCCCCCCCGCCCCCGTTCCTGCCCTTTTATTATCCTGTCAGGAAAGGCAGGGAGAGACCCCGGCGGTGGTCTCGGGGTGGGGAGGTTGCCCCTCGCAAACGGTTCTCCTTCAGTTTCAGAGCTGCCTGTGGGCTGTGCCTAACCCAAGTTCTCCTCAGAGTAGACCCATTGGAACCAGCAGGGTCTCAGCCCGCCCTCTCCCCTTGATTTCAATGGATCTACCCTGAGAAAGGTCAGCGCCGGATACAACCCAATGGACCTGAGTTAGTGATAGAATTGTGGAGTTGGAAGGGACCACCAGGGTCATCTAGTCCAACCCCCTGCAAGGCAGGGCTCTTTGTCCCAAAGCGAGGCTCGAACCCACGACCCTGAGATTAAGAGCCTCATGCTCGACCGACTGAGCTAGTCGTGTCCTTTGATTTCAGTGGGTCTTCTCTGAAGGTAGGTGGGAGCTGGGCAGCGTCTGTTGTTTGTGGAGTGGGCTTCTCTTTCTTCATCTAGCTCTCTTCTTCAGTTTGAGGCAAGGACCCTTCTTGTGGCTCCAGTGTGGAGGGCACTGGTTGGGTGGTTGGGTGAGAGAAAGAAAGAAAGAGCTGGGTTCAAATTCTGCCTTGAAACCCAACTAGCTCTGTCTGTTAGTTGTGCTCAGAGTAGACACAGTGAAATGAAAGGATGCACGTTAGGCATGCCCATTGATCTCAGTGTGCTTGATCCAAGCATGGCTAAGATTGGATGCAGTCTTCTTATATAAATAAATAAAAATAAAGACCAGCTTTCTATTAACTTGTCTTTGAAATCTGAGTAACTACTTAGGCTTGTATCTGACTTAAGTCTGCAATCTTATACACACTTGGCAGCAAGTCTCATTGAGGACAGTGGAACTTCTTAGTGTACAGGCATAGATTTGTACTGCAAGTCATCTCCTTGAAAACGAATGGGTCTGCCCTGAGTATGATTCGTAGTACAAACCTATGCCTGCTTACTCAGGAGTATGTCCTATAGAGTTGAGTGGGACTTACTCCTGGGTAGCTGAGTCTCTACTCAGTTAAAGCATCAGTTTTTTCTTTAATTTGGTTTATTTCATATACATCTGATTATCTTCTCAATGTCCATGGGCTCTTCATAGAAGTTCTTATTTATTTAATCTTCTGTATTTTGCAGTATGTAGATATTTTAAAGGGGACGGGTCTTTGCCCCAAGGAGCTTACAGACTATACATTGAGAATGTTAGAGACACATTAACAGCAGGGATTGAAATATTGGCACATGTGTTTGTGTATACTGAGACATAGTTTCTGTTTGGTATGAAGAATTGAGTGTGGAGCGGGAAGGATTTCAATTATTGATTACTTAACGGAAATGAATGTTTTGGACTTGCGTGTTAGTAGGGCAGCCAAACCCAGTTGCAGTTGTCACCTAACAGTTGGAAAGAGGAGCTTTTCGTTGGTGCAACTTGTGTCAGGGTGTCATCAAGGAGAGAACAGCCTTTCCAATTATTAAAGATCTAAAAATTTGGACAACTGGTTTTCTTGTATGCTGAAAGTATGAATGCACTTTGGGAGACAATTCCACTTATTTTCCCATCACACCGGGGGGGGGGGAGCCACAAGGCCATGGGGTGCTAGTGGGACAAGAGGGGCAGCAATCCTCCTTCCATGAACCAGGCTCGCTGCTTTCATTTCTATCCCCAGGCTCACCACTTTCTTTCTTTAAAAAAGAGTAAGCTTCTGGCATTCATAGAACCTGAGATGCAAGGCAAAATATACAGATACCGTGTGTAGGAGAGGCTAGCCCGCTCCCTGGGTTTCAGTGTTTTACTCCCCACAACCTCCAAAAATTCCTGCAGACACTCGTACATAGGCTGTGGGTCATGAGGCACAGGGAGAGAGCAGCTGGATAGCTGCTGTGTTGTTATTTTTAAGTAAGTATTTCTGCTGCCTTGGCTTGTCATGCCACAATACTGTAAGGATTAGAAAATGTGCACCTGCTGAAATTCCCTCTTTTGGCCATCTGAGATCTCTTGTGAAGTTGAAACATGGTAATGGCAGTCTCCTCTTAGGAGTCTTACAAAGGTGAATCGTAGAATTGTAGAGTTGGATGGGACCAATAGGGTCATTTGGCTAACCCCCTGAAATGCAGGAATCCTGGGTGGGCTCAAACCAGCAACCTTCTGGATAACAGCTAGATGGGATAGTGATGATGCTACTACCCTCTCTATCTTCTTCTTTGCCCCCAGTTTACAGTGGTACCTCGGGTTACATCCGCTTCAGGTTACACACACTCCGCTAACCTAGAAATAGTGCTTCAGGTTAAGAACTTTGCTTCAGGATGAGAACAGAAATCAGGCTCTGGCGGTGCGGCAGCAGCAGGAGGCCCCTTTATCTAAAGTGGTGCTTCAGGTTAAGAACAGTTTCAGGTTAAGTACGGACCTCCGGAACGAATCAAGTACTTAACCCGAGGTACGACTGTACTGAACAAAATATTCAACTTGTTTCTGGGGTGTGTCACACACATGCTCGCACGCACACATTCCCATTGCCACAACATTCCCACAGGAATGTTGATTTCCTCACTTCACTGAGGTGGCAACAGCTTATTGCCCTGTTAAGAGCAGCCAGGCTAATGCCCCTTCTACCCACTCACCTTAGATAATACTTTGGGTGCCTCCTCATGACCTCATGTCATTTTGACTTGCTTGCAGGGAGGCTAGACAATGTTGTTTCAAAGCAAGCATTACCCCCATACTTTCCCATCACTTTCCTTATTGCAAAAAGCCCCGTATTTTTGGGAAGCGGATTTGTTGCTCAAGACCTCCCGGTCGCCTTCAGTTGCACAACCTGGACTTGCCTGTTTGCACTTGAACCCCAACTGAAAATAGCAACAGGCCAGAAGTGCCCTTCAGACTCAGTTTCTGGTAGTAATAAAAGAGATCAGTTTTCTTTCTGGCTTTCCCCTGATCCCAGCCCTGGCTGACAGTGTTTGGGTAGTGTCTCGCAAGCTAGCAGTGAAACTTTAGAACGAGGAAATCGGTGGTTAGATTCTTTTTTTATTGTTGTTGTTTTCAAATTGAGGCTCGACTGCAGCCCTCTCTTTTTTCAAAAGGTCAGTTTGAGGTAGAATCTCTCTTCAAGACCTTCACACCAGAACAGTCCCTCTCCTCGTTCCTGTTGCTCCCTCTGGTGTCTGAATCTAGCATCGTTCTCATCTAGCCTCTGGATTTAGCCTGCTTTCGAAGAAAGGAGTCCTGTGAACTTAACACAGTTAAGATCAGGCTGTAATGCTGATTTATGGAAGATGTTTCTGATGGGTATTGTAGAGGCAGGAAGCTGGCACACTTTCGCAGAAAAGCTGTGAGGGTTTTGGCATTGATGATTGAGCAACTTAGCATTCGTGTATAGGTTCAGTCAAGATGCTAGCTGGGCTCATCCTATATCAGCCAACCTGGTCCCTTCCAGATGCGTTGGACTACAACTCCCATCAGCCCCAGCCAGCACATGGAGTTGTCGTCCAAAATTGGCGAAGTCTGTCTTATACAGTGGTACCTCGGGTTAAGTACTTAATTCGTTCCGGAGGTCCGTACTTAACCTGAAACTGTTCTTAACCTGAAGCACCACTTTAGCTAATGGGGCCTCCTGCTGCTGCCGCGCCGCCGGAGCATGATTTCTGTTCTCATCCTGAAGCAAAGTTCTTAACCCAAGGTACTATTTCTGGGTTAGCAGAGTCTGTAACCTGAAATGTATGTAACCTGAAGCGTATGTATCCCGAGGTACCACTGTACTGTAATTTTTTTAGGTATAATATCCAAGTTTATCTCAGTGCTTTCTCTACACTTGGGAAACTGAGATGAACTCTGTTATTGATTGTCAGGCTCCAACCCTGAAGTCACAGAAAATATAGCCGAGTTCCTCACTTTAGCCATCAAAACGGGGTCAAAATTATTGAAAGGACGATAAGTTCAAAGTCAAAATCTCCTGTATTTTTAAACTGTTTCCAGCTGTTTAATTTGTTTCACAAGATTTATATGCAACTTAACTGTAATAAAGCCTCAAAGCGGTTTACAAAATGAAGAAAGCAATAAAATTATCAGTATAAAGCAGTTAAAACCTACGTTATTTAAATTATTTTAAAAGTAATTAAAACAAACTGTAACCTGATTAACACACACACCAACATTCCATATGTCTGGAAAGGCTTGCCTAATCAAAAATATTTTTGTAGACACTAGAAGAAGTACAGTGAAGTCTGCCTGTTTCAATAGGCAAGGAATTCCAAGATCACTTTCTGTTTATGAGTTTTGTTGTCTATTTATTTTAAAAGGTACAATTTGTGGGTGTATACCCTGTTTTCAGACCCCCTGCTGCAGTTGTCTCAATATCCCTGTAGTGCGATTATTTCAGTCTTTGATCAGTTTGTAAAATCTAAAAAGCAGCCCTGAAAGTTAGTTAGCTTTCTTCTTCCCAGTATGTGGATGAAGAATTGGAGCTGAGAGTGTTCTGTTAGTCACCTGACAAAGGCAAGATTTGAATGGGACAGACCTCTGCTTTTGTGGCTATGTGCTTCTGTCCACAACATTGACCTCTTAATGCTTTGCACATTATACTTCTGTGAATGTGTGTATAAGTGGAAAAACGCTTTGGGAGTTTTGCCAGGAAGTGGCGTTTAAAAATGTGAGAAATCAACTATAAGCCACTGCTTACGTTTGTGTGTGCTGTGGATCTCTCTCATTGATCTTGTTATCTTTGTTAATTGACAGGCTGGCTTTGTCCATCTGAAATACACTGCCGCCGGTGAGAAGATATAATTGTAAAAGGCAATTGCTCAAAGTTGGTACAAAGTCTCTCTCAAGACAGAGTCCAAAAGGCTTAATATTGGATCTTTGTGTGGTTTTTCACAGAGAACAAGGTTCACTTTGAATCCTTTAAGACTCAAAGGTTTCGAAGATAACCTGGTTCTGTCTGTTCTTTCTCGACAACTAGGCCTTTGGCTGAGTGAATATTCTGTGGCCTTTTAAATGTGTTTGTGGGTAGGTGAGGATTATTGCTTTTATTATTATTATTAATTTTGTGTTCTCGTTTGATATTTTTATGCTGTGAGCTTCAGATGAAATGTGGTATGCAAGTTTAATTAATACCACTACTACTAATGATGTATCTTGCTATCTCTTAACTCCTTCATCCTTGCCATTTCCCTCCTGCGTGCTTTCTGTGTTTATTAAAAATATTGTGGTGATGGGTGTGAGCTAAGAGCCGGTTCAGATCTCTCCTCGGGTAGGAACTTGCCAATGTCATCAAGAGCTGATTCACACTGTATAGTCAAAGCACATTCAACACACATTTAAAGCATGTGACTTCAACAAAAGTATACTGGGAGCTGTAGTAGGTGAAGGGTGCTGGGAATTGTAGTTTTGTGAGGT